TAGTGGTCATAAAATAAACAACTGGTAACCATTAGAAAATAATAGATCGAAAGTGAAATTTATAGAGTAGGTATCCATCTATCTGCATTTCATGGTAAAATTATTAATCTGTGTATTCTTATAAACAGATTAATTCTAATAAAAAAATTCTAATTAAAATTGGTTATCAAAAATAAATAAATTACTTAGTTAATAAGTAATTTAAAAAAGTTTGTAAGTTAAAAAAAAAACTCCACGACTAAAATTATTAATCTAATCTTAATTATTAACTTTGGCTCTCTCAACTGTGTACCTAATGGAACTAACTCCGTGATATACTTATTAAAATAACCCAAGTTATATAGCCTATACACAATAGATACAATCACAAAGTAAAAGTTAGAAAGTCTACACACAATGGACAAAAACGACAATTGATATAAAAAGAAAAAAAAAATAAAAACTGGCTATCCGTCCCATGACCCCTTACCTCTTACTTTTAAAAAGAAAAAAAAACCATTGAGAATTGACCACCATTGGCGATGGTCTCTGATTATAATTACGTTCAGCCGTGCACCGTCAGCTTCTAAATATAAGCCAGTGCGCTCCGTGCTTTAGACTTAATAGCAATCTTTATAGAGTAATGCGGGCTCGAATAGTGATCGCTTTGACGATTATCGATATCGATAGTGTGTTATTAGGTTGCAGTAAAATTGCGTGTTCCTAACATTAGTCTTCATTTGTTTTGTTGGTCAGAATGAATTTCCGTTCTTAATTATCTTAATAGTAACCCACGACTTTCATTGTGATTGCTGACTTACGTTTAATAATTGTAGTGGTAACTCTATAATTATTAATCGTAAGTTAGCAATAAGCGTAAAAAGCCACTCTAATTACGGTGTATCATGACTAATCTTTAATGTAAATAGGTAGGTTAAGACAAGGACATCCCCATTTTAATAGATCTTAGAATAAAAGAAATATATATTATTTCTCAAACAATCTATGGCATACGGTCTGCGCGATATCGCAACTGAATAATGGGCTGTGCTTGTCACTGTTTATCGAGCGGGTACATCACTAGCCGGGAGCAAAGGTTCGTATAGGGCGCAGGCATCAATTTGCGCGCGGTAGCCGCGGGCGCCGCGCCGCCCCTGTCATTAGCCCCCGCGCCCCGCTGGCCCCCGCCCCTCGCCGCCCGACCCCGAGGGAGCATACTTTAACCTTTTTTGCTCCCCACAAGCTGGCAACCTGTTCGCGGGACGCGGCTGCTGTGGCTACACGCCGCAATTTAAGATCGGTTCATGGCCACAGGCGATACGCAGTATCCGTAGCCTGTTAACTATATAGCCTGCGTAAATATAAGGTGGACCTAGGGCTGTGACAGGGCTGTATCACAGAACCAATTTTATAAAAAAACAAAAAAGTAGAATAGTCTATAAGAGAATGTACTTTATTTTTCTAGAGTTGCAAATGGCATTGTACTGATGTGTTTATAGTTACTAGAGATATAAAGTACTCGTATAAATATTTTTTATAAGACTGTCGTGTACCAACCCTGGGTGTGAGTACTTATCGCTCAGTTCTCTCGGGCAGTTTAAGCGCAGGGCAACAATGAGGTTTTGTTGCAGCAAAAATAACTTGAGTGATGATAATTTTAGTTGGGATACAAGCGTGTTTTGTAATCGCCGCAGCCAGCTGTCGGTGGAATATGTAGAAAGAAGCCGATGTAAAGTACAACTATTAATTTAAAAGCGACTGTTTTATGGAGATATTTTAAAAACAAATAATTATTCCTTAGATGTATCGTCGGAATAGGACACTGCTTAACTTTTTTACATTAAGTTGATTTTTATTTATTTATGCATACTTGAGTTCTTACAACTAATGTGTCTAGTATGTTTTGCAAAAAAAATCTTTTTATAATAATATTGACATTAATATAAACAATTTATCATATGACAATACTTGGGCCTTACTGATAGAGTAGAGATGGATTTAGCAATTAGCTAAACTTATACATTCCCTATAATAAATACATTTCCTGGCCGTGTAGTCTCAGCATAGAATAGGCCACCCCATCCTTTCCCGTGGGTGTCGTAAAAGCCGACTGCGGGAGGGAGAGGGATGGGCAGCAGGGTCCCTTTTAAAACATCTTTAAGGCCTGACTACAGTTTCCGATCCGCCTGCCAAGCGTGGCAACTACAGGCAAAACCACCCAAGGAGGAGGCTTACGCTCAGCAGTGGGCAGTTAAAGGCTGATAAGATGAAGAAGATACATTTTCAAAAAAATCACTTATTCTCGTATTACTTAAATATTACTGATCAAAAAACCTCCTTTTACAATGAAGCTTTCCTATAGTATATCTTTAATTTTATTTTTATCAATTCTTTAAACTACCATCTCTTTTCTTCTTCCTGCGCTCTCTCTCTCTCTCTCTCTCTCCTCTGTTTTTAACACTTTTATGGTACACTAATTCGTGTTTAGTCAGGATCAATAATACTCTACCTATAGCATACCTACCTTAAAGTTTCAGCGTCTATTTAAATCCAGTTGTATGAACAATTATCTGAACCATGTTATGTTATTCATAAATTATAAATATACAACATTTTTCTCTTACTCTACATATTGCTCTACTTGAGACAACTCGATGATCAATCTATTTTGATATCTTTAATAATTGCTTTTAATTTATCAACTTATTATAAAAAATAGAGTAATTAATTAATTTTCTATAGTCACAAATCAAATCAAATCATATTTATTCGCTTGCTACATGATACAATAAAAAGTTACATACACCTTCGTAATATCACAGAATAATACGTAATATAATAACTTTACGTGTATTGAATAAAAACCTTTACTTCAAAATATTATTAGACTAATAGCTATAAGTATTTAGGTACACCTTTTTGTACATATCATAAGGAACCATTATAATGTATACTTCTATCCAAAACTCTTAAAAACAAAACGAAATCCAATTCACCAAACCCGTAATTTGACCCCCAATTAACCAATTTTCTCAAATATCACTGCGCTCCATTTAACCGAGGCGCGGGTCACTTTTGACCCCCGGGCACGGGTATTAGAGTCCCGAACCGCGCCTGCACCTAACCCCTATTATACATAAATATGCCCTGCAACCACACCGACCGAAGGTTATCCGGGTCGACGTGACCCTTTGTTCCTTTAATACTATCCTGTCTTAAAACTTGAAACCCTACGAACAATTTCTAAAGTATTATGTTCCCATTTACATAAATGAAGTGAAAATGATGGGAACGAGTAGCGCTAATCGCTATCTTAGAAGGAAAATGATCTCCGCAAATTGACCTGTCCTTCACAGCGAGCGCCCGTCGCGCCGGCGACCTGTCGCCGCTAAAATAATTCCGTTCCCATGATCTAGCCAGTAGCTATCTCACTTTAATTATTCATAGAGTTTTTTATACGCCATCACTTTTTACCGCTCTCCAGCCCGGCGGCTGTCCGCGTATTTCTCGAAGCCTTATAAAATTAAAAAATAAAATAATCGAACACCGGCGCAATTTAAAAAAGGAATACGTCGGATGACACGGATCGAACTCCGGGCAAATGTCGCGCGGTAAAAATTGGTCGAGCGTGGAGGAGTGCGCCGGGCGGCGGGGGGAGGCAGGACGTCACGTAGGCGGCTCGCTTTTTGTCAACGTTCCCGCGGAGATGACAGGTCGCTGGACGTTGCGACCGCGACCTGCCGCTCGCCGCACAGCCTCTCAGCTCTACCGACACGTCTTGATATTATACTATGTATTCCAGGTTCACACATTTGAATTTTTATATTCCTCATCTAAATATGTTTAGGGCTTGGTTACTTTAGAGTTGGTTACCATTAACTATAGATGTTTTGATTGAAAATCAAAAACAAGATACTACATATAAAAACAGTGTAATTATTGTTCCAAGATTTTTTGACATCACCTTCATTGATACCTTGGTTTGGTACTCAGCACGTGCAATATATTGAGGGATGTTATAATATACAACAAAATCAGCCAAATCTCAATTAAATTATAATTAATGCTGTTCATGATATTTTGATTTAACACTGTTCCTATGTGGATAGCTAGTTTGACAGCGATTTTATGTTGCGTAGCAATATATGTATAATAGTATTATAATTTAAATGAAGTATCATAGTGCGACCTACCGTTAAGAGTAGAATATTCTCTTTTCAAATTATTACATTCGTGAACCATATTTCCCTGTTTGCTCAAGATGTTGAGATCACATGCCGTTATATTATAAAAAAATACTCCACAAAAAAGAAACAGCTTAATAACTGGAATGAAATTATTTAACACTCAATAAGTATATAATATCATCCTAATTTCACTTAATTCTTAAACGCTGTTGTGGGAAAATGCTTTCTAGATCCAAAAAAAAGTTTATAATGAATTTACTTAAAGTATCTAAATGTATTGTGCGCAGTATGAAACAGCGCGACATCGCGACAGGTGGATACCAAACGGCCTGTTGATTGAAAATTCTAAAGTTCATATACACTTTATTTGTAACATATAACATACATCAGTTAAGAATGAATACAACACATATATCGTATCCATTCTTAACATATTTAATACATTTATCTGTAGTATTCGTACGTAATTTTCATCAATTCCTATGATAATTATTGCTGTTTAAGTAAACAAGATTCCAATGTACAACTTCAACTCCAACAAAAGCAATATATTTGACTATCTATTTAGGTATACTGAGCAAATAAACACTATAATATTTAAATGACCGTATCGCCCTTATATCGATAAGACTGAAAAATAAATTTATGTAACTAACTAAAAAAATCAACAACAACAACTACTCTATCCAGAATATCGTAATCGATAGGTATACAAGACCTAGTTGTTTCGTAGTGAAAATTTTTAAAATCCAATGAACTGGTTGCATAAGACTTCATACGAACTTTTTTGTTCGAAGTGACGCGCAAATTACAATTTTATTTTATTTTTTTCAGAACTTTCGGGACCAAAGAATCGACGGCGCAGTTTTGCCTCTCGTCACCGAGGATCAGCTAACAGGGATGCTTCAAATGAAGCTAGGTCCAGCTTTAAAATTAAAAGTAGCATTGGCGAGTAGGCTAGAACCTTGTGCCCAGTGTCAAGCCCTGAATCCGACCTCGAACACAAACTTAGCACAACCTACAGGGCCCCGAATAAATGGTGCAGCACTCAAACCTGAACCAAGAAGTAACACCACCAGTCCCAGTTAAAACTTAAACGTTTGATTTATGTTAGTTTTTTAAGTTTCAATTTTATTTTGTTCATTTATCGCATGCTTAAATTTATACCATAGAGAATTTGATTAATAAATGAAACGTTGAATGTTAAAAAAAATCTAACTAAGCAGTATGAGCTATGGTCTGCGTCTCTCGTCTATTTAAGAAATGTGTATTTATTCTTGTATGCGACACAAAACTTTTTACGTCATTGTTTTTCAAATTGAAATAAAATTTTCTATGAAACTAATTTAAAGCATGTTAATAATTTGTAAATAACCGAAAATATCGCAAAAACAAACCCCATACAAACGTATTTAATATTTAGTTTTATAATAAATAATCGGACTATACTTTTCCATATTGTCAGAATTAAATATAGGTACTAAACCTTGTTTTACACAAACTATATGCTTGAAAAATTTTTAAATGCCAGTTCCATATATGCAAGTGAAAAAATTGCAAAAAATGTCATTGTTATAAATAATTTATAACTACTTAAATACATGATGAATAAAAGACACAAATACCGGTTTCTCTCACATTATCATAATAATTTCTAGTTAATTTAATTTATAGTCAATTTGGTTCACGAACGTAAAGTCTTCCTGATATAGATTTTGCATTTAGTTACGTTTTAAGTGCTTTAGATTATTATTAGTGATTATCTTAGTTTTTTTTTTTTTTCTAATAAATGTAAATACAATTTGTTACAACGTATTACCGTCCAAATGTTTTAACTGTTATTTTATATGTGATTGTGGAATGTTATGTTCGTTTGTCTATTAAAAATGTTTGTCTATTGTTTATTTTTTATGATAACTAAACTGTTTTATATATAATACAAATTATTTGTTTGAATAAAATAAGTATGTTGGTGAACTGATACACAAAAATATAATGACAGATAAAAATGAACATAAAACTAAAAAAATCAACAATTTAAAATATGGGCACTAAAACTCATTATTGTGATGTATTTTCACACTAGTTAGTTTTAGTGTTTTATACATATTTTATACATATACATATTAAATACATGTGTATTTTCATTTCAGCATAAACAAAACTTCGTATTTACTTAAAATATGAATACATAAAATTCATTGTATTCTCATTAGTGAAACAAATTAAAATTTTCTCACAAACATATATTTTATTTATTGTATATCACATTAATTAATCCCGTAGCATACAATATTTTGGGATTCGTAATATTAAAAGTTTTCGGTGCTAAGAGACCCTGCGATAAGTATTTCATATAATGTATAATATATTTGTATATAACGGCCGCAATGTAAAAATATTACTTTAATATTTGAGGCTACTACTGTCGTTATAATACAGGGTCACAAAGTTATATGTTTGTATATAAATTATACATGTATAGTTAAAAGATGTATAGTTTATACATACATCATTTATAAATAGCATTTATTTATGCCACACCTGAATAAAGCTCAGTATGATACCGTTTACAATAAATTGTTACAATATATTAGAAATAGTTAGAATATATTTGTATAAATTTATCTGCAACACGATTTTGCCTGTATATTTTTTGTGTAACTGTTTTGTATATATTACAATCCAATGTCCTTTTCATTTTATTAGACGATAACAATAAAAATGTAAAGAAATATTTTTTACCTGTGGTAATCTCCTTAATTGCCAAAATAGTATATATAAGATCTATATACATACAATATTTTCATTATTACGAAGTTCAGCGAATATATAAGAAATTGAGGGTGCTAATAATGGTATAGATGCATATAATAATGTCTGTGCCTTTATGTCGGTCTTCCTTTGTAAATTTAGTAAATAAATACTTTATATAAAGAAAAAATGTTTTCCACAAGTATTACGGTTCTACGCTTTAAATCTGATGATAATAATAAAACTAATTATACTATATTAGAATGTAATGAATCGACGAATTTGTTTATAGGTGATTTTTTTATGTTAATATAAATAGATCATTGCTTTTATCATGTAACTAACGTAATTTGTACGGACCAGTGACTTAAATGTGTAAACGATGTACAGATGGTGCGTTAAACAATTTTATGTATATATAATATGCAGGAATAGGTACATCTTTTCTATTAAACTTAATACAGGAAAAATTAATAATATTTGTTGTATAGAATGGTTATAATTTATAGACATTTTTATGTCAAATATACACACACAACACAATACGTTACATAAATATTGTTTAGTATTATTTTTCATATCAGATATATGTCAGTCAGGTCTATGAATGCAATAAATCAAATTTGTTTAATATATCTGTCATCAAAACGTAATAAATAAAAAGAATCTCGAAAAACAATGAAAACAATAATTAGGCCGGCCGATTGTATGGCTCATATTTATTTCCTCTAATCTAATTATGAATCAAAATTAACTGATATTAATTTCTAATATTTACGAATTATCATATGTTCGGTTTTTTTTTCTTTTGTCACGTTTAAATTAGGTAAATAAATTGCTATCAATTGTTGTTATTACTAGTTAAATGTTGGTACCACCGTCCTATCATATTACTTAAATATACATAGATGTTTATTAAAATTATTTACAATTGTTGCATTTAATCGATAATTAAAAGTTTTTGAATTAATAGCATACCTTGTATAGCTAATGCGATCTTAAAAAATATAACTAATAAATTCATGTTCAATTTAACAATATTTAAATGTACTCACCATGCCAAATGTTTTTATGGCTAAATCACTACATAGTATAGTCGCTTCCCGCCTGCCTGTCCCTATGTATACATAAATCTTTAAAACTACACAACGGATTATGACGCGTTTTTTTTTTATAGATAGAGTGATTCAAAAGGAAGGTTTATATGTATAATACATGCATAATATAGTAGAGAAACACTGATAATTTTAGAGGTTTCTAATGTGATGTGTTGTAATATGCACCCGTACAAAGCCGGGGCGGGTCGCTAGTATATATATAACTATATATATAACTAACTACTCACCCCAACTTCGCACGGGTATACTTTTCAATATAATAAAACGTTTTCTTTCATACAAACCTTATCTACTTATGAACACAGCAACAAACAAATTAGCCAAATACGTGTACCCGTTCGAAAATGATATACGAGTAAGTACGCTTACATACATTTTCAATTAATTTTTTTTTATAGATTCACAACTGCGTATAATTTAATTAAATTTAACAAAAACGAGATTTGTGGCTTCGCACTACTTAATGTAACCATTCTATATCAACATGTATAATAATTTACAGGCATAAAGATTTCTGATTTCGAGAAATGGAAATCGTTCTGAGTACTTAAAACTTCCAGTCTTTATTTTTTATTATAATTTTTGTTGACGATATGTTATCACCATTCTCGACTAATTTAATACCATTCAAACGTACTTATAACACAGTATTTTTTTGCAAATGTATTTAAAAATTATGATTTGTAAAAAGTAAAATCAACTCTGACTATACCTAATTTCAGCCAACAACTTTTTGTTAAATCAACTTTTGACAGTAAAATATTTTATTGTTTTAGTTGTGTCAAAGTTGATTCAATGCTTTTTATAAATTATACAATTCCTGTCTCAATGACGATGATGATGAATCTATCATTGATGATTGACAGTGACCTACCTCTCTATCTACCACTATATATTTATATTCGTAATTTGCGTTTTGCAAAAGAATTCCTTTGGATGCTTTTGAATTAAAAAATAAAGCTGATTTTAACGACGTCAGCGATAGGGTTCTATTTTCAAAAATCAACAAAACCATTGATTTTCGAATGAACTTTATTGCGAAAGGTACTAAGTACAATTTTATTTTATTCTGAACGAATTCTCTTGTTAAACACACTCTTGTACCTACGTTATGTAAAGCAGCTATGATTTACCTGCGATTTTCCCCATACAAAGAACCTGTATGTTTGTTGTATTTAGTGAATAATGATTGTGTATAACGAGACATGGTTTTAGTCACTTTGTTAATCGAAAATTGTACTTAGATAATGAAAATAACTTGTTTAGCTAGTAATCGAGGATTCTTTAATCCAAAAATAAGTATTTATGTGGAGAGAATAAAACGATGATTTTATTGAAACTATCCTGTTGTTTTATTTATACATATTTTTGTACAAGTTATTTACAAAAAAATTTATATATATTTACACAAAAATGACACAATAAACAATCACAAAATTCTTTGTCTCGTAACAAATTTATACAAATTAAAATATTTCAAACCTTAAAAAGTAACCATTAAGTTCTAGTTGCAGCCGTAAATTATAATATTATTACATTGTTTTGAAAAAAAATTATATAATTCTTAAGAAAACATGAAATCAAAGTCTATGTTAGTTTTGGGAAATTATCTAATTTTTATAATAATAATAATATATTTATTTATGTCTCCTGACAAACAACTTAAATTTACACATAGGTATTTAGGATAAAATAAAATTAAAATAATATGGAACTCTGCTATGAGGTATAGTGGTCTAGTGTCTGTAATAGGTTAAGACCTGTAGTGCAGATCACCAGGCCCCCAACCGATATGTGTTTAAATAATTAAACAAAATGCATTCCGCTGAAATTACACAATCCAAAAATAAAAATAAAAAACAATAATTAATAGTAGGAGATAAAAAAAGAACAATTAAGTTAATATTGGAAAAAAAATGTCTTTGTGTGTGTGTATGCGTATGTGTTTTATACTACAATTACTGTCAACGAATCTTAAGATAATAAAATAGTATCTCCAAAATGTTCTATCTTCACGTCAAATCTCTTACAGAATCATAGATATAGTGCCTGTTACTTGCCAACCTGCCTGCCAAGCGTAGCAAGTACTGACAAAACTCTCCTTAGATATGGAGGAAACTTATGTTCAGCAGTGGACAGTTACTGGCTGATATGATGAAGAATCTACCTACAATTTTCTACGAAGTAGACAGATGGAACCTCATTCTAAAATTCTGAAGTGAAGAACTGAAGTTCTAGAACTAAATATATTTGAACACAAATTTAAATACCTAAATTTAACCTATTTCAGTGAAATGAAAAAATGTATGAAAATTTGACTGTTTATTACCTTTTAATGCTTTAACAGCTCAACCAGTTGTCGTGAAATTTAGTATAAAAGTTAACTTTAAGCTTAATATAAGCTTTTTCTACAGCAGAAGTCGCCAGTTCGGGGGCCGACCACATACTCTTTTTTTTGTTGCAGTATCCGGCCGTAGTACCTTCCTAATGCTCCTCAAATATTGCGTCTAAACTGCGTTCACCATGTACCCTCTTGTATAGGCATTCCGTCACCCGTATCCAATAGCGAGGACGGGATGCCTTAAATGCCTTAATAGAATTATTTACAGAATGACATAATTTGTACTCTATTATTAATTAGCACATATATGTATGTATTAAATGTGATGTATCTTGTACCTATTAATAATTTTGCATGCTTTAGAATATAAGGCGAACATTTGTACTTCACCTAATAGATCAATATCTGTAAAAAACAATGTTCTCGCAAATAAAAAAATCTAATCTAATCTAATCTAATACTGTACCACAAACCATAAAAAAAAATTAGTAAGAACAGAGGCTACTAATTTTCCCGATCAGTGGACATATTCTAGTCATACGGACGAAGTCGCGGGTAATAGCTAATATAAGTGTTTACCAGTGTATTTTTTATATGTGTTAATACCATATTAAATAAACTATCAATTTTAAAACTGCCCAATTTAAAAAAAAAATACATTATGACTATTTGACGACGTACTACCGAAAATAATAAATTATACTGATTAAACTTAAGTTTGTCAAATATTATGTTCTCCACAATGGAAACCATCAACAAAATTACCTTATCTGGGATCATTGCTCTGTTAACTATGTATAGCAAGCGTGGCAACTATTGGCAAAACTCTCCAAAGGGGAGGCTTATGTACAGCAGTGGATGTTTAAAGACTGATATAATGATATAATTGGCCAGATTAGTGTCTAGTGATTAATATTGTCTAGTGATTACTATTAGCAACATCAAGTGTAAATTAAAACGATACTTCTTGCATGGTTTTAATACAATCTAAATAATTTTAATGTATTTAGTATTAATATAAACCTACGTGGTTTCTAAATGCTAATGGAACATAAATTCTGTAACTTGTATTTTTATTGATAATAAAATAAAAAAAAAAAAAAAAAAAAAAAAAAATATTAAGAACAACATGCAGCAGAATTTCTATTAAAAATAGTTTAACTCAAAAATTATTATATTTGTACATTTATAAAACACTAACGGCATATTGGTACTAGGAATCACTTTTCCCCACAAGGTCGAAGTTCCTCTCCCGATGGTGGGCTTTCTTCACTCTGTACTCCATCAGTTCTATTGTGGTGTACCCGGAGAAACCGAATATAAGCAACCCCAATAGGATATATAACCTGAAAATATTAATAATAAAATATGAACAATAACAAAGGTATAACATCATGTACCAGAGGGAGACTTTGTACAAAAGTCGTTTGCTTGGGCACCTCTGTCCTATTCGTGTTTCTACCGTAAAGCTGTTATGTTTGCATGGCTGTGTTTTGGTTTCAAGGGTATGGCAGTGAATTTACATGGTACAGAGGAATAACACCTGAGTCTTCAGGAATGGCAACTCATGGGGAGTATAATAGGCGAAACAGTATACTCTGTTATGTCCATGGTACTACTCATGTTTATAAGCGATGATTACCACTTTCCATCAGGTGGGCCGTCAGCTTGTTTGCCATTCTAAGTTTCATAAAAGAAATCATATTCCTCAGAAAGGGCATCATTGTGGGTGTCGCAGTATATATTAACGTTGTTTACACATATTTTAATTCACGATCGGGACTTTATGTATATATAGTTTTTATGTCTATAGGCTATCAATTGGGCCGTCAGCTAGTTTGTCATTCTAAATATAAAAAAAAATAGTAAAATAAGCACGCGCAACACCAAAGGAATTGCATTTGTGTTGCCATTCCTGAGGACTACAGTGTTACCCAGGAATTTCACTGCCATATTTAAAAATTTGTCGTTTTGTTGTTTTTGCCATGTAGTCCCAGCATAGAATGGGCTACCCCTTTCTTCCTCGTGCGTGTCGTAAGAGGTCACTAAAGAAAAATAATGGCCGAGTGATGGGCAGCAGCATACCTATTAAAACATCACCAAAGCCTAACTGAAATTGCCAATCTGCCTATCAAGCCAGGTAACTACTTGCAAAACCTCCCATTAAGGGATACAATAAGTTCCACTTGTTTTCATTAAGTTTAATTTAAACAAACCTTTAGCTGTTAAACTGTTTTCTCTCTTTATTTTATGCTAAATTTCCAATTTAATAGTAAGTGTCAAAACAATGTAATAGTTAAAATGAGTTTATAAAAGGTTTTCATTTATTTTAATAAGAGTGTTAGAATGTATGTTGTTAAGAATACCTGGTTCGGACACAGAGATAAGGCGCGGTCGCATATGAAAGCACGCTGCCCGTCGACTCCCATAACCTGAAGTTCGAGTAAGCCGCCTCTTCATTACCAGGGAACAGGATACCAGATAGAGCTGTCAATATTAAGTATTATTTATTGCACCAAGTAAATATTAATGAGAAGTGATACAAAAGGCGGCCTTATCGCTAAGCAATCTCTTCCAGACATCCTTTGGGTAGAGGACATTGAGAAAAATACAAAGAATTTAATGTGAAAACTTAAATAAAAATTGACCGAGGGATAGCCAGTAGATAAATAAACCTCACCATTGACTTGCACCAGCCACACAGCGTCAGCGGCGCCCCACACCGACGCCAGCAGGTAGAACACGAACCACTGGTCGGGGTCGGGCCGCCACCGCAGCAGCGCCGACAGCAGGCACAAGTTCAGGATCTGTTAAGAACGTGTATAACTTTAGCTTTAGTGCGGCAACGTCGCTATTTTCTGCCAATTTTTTTTTTATTGATTATTCGAAATGCTCTGTTAGCGATTTAAAAACTCTTAACATCAAAGGGCGACACCCTCACATGAGTAGCAGTATTGTTTCTTATTGTAATACTAACTTATTGTTGTTCGAACTAAGATGGCCGAAGACCGGGAAGACGCCGAATCCCCGGCATTAATAAGTTTAAGGCAGTGCTTCGGTAAGAGCACCAAACCTTCTCAGGATGGCGAGGATAAGTTCAAGATCGCCATGATGATCGCCAACCTCAGGTAGAAGATGGCAACTTAAGAAGAATTGTTACACTAACCAACGCGGTGACCATGACCGGATACCGCCCGGTGAGCTTCACCATCCCGCCGGCGAGGGGCGCCGCCAGCGCGTTGAACACACCAAATGCTATCATCACGTATCCAATATTGCTGATGCCGTATGCACAACCCACGAATGCCTGCGTTGGAAACAAAGAGTTTTATATGATTTAGAACTATGCAAGTCCTCCGCCCATTAAAAAAAAATTCGAAAACGTCTCCTTAAGAGAAAACCTTTGAAGATTTATTTCGTATTTATTGAATTTTTTTCGTAATAAATTTACAAATCCTCAATGAAAATTATTAATTATAATATATTTCGGAACAGTTTTCATATTATTCTAAAACAGCCTTTCTCAAAATGGGCGATAACGCCCCCCTGTTGGGGGAAAGGGATTGTTAGTAATGGAGACTGAGAATCCCATTGCTAGCAATATACCCAACCAGGTCGACCTTCTCGGGGTTCGCCCTGGAAACTATCATGGTTAATTCCTGATGAATTCATCATGATGGGGTAACTAGCCTGTTTTCATTCTCATCTATCACCCTTTACTAGTGCTCCGCCAGCGTATCCCGTTAGCGCAGGCGGGGGTTACCATACCATTTTCACCCATCAAAAAAAAACGCCCCCTTGTGGGCACTGCAGGCCTACAGGAGGGCGTTAAGAGACTTTATGTTTATTCTTCGCTAATATAGCTCACAATAATTGATTAAATTAATTTGAAGTAATAGTAGTTTTTAAGTAGGTGAAAAAATGGGGGCGCTAAAAAATAATTTATTCTCAAAGTGGGCAGTAGACAAAATAAATTTGGGAACCCCTGTTCTAAAATAATTATAATAGGCATTTTTTCTGAACGAGACGTGCATTGCCTTAGGGGCCCCAACATGGCTTATCCGACCCTGTAAGGGTATTAGCATGTAAATAAATAGTTTCCTCCGTATTTTACAAATATCACTTTTGTAACATAGTTCGATCAATTTATTGTTGTTCTATATCCTATTTATATAGAAAGTCAAAGCATCGCGCCTTTAAAACAACACATTGTATATACATAACTTTTGGTATTAGTGCTTTGAAAATTTGCGCAGGCGCTGTGATATGGCATGTATTACAACAATTATGATTTCGAAGTTATTTCGACGATGACGATTCATATGTACTCATCTATAAATAATGTACATGAAGTAAAAAGGCTAGTGTGAGTAAAAACTTTTTATGTTAGTTTTTAGACTAGTGTAAGTAGTAGGTACTATAGGCTCGTTAATGAAAAAATAATAGGAGTATATATAGTACCTATATATAGGTAGGATATTTGTATAAGAGTGATAAGTACCTGTGTGAAGTCAGCCGCCATGAACGCCTGCTCAGCGCCGATGTAGCCGATGACAGGCAGCAGCAACAGCTGGTACTTGTGCCGCAGCTGGCGCAGCGTCACCGCCAGCAGGCGCACACCCGACTTGCCTTCGTTACTTATCTTACGACCCGATGTGTATCTGTAGATGTGAATATTTATTCATTTATTAGACGCTTCACGAGTTTTAATATATAAAGTATTCTATATAGTAAGTTAGGATACAGCCGACTCATGTACCAAACTACCATTAAATCAATTCAGCAGTTTAAAAACGAAGGTATAAGAAACATATAAACGTCTTTAAAACTTTTTACAACAATTGTTTTAAGGAGTTATTACATTTCAATTAGTATCTATAGCTGTGCAAACAAATTAATCGGTATCGGTTTCCGTTGTAACAATGTTGCAGTCTCATTTCATTCCATAAATATGGTTAGTACCTAATACCGTATCTATCGAAAAATTTCTCATTAAATCACTAAGCTAATTATTATGATGTTAAAATATTAGAAACATATAAATAAATATGTCAAGAATTAAAGTATTTTTTATTCGACTAAATTTCATTATAAATATTTTTTAATTATTCATTTTTTATGATTCTATCATCCAGTTCACAATAAAGTTTCTCCTGAGGAGAATAGACAAGAGAGTCAATTCTTGCATTTTTCATACAAAAGCCTAAAAAGAGGTAAAAAGGTTCTTTGAGCGTACAATGTCATTGGTATTGCAGGCATTTATAAGCTATAGTAACCGCTTACTATCAGATGGGCCGTATGCTTGTTTGCCACCTCAGTGGTATTAAAAAATACGTAAATGTTTTTTCTTTTTTTTATACTACTTAGAATAGCAAACAAGCTGACAACCCACCTGATGGAAAGTAGTAACTATCGCCTATAGACATGAGCAGTACCATGGACATAACAGAGTATACTGTTTCACCCATGATACCCCCCATGCGTTGCCATTCCTGAGGACTCAGGTGTTATTCCTCTGTACCATGTAAATTCACGCCATATCCCACCCTCCAAACCGAAACACAGCCATGCAAACACAACTGCTTTACGTGTGTAAAATATTTGTAAAATGTCACCTGGTAAGCGAGTCGACACCAACGATTACTAGTAACATGGCGGCGGCCATGCACGCGAGGTATACTCCCGCTATTACGTGGATCTTCGTCTCGGATGGTGGCACCAGGTTTGTGTTTTCCTAAAAGAAATTATTTATTTATTATATTTAAATCCAACAGATCTTCAAAATCTATAATATTTTCTATAATTATAATAATATTTTAATATTAGTTTTACTACTTACAGCCAATTACGAATTTAGAATTTATAAAATATTCCTTATTAAGAAGTAAGCGTTCACAAAGCTCACATTGTATATGTGTGTGTGTGTGTGTGCGCGCGCGCGCGCGCGCGCGCGTGTGTGTGTGTGTGTGTGTGTTTTGTGTGTGTGTGTGTGTGTGATCATAAAGATAATATTTAGACTCTATTAACCAGTGACAATTTTGACTTTCCTAATAACCAGCCATTTAAACGATTAAAATAACAATAATTGTATGCCAACCTCACTGATATCTCCCAAAGTCGTTCATTTCACTCGTGTTTTTGTTGACAAGCAGCTATGTCATAAACATATTTAAAGGGGGGAGCCCATGAACCGCAACCATACGCCTATGAGCTATGCAATCATTTGAAGGTAAAAATACAAGATATATGGCAGTAAAATTATAAGGTACATACTGATGCATAACTTATCCTCAAACTGGCAACACATGAGAAGTACAATGGGCCTCATAATACGCATTATGTCCGCGATACTATTAATGTCTATAGATTTCAATCAGGCATACTGTCAACTTATTTACCAGGTTATATATAAAACATATTGCAAGTATCAATATATATTTTTATACTAACTAGAAAATTGCAACTTGCAACTCGTTATAGTAGGTAGCAATATTTAATCTTCCAATATCAAGTACTCTGAACGATTAAAACAAAAAGTATGGTTTGCCAACCTCATTGGTATTCCTGAGTGTAGTGAATTGCTGACCATATCAAGTCGAGATATTAACAAACAAGTTTGACCAAATACCAGTACGCCAGTTCAAGTTCAGGGCGGCTGTGCAGCTCGCACGGTCATGGTTATCGTGTAACGTGGTTAATTGATATGCTTTGTGAATCAATATATTAGTCTTTTTATATATAAAAACAGGTTTTTCACAAGGATTTGTGGATATATTAGCAAGTAATGAAATACACAAATTAAAAAAAAAATACACTCTATTCTTTTTCTGCATGACTTTTAAAAAAATCGTTCGATTTTCAAAAGCAAACATTTCAATATTTATGAACAATATTATTTTAAAGTCCTCTGATCTGATTGTGAATTAAAACTTTAATTCTGCAATAATACGCTATGGCAGCTCAGTTGAACAAAGCTTGAGTGCGCTCTAAAGATCTCAAATCGAATTCCAGCTTAAACCTCTAAATTTTCAAATGTTTGGATTTAATAATGAGTGTCGCTTCGTATTTTGGGCATAAACCCGTCATCCACTGAGACCCAACACAGGCCTTCTTGCATTATGAAGGAGACTTAGATGGAAATGTTTGACAGTAGAGGGTAACTCACACTCAGGATAAGCAAGCTGAAGTGGCAATGGCATGGTCACAAGCTCGAAGAACCAACAATCGATGAGGAAGAAAGATTCTTAAGTGACAATCCCATAAGGGCAAACGCAGTGTAGAACGACGACACTAAATGAAGTGGCGACCTCAAATGCGTTGCAGATAGTCAGGGGATGCAGGTGGGTAAGGACCGTTCTTTATGGCAATCTATGGGGGAGGCTTATATCCAGCAGTGGACGGATAATAACTGAGATGATGGTAACCCTCACACGAGTAATTGTAATTTTTTTTTTAATTAACATAATTCAGACATCGCTACACTTCGACATGAACTATTTTAAATAACAATTAAAGTTACAGATTTTACAGATAATTAAAATTTCTGTTGTTAAAACAAACGTAATTTTGTAGTAGTTTGTTGCTATTACTAGTAATTGCAGAGTACAAATCACATTTAAGTTGTTAAATGACTGTCAGGGCACAAGGAAGCGTTTCTCGACGGAAACCAAGTAATAATATGTTGAATTAAAAAATAATATATTATAAGTATACACTGTGAGTCGTACGGTAATTGATTTGTCCTATAACAATGTTAGCATTAATTTACATTTTTATGTATTAGTTACGGTACCGGATTATGCCCTGACGTCATGATGTCATAGTTTGTACGAAACAAAAAAGACGCTAAACTTTTAATAAGAACGTCAACAATTTTATAAAGCAATTTTTTTACTGACTTTTATCAGCCTAAAAATGAGGACTTATCTTTGAAATCAGCACTGACTGAAAACAAATTATCTATAGCCACTAATTTAAAATCTGTTTATTATCTATAACCAGGACATCAAAGTTTTAAATCAGTAAGGATGTAAAAATATGTTTGTATTACAAAGATAGACTTATTAGTTGATTAGAATTATTTTATTCTGTTCCAATGTAATCAACTAACCAGTGATATGATTTTCTGCAAAATAACAACTAATTCACTAAAAATTTACTTGGCAAATCGTCATACTAGAGAACGATGCGACTAACTAATCATTACTGTGAATTAAGTTTATCTTGTGTTGAATTTTTTTTTTGTTTTCACTGTATTTGCCACATAGGGTATTTTTACCCCGATCAAGTGGACGAAATCACAAGTTAAACCTTATATTAGTAATAATATTAATTATAAGTGTGAAAGTGAGTTTGTTTATTTGTTTATTATACTTCACTAATCACTTTGAAATCTGGTATATACGTACCATAAGAGATGGAGAAAGGCATAAGCTATTTTTTATCCTGGTCACACGAACAAAGTCACGGGTAAAAGTTTTTTAATATATTATTTTTTATGATTATGTTTGGTAAAAATATTATGTTGCGATTATAATTCGTATTTTATGCATAAACTTTTTCTTCCCTTTTATTTTTTTCTTTCCTTCTCTCTTTAGGCAGTAAAATAAACGGATTGTAACAAAATATTTTTTTAATTAGAAAACATAAATACATACCTCCGAAGTGCTTCCACTGCAGAAGTTGACTCCACAAGAACCCAAGTTCAGAGCTGGTGGGCGCACTGTACTATTAGTGACGTCACCAATCAAAGTCGTCCACGTCTCGTTCAGCGATACTGTGTCCTCACCGAGCGAGGATTTTAGAACTGCACACGTAATATTAAATATTTTTATATACAAGTTAATAAGAATTATCATCTTTCTGCCCTTGTCTCAATTATTTGGCGTCGGTGTAATAAAATTTTATTATGGACAAAATTGCTGGCAAAAGAAGAACCATAGAAAAAAGCGTTAGCTCCACATTATCTGAGAGTGGACGGGCATTGTGAATGCAGTCGAATTATTCCATCTCGCAAGAAACAAGGACGGATTCCGTGAACTGGTAAGCAAGTTTCACTAATTTGAGAAGCACTAAAAGAAGAATATATTACGTAATATATTGTCTTTTAGTATTACGATCAGTCGACTGCTTGCCGTCAACTCTCCCTGGTAAAATATTTATTGATGGTATCCGTTACTTTCAAGAATAAGCAAGCTGAAGTGACAATAGGCTAGACATCGATTTATGGATCGAACAGCCGACAACCGATGGGTATGAAAGGTTCTTGAGTGGCGACCCCGTACGGACACACGCAGTATAGGAAGACGACCCCCAGTAGATGGAGTGACGACCTCAAATGCGTTGCAGGAAATCAGCGGATGCAGGCTCAGGACCATTCCTTATGGCAGTCTATGGGGGAGACCTATGTTCAGCAGTGGCCAAATAATGACTGAGATGATGATGATCATGTTACTACGAATACATGTAAAATAAATATTATCAGAAAATCATGTTATGTCGTCTCTACAAAACATAAAGGTAAATTATTTATCTATTTATAATTATTTTTATTTAAAAGTAAATTTGAAGTGTTATTTAGCTTCGAAGACAAATTTAAGCAAAAAAAATACAAATTTATTTCTTAATGCTAGAATTCGTAAAATAAAACATTTCATTAATATCTACTTATTTACCCTTGTCATTGACCCTATCGATTTATACAAAATAAGAGGTATTCATTTTTTAACTTGAAATTATATTGCCAGCTCAGAAACTTGAAAAAAATATATTAAATATTAATATTATATGAAAGAACAGACTGGCAGTATCCAAACATATCGAGGTCATTTGACCTTTCGTCATTTAGTCTAATGTAGGAAACCCCAATAGTGGGCGAACAATTTGGTATGCTCACTAATGCGATATACCACACCAGAGAGAGATTTTGAACAAAAGTCTTTTGCTTGAGTACCATGTCCCATTTGTGTTTTTACCCTGAAGCAGTTGTGTTTGCATGACCTTAATGGGTGGGATATAGGAATAAATTTACAAGGTACAGAAGCATAACGCCTTAGACCTCAAGAATGGCAACGCATAAAGAGAATTATGGATGAAACAGTACACTCTATTATATCCATGGTACTATTCATGTCTATAGGCGACAGTTATCATTTTCCATCAGGTGGACCGTCAGCTTGTTTGCTATTCTAAGTTGCATAAAAAAACCAACTACGTATAATACAATTTACGAACATGATCTGCCAACGTTGCCGTGCCTACAATTCAATCAAATATACTAAATGTAAATAACCACGTGAATGTTAATTTGTCACCAAGAGGAACACAAACAGCCATTAATTGAATCTTAAATGAGAAGCGGTTTCTGTGTGAAGGTCACGCAGAGCCAGCCTCTCACCTGCGGGCATTCCGCGAACTGATTTATAGTGGACCGTTAATAATTGCAATTATAACAATAATAGACAGGCATATTCTTTTTTATGCAACTTGTAATTGCAACAAGCTATGGTCCCCGTCACAGAAATAAAAGAAACCATTGACCCAAAAGTACGATGCTATGCTATTCTTTTCTTTAAGTTCTTATTTCTGTTATACATCATGGAATGATAAAGAAGCTGATGGAAAGTAGTAGCCATCGTTTATAGACATGAACAGCACCGCCGACATAAGGAAATATACTGTAAAGCATCACACATCGTGCATTGCCACTAGCGTTGCCAATCGTCCCCTATTTCTTGGGATATCCCGTTATATATCGTATAAGTTTCATTATCCCATCGAAATAGGCCACGTTCCGTATTTCCGAAAATTCGTATGTTTCTTTTCAATAATAGATACGCACCAAATTTAATTAAAATCGAATTGCTAACGGTGTGTAGTATTCTATAATAAATTTTACATTACAGTTTTAAATCTAAATAAAACTGAATATAATATAAACATCACCAAAGCCTAATTGCGATTGCCAACTCGCCAAACAAGCGCGGCAACTACAGGCAACCCCTGCTCCCTAATGGAGAAAACCTATGTTCGACAGTGTTGTCCACTGTTAAGGGCTGATATGGTGATGAAAGGCAGTTAATTTAAATTTTCTAAGGTGAAAAAGAAAAATCTCGTATTTTTTAAAGTTCTTGGTCCCTTTAGGCTTAAAAAGAAGTTAACAACCATAATTGTCACTCATGTAGACTAAGCTGTTATGCTTCTATACCCTTTAATTTATGCGTATAGGAGAATAAACATGAACAAAGGTGCTTACTGCTGGAAGATATGAGATTGCCCCAGATCTGCGCCATTTGGTAGAACATAAAGAAGAGGCCAAAAAATCGCACCACCAAAATGTCGGCAGGTACGCCGGACAACTTTGCGTATGGCTCTGCGACCTGCAAAATTATTCATACAAACAACATCACACACAAAGAACTGACAACAGTGTTTTCAAATTTATTTAAAAATATTGAAAAGTCGCACCCAAGATACATACTAAAAAAATTTATATTTCGTAACCTTAAATATTGGTCTGATTCATCGATTTTATATTGCCATAGTGCAAATAAAGTACTGAGCCTTTTATTGCATTGAATATCAAGTAGTAAAAATCCATGTATAAAATAAGAGAACTTGAATAAATTATTTAAGGTTTTGTTCCGCAAAAAACTTATTTTAATCTTCACAAAGTTGATGAATGTAAATAAATACTACAGCACCATCTGTTTCCAAACTTAGTATCATATACTGGACGTATATTACATATAACAAACATACAGGCAAATACAAACTGATATACTCATGATTGCAAATGTTTGTAATATGCTGGGATCAAATTTACAACCGTCAAAAATTGAGTTTCTGTGATAATTTCAACAAAATTTGGTTACCCTATCATTAAATTAACTTGGCGAATTATAATATAGGTTTAATACCTAATACAGGTACCAGCTCCCACAAATAATTTTCTTAAAATGTACTGCATGTTATAGGTAGTAAATTCTTTAATTGTTTGCCGTTAGAAATAAGTAAAATAAGTATTAAATATATATTAAAAATTCCATCTAAACAGACTATACTCACCACAGATAAATAGGTGCATTTAGCACACCAAAGAGGCCCCCCACCAAAACCCACCATCATGCCGGCTGGGACCAAGGTGTACAATTTCGGGTAGAATTGAGCCGCTATAAATGGCATGTAAGTAATGAACGACCATGCCATTGTCCATTTGCAACCTAGCCATCTGGAAAAAAATATTGTCACGTCCTTACTAACATGAAAGAGAGTTTAATACCTCTTGAGGCTCACGCAGTCGTCAAAAATTTTGCATACACATAGTATCAGTAGGTCACTTTGTTCCAATCAAATCAATCTATGCGCTTAGTATACTGTATTACGTAGTTATCAATAATCTTTTTAATTTAATTTAATATATTTAGAGATGTTTCTTTTATATATTTTAATAATAAAAAAATGTATTTGTGAAAATACCATTTTAGTATAAAAGACTCAATATTTTTTGTTGTTTTTCAACTCATGTCCGCTTGGGAAATATGTACACGATTTCGATATCACCTTGTATCCCTCGGTAACGACGACGTATGAAGGGTATCATGGGTGTCACAGTGTATCCTGTGACGTCTACGTTACTGTTCATGTCTATATGCGACGAAAATTTTCCTTTCAAAAATGCATAAAAAATACTCACTTAATAACTATAGCCGGTAACAAAATATTGGACAATATAAGGGAGAAGTATATAGCAGCTAATGTGAAGGCACCAGCACCAGCGTCAGTGTTCACCGAGCTCTGCAGGTTGGCAGCGCCGTGGAACGCCGTGAAATGGATCATGAACGCGAAGCCAAGCACGAAGATGTTTCGGTTGATCCGCCATTTTTCGTTCGTGCCAAACACCACGGACTTTTCGGGCATGGTTGGTTTTTCTGAAATTATTTGAAACTAGGTTACAGGACAATTGTATTTTTTTTTATTGTATCAGCTGTTAACTCTCCACTGCTGAACATAGCCTCTGCTTCCTCCACGCTTGGCAGGCGGATTGGTAACCGCAGTTTGGCTTTTACTCGTAGTGATATTTTAAGAGGGATACTGCTGTCAATTCCTCCACCATAAGCGCCCTTAGTCGCCTCTTACAACACCCACGGGAAAGGAAGGGATTGTCCATTCTATGCCGGGGCGGCTACACGGTCAATACTGGTGATTAATATACTCAAGTGTTTTTTTAGAGTATTATAAAATATGTATTTATTTATTCATTAAAATAATTACAACAGCAAAAACCAAATCAATGTTATAAACCAGGTGTGCTAACATACTAAATTATAATAAAAGTATTTAACCTGACTCCTTCACAAAGTCCTTCTTAAATCCTAACTGTGGTTGTCAATACCAAATGTGGCAACTATTGGCAAAACTCCTCATATGAGTGAGGCCTATATTCATCAGTGGACAGTTAAAAATCGTTATGAAGATGACCATGATATATTTATATTTTTTTTTAATGTTAACCTTAGTGTACATTTAAAAACTTCTGAATATTCAGAAGTTTTTAAATGTACACTAGGATAAAACTAAACAAAATTTACCTCCCAACAACTAAATCCGATATGATTAGAAGCGAACTTCAAGTTTGTTTTTAAATACTTTGTTTTTTATTACTTCTGTAATATTCATATCCTAATAAATAAATACATAATGTATTGTAAATCTTATATAATATTTAAATTTCCTATTTGTGCAATATCTACAATATGTATCTGTAATGTCTCAAAAAATATATATGAATATTAAAGATTTTTATTCAATAAAGTATTTAGTAGCTTTATAAATAAATGTTCATGAAATATATTTTTTATTATTAAAAAAAATACAACAAAATACCAGCTGCGTGAGTAATTAACAAGCCGCCTACATAACTTGAAATACTGGTTCCATTAGATCGCTTTAATTTATGTATTTTAGTACCTATATGTTATTCAATTATTGTAACAATTTTGAATAAGTTATTGTTATTTTAAATTCAAAATACTTTTGCATAGTACCAACATACTAGCTGATTTCAAAACTAAACTACTCTTCAGAAAAAGACTGGCAGCTATTATTTGATATTAAAACTGTTTTAAGTTAAACCACAGATAAGGATATAGCTATACTACCTACACTACTAACTAGTGGCATAGAATATTCTACCCCTTCCTTTCCATGGGTGTCGTAAGAGTTAGGGTGACTAAGGGAGGACGAAGGACGGGTAGCAGCGTCCCTCTTAAAACATCTCCTAAGCCTAACTGCGATTGCCAATAGGCCTATCAAGCATAGCAATTACTAGAAAAACCCCGTAAGGAGCAACTTATCCAGCAGTGGACAGTTAAAGGCTGATATAATGAGTACATATCTAAGTGTTATAGCATGTACCTACCAACCTCTATTTATAAATATATAATATGAAACACCATCCGATTTTACTACTTACAATTCAAACCATGTTTATAATGTTATGTAATTTAAACCGGATTCTTTTAACTCTGATGAAAATTACAACAATTTGCAAATTATACAATGGGTGCGTCGTGATTTTTTTAAATATATCTTTGCTAATATCATGTGCCGCGCTAAATACACATGTATACTCTAATAATAATAGAATGATTAATGTGACAAGATCGATATCACAAAGGCTTTGTTTCATGCAAATACTAGATTTTATTATACGTAAACGTATATAGCTGAATCCCGCGGCTTTGCCCGCATAAATCAGCATATAAATATTCTATATACTTAGTTAAGATATAAACTTTGGTAGCTTACCAAATCTTCATTCAAATACTATCAACCTACTAAATAAAGCTTTTACGTGAAAGAATAACAAAAAATCCATCCATCTATTTTAAACTTTCGCATTTATAATATTAATAGGATAATGTACCGAGTCTTCGTTGTTAGATATGAAATTAAAATAAAACAATAAAATAACTACTAAAAAACATAGTGTAAAAAAGTATCCTTTTCTTAAAACAAAAAAAAAAGTTAAGTTTATAGAGAACTTTTTTTCTTAAATAAGTTAAAAATCAAAACTTAAGAGATATTAATAAAATAAATTAAATATCTACCACCCAGACAAAATCACAGGCGTTTCATATAGTAAATAATATTAGTCATAGATAAATAATAAAAAAAATATTACTTGATAAAAAACTCAATTTGTCATCATTCCGTGACATAGCTTAATCTGTGGTCTATAACATAAAGCGTGCAAATACGTTCCCTTCTCCTTAGTTGATATTCAAGGATATCTATAATCTGATATAACCAGATTCAACTAGATTGTTTGTTCCGATACAATGCAAAGTCAAAAAGCAATTACTAAATACAAAGTCAAAATACAAAGTGAAAAATTTAAAATAATGCAAAGATTTGAAACACACGAAACTAGTAAAATAAAATGTAACAAAATTTTATTGCCTTTATTATTATTTTACTTTTTTAATTTGAATCTGGAATACATAAATAACACAAATGTGCCAGTGACATATTGATATTAAAAACATTTCAGACAGATTGATAAAAGTAGAACTCCACTTCGAACTTGAATTCCACGTCTATTCTGATAACTCTTTTTGCAAACTATTCAATTTATTTTCATGTAAGTTCCATACTAATTTTAACCCCATTGAGAATTTTGTGGAATAACAAATAGTAAATTATTCTTTAGAAACATTTAATTACGTTAATGGTAAATTATAATTGACCACAACGTCAAACTACAGTCCCTAGAAAGGCCCTAGTTTCGATGAGCCAACTGACTTGACTTCATCCTCACCTATTATCCCTCAATATTACCCCTGAAACATAATCAATACTGCAGGCAGGGCTACTATTCTATTTTCATCTATTAAAAAAAAACTAAAAAATGTAAACATGTTAATAACTACCTATTCCCACACAAACATAAACAATTATTAAGATGTATCTACGTATACACATATCAAAATTAACGTTAATTAACGCACCTAGAGTATTTAGCGGCTACCCAATATTTGACCTACATTCGTAACTACTATGCATACATATACATTTATTATTCGACTATATAGACAAAACCAAAGGAGAAGCTAATTTTTGCAGTCCGTATATAACAACAGCGGATGACACAGTATACAGCCTCTAAACTACAGAATCGATTTAAATTTATTAGAATATATATTATAATTTCTAAAGAAATAATTTGACTTGTGTGAAAATATCAATATATTTTTTTATACAACTTAGAATGGCAAACAAACTGACGGCCCACCTAATGGAAAGTGGTAACCGTCGCCTATAGACATGAGCAGTACCGTGGACACAACAAAGTATATTGTTTCGTCCATGATACCCCCCATGCGTTGTCATTCGTGAGGACTCAGATGTTATTCCTCTGTACCCTGTAAATTCACGCCATATCCCACCCTTCAAACCGAAACACAACCATGCAAACACAACTGCTTCACGGTAGAAACATGAATGGTACAGAAGTACCCAAGCAATCGACTTTTGTACAAAGTCTCCCTCTGGTAATAGTAGGTACTAATGCCGTATAACTAATTAATTTTATATCCATTAATACATTGGATTCTAAAAATTCACTCTTTTTTAATTATACTATACTAATTCTATAGAACTATTAGGTATATCATTAGTGGTCAGATTTCCCCGATGAGCTATAACAGCCATTTGTAGACGCAAGTGACTCAGAATACGTTTCAAGTATTTATTTATTTATTAATTTACACTTTATTTAACCATAAAAATAATAAATACAATTAATTTTATTGCAAAGTAATAAAAAATGCGACTTTATCGCTAAACAATCTTTTACAACCTTTAGATAGAGGACATTAAGAAAAAAGACAAAGGGTAGGTGGCGCACTATTATATAGATACTATACTATTATATACAGTTATATATGCAATATACATAAACATACATTTAATAGCACACACACAATAAGAGAGACTGAAAGAGGAAGATGAAGAGAGAATATAGGAAAATAGTACTTAAAGGAAGAAAAAGTAGGACTTGACAGAAGTTTTGAAGCTAGCATACGATTGTACACATCGAAAAGAGGTAGTGAGTATTAAAAAGGTATAGTAAGGTAAAGACTTTTCTTTATTATTTTTCAAACATAAATAGCAAAAAATATTTTATACTCGATATTTTTGCAAACGATAAGTTCATAATATTATATAACATATTTTTTTATAAGAATTATTAACATTGTTCATTCAATATTTAAATATTTTAAATTTTGCATGCTTAATTGTAACGAAGTATGTGGGCGTATTATTATTTTAACATCCATGTTTCTACTTACCATGTTTCCTGCAAACAGATATTCATTCATTTTTATTCATTCATTCATATACTTTATTAGTATTATAAAAGTAAACGTGAGATTGTTTTTTTAAAGTTATCTATTGGTGCCAGCAATCACGAAATTTAGCATAAATGCAATATTTAGAATGGAGAAGGACATAAGGCTATCTAGCTTTTTTCCAGGTCAGTTGATCGAAATATCTCGGTCATATAAATGAAGCAGCAGATAAAAACTTAATTTAAGATATTATGTCTAATTTAAGTATAAGGAGAGATTTTGCCTCACTCTGTATGTTTTACAACAGATTGTGCTCAGAGAAATTGTTCAATATGCCAAGGCGTTCACAGGCTACGGTAGCCGCTTACCATCAGGTGGGTCACATGCTTGTTTGCCACCTCAGTGGTATAAAAAAATATGTCTCAAAATAACAACCTACTTCAATAAGAATTAAGTAATAAGTTATCTTAAGGGCAATACGAGTAAGAAACTTTATGGATTCCCGATCAGTCGTTAGGTACTTGTCTACTGTTGAATATAAGCCTCCTCCATAGACTGCCATAAGGAACGATCCTGAGCCACCTGAATACACTGACTCCTTACAATGCGTTTGAACCATCAATGTACTCAATACAATTAACTAGCAGGGAAGGGATTAGTAATGGAGAGGTTAGTCTCCATCGCTATCAATATATCAAGTCGACCTCCACGCGATTCCCCCTGGAAACAATCATGACTAATTTATCGTTAAATTCCTCACGATAACCTGCCTTTTCATCCTTACTATTCATCCCTCACTGGTTCACGCTAGTGTATACCAATAACGCAGGTGGGGTTATCATTCCATTATCATCTATTAAAAAAAATACAATTAACTAAACAAGAATCACTAACAATGGGCATCTTGTTACTTGTATCAAATAACGGGGAACCCTTCATATGTAAGTGTATACATAATGCCTTTTAATCTAAAAAGAACATTAGGGACTACGTCAAAATTGACGCCTAATTATGAAAAACCTCCGAAACAAGACAAAGAAAGACGGCAATACAATTATGAGCTATTGAGTGAACATAATCTATGAACAAAAATGTTGTTAAATTCGTAAATTTTAAATAAGTTCCTATGTAATAAATAAAGATTCGGCTTAAAAATCGACATAAAACCGGTAAAGTTCAAGGCTAGTTCCGTTTATTGACACAGAGATAATTATTTACACTTTACGAAAAGTAAACACAAATGTTTGTACTTTTCCATTTTCGCTTGATCGGTCATAATCTCAATTGTCATTCTGTCGTTGTTCAATTTGTAATTGCGACCTTTAAGCCCTTCTCAAAATATCTATAAATTTTTGAATAATTATATTAATATCAATTTATATTTCATTAATACTTTTATTTTAATATAGAATTATACAGTCTATTAATTAACAAAATAAATTCCTTAAATCTTGTAAATGAATATTAATTCATTAATGTTTCTTAGTCTAGAAAAAAAAAATTATATTGCCGTAAACTAAAAAAAGATATCTAAAAAAATAAGTATCGACATTTATTTTGTAGTTCCGTGAGTATAGATATAGGTTAATTCTATTTTTTCGAGAATTAATATAGTATATCTTTTAGTTTTTTATAATGTAAAAATTTTCTATAAAAAAAATTTTTAGACCCTATTAATAAATACTAACAGTAGTTTTAAGGAATAGATTTCTTTAATTTACATACTATGTATTATAAGCTTTTATCCACGACTTCGTTCGCGTGACAGGGGATATATTAAACGGGATAAATGCCTTCGACCATTCTAAATATTACGTGCATACCAAATTTTATGACTATTGGCTGAGCCTTTAAAGCGCTAACGTAAGCTAAAAGATAACAAAGAAACAAATTCACTTTCACATTCATAATATTAGCAAAAATTTTATATTAATATCTTAAATTTCACTAACACAAATAGAAATGTTTAAAATCTTTAAAAAATATTATTTTTATTTTCAATTCAAGACTTTTAATGCTTTAAACGCCTTTGACTAATCTTCGATAGTACACATTTCGGATAAGTTATCGAGACCATAATTTACTTATATATTTAATTCTAATTCTTACACGAAACATATATTTTTAAAATTTTTCACTAAAACACAATTTTATTAATGTAATTATTTTTAAATTAATAAAATTGTAAAAATGAATTAAGAATTTTAATTTAATTAATACATATAATTATATTAATAAGTATAAGAATTCTAAAAAATATTTACTTTATTGATTTATTGTAAAAGTAACAAATTACAATTTATAGCTTAAAGTAACAACAATTTATCCACATAGAAAGCCAATAGCAGGTTTTCACTGACTTAGTGATAAAAATTTTCTTCCCTATGTTCGTTGTCTTTGTTATTTTATAACAAACAAATGTAAATCTTATGACAAAAGAAAGGCAAATTTTAATTTGCATAATTTTCTTAATTAATATATCTTGTGTCACATATTATGTTTACTATATCTGAATTTATAAATTATTCTTAGCTAATTTGCATAAAATGTTTCATTAACAATTAACATTTTCTTCAATAATTTCTTCATAATCAAATTAATTTTACTTAATTATAAATTATCAATTTTATTAAATTAGATATTTATATTACATTCTTAAATTAAAGATCTTAATTTAGTTTAAATAAGTTCAATAAACTAATTTACTCTTACCTTTAAAACTTGTTAAATAATAAATCACTAACACATTCAACTTTTAGTAAATAGCATTTTATCTTTAAACGCGAGCATTTAATCTAACTTTTTTATTTATTTTTTTATTATTAAATTATTATTGTGTATTTAATTTACTTATTTTTGTTTATTATTGTATTGTTACCCGAGCTAAATATGGCAGGCTCAGTCGGCCAGTGTGAGCGAACTATGAATGGGTAAAGCGAAGGCCTCGTACATACTGCGATTTGAGTCTGACTCCAAAATCTTTTGGGTCGTTAATCGTAATCGATTTAAGTATATGTGTCAATATTATATAGAACCATTTGCATAATATATGTGCCTAAAAAACAATATGAATAAATTGATTCTAATAAGTAAAAACTTGTACATTTGTAATTTATAAATTAATTAATTCGAAAAAGAGTTCTTTAGATCGACTATAAAGGCTTCAGTATGATAGTAGTTACAAGCTCTATTTTATTCTATTGCCTAAAATCTGGTAAATATCAAAAATGTAACACATACAAGAGTAATACCTAATGAGGTTATCAGAGGTATTTATAGACTCTTGTTTTAAATGTCAAAAGACAATAATGTCTTTTGTATAATTAAAAATATAACATATATTGTATTTAACACATATATACATACATATTTATATATATATATATATATATCACTCTTTTTTGATAAGCAGAAACGATAAAATGCTAAATGTTCCAATTCAATTAAACTCTTTTCTTTACATTTAACAATGTAATCATATAAACTTTAAAAAAACCTGTTATTTGCATACCTGTTATTTTTCAGTGGGAGGAATGGATTGTTAGTAATGAAAAGGTTAGTCCCCAGTGCTTGCAATACATCCAATCAGGTCCATTACCACGAAATCCCTTTGAAAACCATCGTGGTTCTTTCCTAGTGAATTCGTAATATATCTAACCTGACTTCATCCTCCTGGTCTCATCCTCACTGACGCTCCGCCATTGTATACCATTAGCTTAGGTGGATGTAATATTCCATATTTATCCACAGAAAAAAAGACTTTTTCAATACACCACCAGTATAATCGATGTGTTTTAATATGCCCTTAAGGTATCCGCTAATAATATCTTCATAAATTTTCACTCAAAACAACTTATAATACTCGTCGAAAATTATTATCCTTGATGTGTAGGTTGTAGCAGAATCAAGATTATGGAAAATACCTTTTAACTTTGTCAACACGATATTAAAATATACTCAGTTTCCAAGAATTACAGACTCCACTGCGTCAATGGTCCTATAACAGGAAACGAATGGAAAAATATTTGATATTAATAATTGATACGTTTATAAGTGTATTAAAAATAAGTATACTTTTTTTCTGTCGTAAAGCAATTGTGTTTGTATAGCTCTGTTTGAGTTTCAGGGGTGAGATATAGCATTGAAATTATAGGGTATCCAGGCATAACATTTAAGTCCTCAGGCATGATAATGCAAAAGTATCATTGTCGATGCTCTGTTATGTCCATGATACTGTTCGTGTCTATAGACACTTATATATATTTTTAATGAGACAAGATATAGTGTGTAAACCTAAGTAAGGTAATGGTAAATAAAGTATCCTTCCTTTTTATGGAAGTGAAATTTTATTTTTAAACTACTTTGAAAATTAAAAAAAAAATCTTACCGACGAATTTTGAGTATGTTACAGTCTCATGAAATAAAGGTATGTAATGTTTAAATTGTATATCTATCTACTGGAAGTCGTCTTTAGAATATTTTATAACCTCTGTGTATTAATTAACTTTTAAACATTATCCTCCTCGAAGAAATAATAAGGTGACAATTAAAACGAAACACATAATTAATTACTTTTTATTTGCAACAATTTTCACATTACAATATCAAAAGAATAATATTTTTAAAGAACAGTTACAAAAATTATAACCGTATTAAAAATAATTGTCTATCATTAACTTTACAACGTCATTATCATTATAGCTACGTATAGCTAAACATGTTTCCCGCATATTTATTCACAAATTTCCAACCTGTATTCGTCGACCCGTTGCAATACTTTTATGTATACTTTTTTTATTTACACAGGTAAATATATATACATACACAAATACAAATGATAATAATACTTTTATTCAAGAAAGATACATAAAGTACAATTGCATAAAGTGCAATTTACAATTTTTACAATTTATATTCAACGACAAAATATAAACAAGTAAACTGGTACATATAAAAATTTAATTTGATCATATCGATTCTTATCTTTATAAAAAAAAAATATTTAAAAAAAATATATTTAAACCAATTTTCCTTGGTAGTTTTAAGTATCATCATAATGTCACCATTAGATGAGTCACATGCTCGTTTATCCTGTGTTATAAAAAAATGTCAGAAATATACCTTACTGTTCATAAAAACTATTTATTATTTTGCCCCCTAAAATAAATAAAAAATAGGTTTAAAGTTTGAAAATGTCATGTTTAATGTCCCGACCATAATTATTCGCTCTGTGGCCCCGACATGTAAAACGTGCAAGTTTAAACCCTGCCGGATTCTAACTACGCATTTTTTTTTTTTAATACAACAAATATTTTTAGAATTTAAGTAAACTACCGAATCAATTATTATAAAATTTCAAGGAAGTCAATCTAAAGACTTTTCAAATAAAAAAAGTTTTTTTTTAACGGGTGATAATGGAATGGTAACCCCGCCCGCTCTATCGGCATACACCAGCGGGGCACCAGTGGAAGAATAAATCAGAATTCGAAAAAAATCCGATTTTTATAATAAATATCAAAAATCCGATTTTTTTATATATATATATCAGATATATATCCCGGCTAAGAAAAAGAAGCGAATTTCATTCTGTGAGGGGATTACACGCTTAAAAATGTGAAAGGAATTTGTAAAATAAAATAAGTATCAAATTATTACTACATTTATTATTTAAAAAACTTTTCACAAGTAACAAAACAATTAGTCTTATTTGACCGAAGTGAAAAACAATAATGACTCAAAGTTTGTCAAATCTTTCGATTGTCACGCTTGCGGGAATTCCCTAGAAAGTGATAATTATTAACGCTAGAAGCATTAGGGAATCCCCATGTTTTTATTACTTCGTAAAATAAACCTTATATGATATGAAGTTAAGGTTTGAATTTCAATAAAAAGCTAGCCGTACTGGGAAGTTAAAAGGGATTTCCCCAACTTTAAATGAGGTTGCTATTTTGAGAAACAATCTAAATTATTCTGAATTGTAGTTTTTCGCTACGTGTAGCCAGGGTAAATATTAATTTCCAAAATTTTTAGTTTAGAAGACATGAAAAAATCAATTGATATTTATCTATTTCATATATATCGTGATATATATCATGATATATATCCGCTGATATATATCGGCGAACCCTGGAATAAATGTAGGTCGTTTGGCTCACCATGAAAAATTTGACAAAAATTAACCATAATGGTTACGAGGGGAAACCGCGTGGAGGTCGACCTGAGAGGGTATATTGCTAGCAATGGGACTATTAGACCTCATTACTAACAATGCCTTCTCCCCCCTTCTTAATAGTATATCAGATTCTAAATAATGCAAACTCATACCAGAGAACATCGTGGGCAATAACTCACGTGATAATATTTTATTAATCTTATTCAAGGTAATGAGTCACGACCTCGTGATTTCGAAATCGAAGTAGCCAGTCATTTGATAACCGTAGAGTTTGTATTCACAAGTTATGCCAAAGGTAAATAAAACGTTACCGTCATTTTCATGCAATTTGAAATAACAAATAAGCTGACAGGCCACCTAGTGGAAAGTGGTACCCGTCACCTACAGTCATGACAACACCATCTAACATCACAGAATATACTACGACTCCGTATACATTACCATTTCAGACTAGTTCTCTAGTAGCTGTGCCGTGTAATGTTTTGACTTTGTACAAAAATCGATTGCTTGGGTACCTCTGTCCCATTGTGTTTCTACCGTAAAGTAGTTGTGTTTGCCTGGCTATGTTTCGGTTTGAACGGTGGGATATGGCGTGAATTTACAGGGTACAGAGGAATAACATCTGAGTCCTCAGGAATGGCAACGCATGGGGGTATCATGGGCGAAACAGTATACTCTCTTATGTCCATGGTACTGCTTATGTCTATAGGCGACGGTTACCACTTTCCATCAAGTGGGCCATCAGCTTGTTTGCCATTGTAAGTTGTAAAAAAAAAACTTAAATACGGCAATGCAAGCACCTGCATGCATGCTCTTAGCACAATCATGTATGTAATAGAGATGTCTGTGCAGACGGCTTTTGTGATGAATGATCTTCATGCCAAGGCTTTTCCTAGAGACTACAGCATGGGAGTCTTCAAAAAGGACGTCTTAAGGTTTTTAAGGGTCGGCAACGCGTGACACCCCTGATGTTACAGGCGTCCATAGGCTACGATAACCTCGTTTACCGTAGCCTATAGGCGTAAATACCTTTCTCACAAACTTGTTGTCTATATGATTACATTTCTAAATAGAACCTGTAATATGTACACACACTTCTCTTGTCACTGAATAGTGTGGACAATAACTCAGTAGATAATATTTCAGTACTCATAACTAAGGTTAAATCGTGAATGTGAAACCGAAAAGGTCAACCAATTTGTAGGTCAGTGTGTAACACAAGTCATACGAAAGACAAGTAATTAGAAAGTTATTTTAATTAGTAATTTGATACGTTTCAATTTTTCTGTGTATTATATATTTTTTATAACACACACACACACACACAGGAGGCAAATAAGCATGCGACTCACCTGATGGTAAGTGACTATCGCCGCCTATGTACATTACATTCACAACACCAGAGACATTACAAATGTATTGCCATCCTTTAAAAAAGGAATATGCTCTTTTCTTGAATATTATGATGTCGTATCAGGTCAATAACCTGAACATCAATGAATTTTAATTAATTAATTAAATCTTTGTAAAACTTTTTTTTTTATTTTCCCAATTCTTTTCTCTTTCTTAATACATACATTCGTATTTTACATGAATAATCAATGAGTTCTTACTACGATTCCTTATAGACATTCTGTAGTTCAATATAAAAAGGTCTCATTTACATAATACATGATCATTATGGTCATTAAAGCATCCAACGGCATGTTATTTTGGTACACTGCACCGTCAGTCATAACGTGACCGGAACTACGATATGTCGTGATTTTAAACTGACATGGGACCGATATAAACATAATTAAATTAGGTATTTCATTGTTCAAACTAACATATTATGATTTCATTCACAATACCTACACAGACAACAATTTACCTAATTTTTCCGTAAATGTAACAATCAACGGTCAATGAATGTTTGTTGTTTAGATACTTAGGAATGATCGGTAAGCTAACTACCGATCATAATGAGAGCCTAATCGCCTATACCTAATAATTTTATATTTAACTTTTATGTATAATTCATATACATATAAAATTTTAGATCTGACGTCAAATCTATTAAACAATAATTAAATATTACTTTGCAACCCATACATGTAAAATTTTTAAATTTACAAGTATAAATGTTTTCTAATTTTATAGGCATGTTAAGAAAGTTCAGTGTGCACAAACTGTGCTTACTGGTTAACAACAAGTAGTTAGAGTTAGCTACTTGCATGTGATCCTCTTGATTTTGCAAATGTCTATAAACTATGGTAACCGTTTACCACCAGGCGTGCTGTATGTTGGATTGCCACCATCGTTAAGCGAACTAAAAATTAATTAGCATATCAAGTAACTTAAAAAAAAAACCTGACTATTTGTCAGTCTTAACTTTATCATACTGTATAGTACCTGTGACAGAGAAATTATTGCTAGGGCCGATATCCCTTTAATGGTTGACCTATTATCAAAGAGAAGGCATGACTGACAAATTGATCAGTGTTTTTTTTTTCAAATTGTATGTATATATATATATATATATATATATATATATATATATATATATATATATATATATATGTATTTCTTTTTATGTATTAAGTTACTTCTGTAGTTACTATATTTTTATTATTTTTAATTATTTTTAACTCCTGTGTGCAAATTTTATATTTTGTACAAACTTTATATTATTGTAAATTTTCTTTCTTTCTTTCTATATACTAATTAGTTTTTAGTTTATCTTTCCTTGTGTTATCTCCTACCTTAGGTACTAGATACTCAATCACAGATTAAACCTTAAAAATAAACACTAAACTCATTCAACGTGCTGAAACATGATATTGTCGCAGCCTTTCTCTGCACAAGGCTCTTTATTATTCAAATTATTTATCTCAAACTTCTTCACTTTCCGTTCTCTATACTCCACAGTGAAATAACACGACGCGCCGACAATTAGAATGGCAAACATTACATATGTCTTTGTACTGGTCCTCATATAAGGTGATATCAGGTACGCTATAATGTATCCAACGGATTCCCATAAACGAAAGTTAGAGAAAGCCGCTTCTTCTCTACCAGGGAAAAGGAGGCCGTAATATGCTGAAACAAAAGAAGATGGATAGATAATTAAAAATAACCGAATTATTTAAACTATAACCTGTAAATGATATATTTTTTAACGGTTGATAATGGAATGGTAACCCCGCTTGCGCTATCGGCATACACTGGTGGGGCACCAATGAGTGATGATAAGTGAGGATGAAAGCAAGCTAGTTAGCCCATCGCGACGAATTCAACTAGAATTAACCACGATGGTTTCTAAGGCGAACCGCGTGGAGGTCGACCTGATAGGGTGTATTGCTAACAATGGGTTCATTGGACCTCATTTCATTCTCACGCATTTAAAAAAAAATAAGATGGAAGGTGTATAGGTATAGGTCACTTTTGTACAAAATTTCCTTTTGATATAATACACATTAATATCATACCATTTATTTGAACAATCCAGATGGAATCACAGAGGCCCCATAACACGGCAATAATGTACATGACGTAACTGAGACCAGCTTGAGGCCGCCACACCAGGACGGTGATGAACAATGCCACGTGAACTGTCAGAGCACAGCAGATCAAAGGCAGGCGACCCGTGATCTGAAATAATATCATTTATTTATTTATCTTCATGTACAATATAATACAATGGCAAATTGTAGGTACAATAGGGGAAAGATTTATTAGTAACTAACAACCCGCCCTGACTTCCCACGGGTGGGTATTCTTTAGGTTGATATAACTTTTTTATTTATGAACTGATTGAAATAAAACAAACTCTAAATGTTAAGTAGAACAATCTGAAACGTATCAGTAAAAACCGTATTCAAATCGGTTAAGCCATTTCCAAGATTAACGTGCACAAACCTACAAACAAATTGACAAAAATTCTAATAATCATTAGCTAGAAAGCCCCCCTATAATAGTTTTTCTTATATTTGTACATTTTATTATACTAAACAGCGACCAGTTACATTTTATTATTGATGATAGGGTCAAGCAGACTTATTGTCTAGCATTATAGACTATTTTTATTTATTTATTTATTTATTCATTAGTACAAATATGTGTACATGGCGGACTTAATGTTAAAAGCATTCTCTCCCAGTCAACCATAGGGAAGTGTCAGAATACTCGAATGCGGTACTACTAATTATTGATATACATACATACTAAAATTACATATATAAACGAATAAATATATATGAATAACAAATATACTTACACATATATGATATATACTATATTATACACGAATTTGGGAATAATATAAAGCACTATATTGTCAAGTGAACTTCCTTGCCCCGTCCTCCCTCTAAAATCTATCGTAGACAATATCCAGTGAATTTATTACAATGAACTGAAACTAGCTTCACTTCTTCTTCGCGAAACATATACCAACGTGAAAGTCTATAAAATTTTCATAAAATATTCATAACTAGTTTTTACGCAGGTCTTCATCCGCATGCCTGGAACATGTCCACTAACTGGGATAAAAAGAAACTATATATGATTCTGTATCCCACATAATGCATTGATGCAAACAAACTCACTTTCACATTCATAATTTATATTAATAACGATGCTAGTATAGTATTATATTATCTGTGGTAAGGATGTCTCACTAGCACCATCTCGTGTTGAAGCGCAGAATACTTCTCAGTCTTAGCTCTTTGGAATGACTGTATGAAAAGATCTTAAGACGCCACGCCGGCATACACAGACCAACAGTGTATGCCGACTGCAAATCCAGCGACTCGGAGGTTGTCGCCTCCGGAGTGGAAGCCGAGGTAATGGGATACGCCCCGAGGCCCCTACTTCGCCCGCCCACACATCAACCGGCGGACAAAGAGAAGCCCTTGATTGATTGAAAAGATTATGATTCTTTTAATTATTTCTAACTAAAAACTATTTTTTTACCTTAGCGATGTAACCAGTTGCCACACATCCTATAGCGTCTGCCAAACCATAGACCAGCATAACAAATCCCACAGACCCGGTACCGATAGCGCAGGATACAAACGCCTGCAAGTAAAAAATAAGAAGAGTTATAAGTTAATCAAGAGATTATTAAAATATAAAACATATAAATAAGGAATAGAAATTCCCAAATCAGTTTTTTTTATTCCCAATCTGAGTAAACCTTTGCCCTAAAACTATATAGAGACATCATCGTATCATCTGACTACCCACTGGTGAACATAGACCTTTCCCATAAGGAAGGGTTTGACATGCTTAGCAGGCAGATTGGCAGCCGCAGTTAGGCTTTGGTGATGTTTAAGAGGGACGCTGCTGCCCATCCCTCGAGCATTAAGTACCCTTAGTCGACTTTTACGACATCCACGGGAAAGGAAGGAGTGGCCTATTCTATGCCGGGACCACACGGTAGATATAGAAACATATCTTATATTTAGGCATAACGAGGAATAAAATTGTGAAATATATTGAATCGCCTGGGGCTTACTACACAATACATAAATTTTATACCGATTGCACTAATAACGCCTACAATAGTTTTTATAGCAAATAACCACAGTTCAGATTATTTACAATGCTCGATTAGTGTATGAATTACAATTTTGTAGAGTATATCTTTTATAAATAATTAAATTATTTTAAGAAATAAGATGACCCTTATTGCATCAAATTTATGCAGAAATATTGCTAAACTTAATTCTCAGGCTCATGTGTTCAAACAATTAAATATCTTACTACATAATATATTTATTATTTATAGCAAGGCAACAGATTACAAATTAATACATTTATAAAATAAATATTACATAAAACGGCATTGAATTTGCACTCCAATAACTGCTCTGCATAATATTCGATATTTATTTATTTATTTATTCTTTATTGCACAATAAAATTTTGTACAAATGGCGAACTTAATGCCATATGGCATTCTCTACCAGCTAACCATTAGGTAAAAACAGAAAGCGTATGAAGGGCAGATGTGGTGAAAAATATGTGACAATTATAGTAACACATTAAGGCAATACACAATATAAATATAAACATATATATAAATATACACATAAGAAATGCACATATAATACATAAACATTACTTTTAATATATATGGATAAACTAATACATATGAAATATATATATATATATATATATATATATATATATATATATATATATATATATATATATATATATATATATATACATAAATTAAAACAACAATAAGCATTATGAGATAAATAACTATTGAGTAACTTGTAACTAGAGCTGGTTTTGTTGACTCAACAAATAATTAAAAAGTCTTCTTTTAAAAATATCCTTACTTGATGCTCTGCGTAGATGTACAGGGATATTATATACATTAAAAGAATGACGGCTTATTATATATAAATTTTATATAATTTATTTCTCGGTTTGCCGAAAGGTTGACTGATAGAGAACACCGACCAGTGTTAAGTCCGCCATATGTACCTACACAGTTTCACTGTACATTAACATTTAAATAAATGAATAATATTCTAGTTGTGATTGATTTTCTTTTTTTTTTTTCAATTTTTTTCATAAACTATCTCACGAGTATAATGATATATATTTAAACGATATTACATACTATTAATTTAATAAATGCAAAAGTTTGTAACAATATATGGATAGATAGATGTTTATTAATCTTTTACGCAAAAACTACTGAACGGATTTGAATGAAATTTGGTACAAAGATAGGTTATATCTTCTCTTAGTACATAGGATTCTTTATGTACTAATTGCGGGTGAAGCCGCATATAGCTAGTAATGTTTATTGACATGTGATATATTGCATATATAAATATATTTATGTACAAGATATTAAGATAGTATCTACATATTAGATCTGATAATTTAAATCCAGTTAATTCTTATACAATAGATTTTCAATAAATATTTACTTATATTAAACATGAATTACCCGCTGTGTGGTCCCGGAATAGAATAGGCCACCCCTTTCTTTCCTGTGGGAGTCGTAAGAGGCGACTCAGGGAGAGCGAAAGATGGGCAGCAGCGTCCCTCTTAAAATATCTCCAAAGCCTAACGCGGTTGCCAATCCGCTTGCCAAGCGTGGTAACTACTGGCAAAACGCTCCAAGGGGGCGGATTATGTTCAGCGTTGAACAGTTAAAAGCCGATATGAAGTTGATAAAACATAAATAAAGTATGAACGCTACAAAGTTAGTTAAAGCCAATGAATTAATTTATATTTACCACTGTGAAATCAGCTCCAAAGAAAGCCTGCTGATAACCAACGAAGATATTGATTGCCACCAGTAGTAGTTGATTGGGTTCGATGAGCAACTTCAGAGTGACCACCAATAGTGCCAGTCCAGATAGGCCAGTACCAGAGCCGACACGGCCAGAGTCGTATCTGAAAATTTACAACCGTTTTAATGACAAACAACTTGTTTTTCAAGGAGGAAGGGGATGATTAGTAATAAGAACTAGTAGTCCGAATACTGGCTAACCTCCAAGGTGATCCCCCTATTTTTAACTTCACGAAAAATGCATCATGCTGACCCACACGGTCCCTAAGCCGTACTGCCGGACTCCTATCGGCTAAATGACCTAACAATATACCTCTTCATTTTGAAATATACCAAGACACCGTCACGAGACCAATTGAAGGGTGACGGCCTCTAGGTACACAGGGTATATGCTGCGCGCGCACTCCCAGTCTCCATTCCCCCCATGTTGAGCGTTGGATGTCACTGGCTGGTAAACATCGTAATTAATTCCTGGTGAAATAGTAACCATAGGCCAACTATAGGTTTACTTCATGTTCATCTATCATCAATCACTATCAATCAATCACAATCACTCTCATCAGCGTATATCGATAGCGTAGAAAGCATTATCATACCAACAAAAATCTTATTTATCACATATTTTAGAATTAATTAATTTACTAATTATTAAATAATTTATATATAAAATAATAAATATTAAATAATTTTATAAGAATAAAAAAAAACGGAAAACGAATTATTTTTTATTGTATTAACATGTTATATTAAATACTCGTAAATAAGTGTGCTTTAATCGACAACAATTTTTATATGAAATACCTTTTCATAGAGTCAACTCCGATGGCAACTATCAGTGCAGCTCCAGCCATGCAAACCAGATATATGCCTGAAACAAACAATAGACAATAAATTATGTGCCTATACTCAAATTCTCTGTATTTACCTACCTTCTTTTTATCTATGCTAAATCTATATAAATACGAGAATTGAACTCACTATGCGAGACGAGACGCAGTGACAAAGAGCGCTAAACGCCTCCTGAAGAAGACTTCCGAAGTCGAAACAATTATAGGAAACGTTAAAAAAACAGTGAATTAATCTCCCGTATTTATATAGACATTGAATAAAAATATAAGCTTTAAAAATAATATATACTAGATCTGTAACGTGAAATTTAAGTTACTTTGTATTTAATTCTTATACGAGTAATATTTGGAATGGGGAAGATCAACCTTATTAATGTATTTACAGGGTACAGAGGAATAACATCCGAGTCCTCAGGAATGGCAACGCATAGGAGGTATCATGGGCGAAACAATAGGTATACTCTGTTATGTCCATGATACTGCTCATGTCTATAGGCGATAGTTACCACTTTCCATCAGGTGGACCGTCAGCTTGTTTGCCATTCTAAGTTGTATAAAAAAAATATTATAAACATGAAAGTGAGTTTTGTTGTTTGTTCATTACTTTTTGGCACCTTAGCGGCTTAACCAATCACTATGAAATTTGTTATACAAATACGGATACAAGTGTGGAATGTAAAAAGACATAGGCTACTTTTCTATTCCGGTCAGTGAACATATCCTGGTCACGCGAAAGAAGTTGCGCATAAACTAGGCATAAACTATTAGAAGCTAGTAGACTATTATTTATCCCATTATATACTAGTTACATGGACTAAGTCGCAGGTAAATGCTAGTATTTGTACGAAATACCGAAAGTAAATTCATATTTTTTTATACCACAAAGTTGGCAAACAAGCATACAGCCCGTCTGTCCGTAAACGTTATCGGGGATGTCACGTGTACGTTGCCGACCCCGAAAAAACCTTAATATACACTTTTTGAAAAACCCCACACTGTAGTCTCTAGGGAAAACCTCAGCAGAGAGCTCATTCCACAGCCTGAGCGCTCGTGAGAAAAAATTTCTTTTAAATCGCACTGTATGTGACCATTTAGGTTCAAGCGTGTGCGGATCAATTCCCTGTCGATGGCGATAGTGTAGTCACTAACCAACAATCATCTGTATTTTTTCCGGTGGCTGCTGCTTCAAGGCCTCGCCAGCGTCAGCGCTTGGTAAGAAGTTGGCGCCACATATCTCCGGTATCAACGTTGCGTTGACAGCGGTCACCGCTGCAGTGTTATTGCCAGATGACAGCACTGAAATAAAATATTAATTAATGCCTATGAAGTAAGTCCTCAGAGGAAGACTTTGTTCACAAAATTTTAATCAATTATTTACATTTGGTTCTTATTTTTTGTATTTCATTAATTTTTTTTTCATTCCTTTTATTTATTTTTTTGTTAATCTATCTCGTTACTATTTGTGATAACCTATTATTGGCCTAGTTTGTAATCCTAAACGATATCTATTTAATCTAGTATAATCCTGGTTTTCCTGTAAATAAATAAATAAAGAACACCGACTTCAATTGTAACAACACCAGTTATTTTGATTTCAGAACCAAACTACTGAACCGATTTTGATGAAATTTCTATGGTGCCAAATTAAAAGTATTTCCTTTCAGATAAAAAATAATAATTTTCTAAATCAATTTGAAAGTGACGGAGTTCTTAGATAACCAACATATAAAAAGTACAACCAAATTGAGAACTATCTCTTTTTTTGAAGTCAGTTGAATTGAAAAATCATCTACTTGAATATTTCTGTCCCGCACTCGTGTTTCTACCGGGAACTTGCAGTGGCTTGCATTGTTGTTCAAATGGTAAAAATATGGCAGAAAAATTACAAGGTACGCACGCGTAACACCTTTGTTCTCAGGAATGGCAACACATAAGAAGTGACATAGGCATCACAGTATATTCTGTAATATTTACGGTCCTGTTGCGACGGTTACCACTTTCTATCAGGTGAGGTGTCAACTTGTTTGCCGTTGTTGCACCACAGTGTATTCTGTAATATCTACGGTCCTGTTGCGACGGTTACCATTCTCCATCAGGTGGGGCGTCCACTTGTTTACCACTGTTGCATCTGCACTATTATACACTATAGTTGCACTATTATATTATCTGTGGTAATATTTAATCGAACTTACCTAGGGAAGAAATCAAGTTACCCCAAACTTGGTTCATTTGAAATATCATAAAGAATAACCCCAAAAATCTAACAAGTAGAGCTTCAGCAGGAATCTTCGATATCTTACTGTGAACTTCAGATACCTGTAATTATAGAGGATCTATTAGGATGGAGAGGCACAGACATAGATAGATAATAGTTATTAATTAGAATAGGGAAATGTAACTAATGGCTGGATTTTCTGTAAATAGATTTTCTCCTAAATATATATATATATATATATATATATATATATATATATATATATATATATATATATATATATATATATATATATATATATATATATATATATATATATATATATATATATATATATATCAGCTTTGCATAAAAGACATTCCATATAGAAATAACTTTTGACATTCCTATTTGAATAAAAGAGAGGACTTTAGTACAAAACTTACGACAGATAAGTAAGTGCATTTAGCGCACCAAAGCGGCCCCCCGCCCAAGCCAACGATCAGGGCCGCCGGGATGAGAGTGTAGAAAGTCGGCCGCAGCTGTGCTGCTATGTACGGCATGTACGTGATAAATGAGAGGGATATTGCCCACTTTGTTCCCAACCATCTGCAAATGTGAAATATGAAAGTATATAGTGAGAATCATCATGTGTGATGTACACAAAGTATATATTATTGCAATTTATACTTACACAATGCAGTATTCTTTACAATGCCTGGGCAATGTATAAAATACCTAAAACGAATAGGCAATCTATGAAATGTTATTAATTTTATATTTTGCCTAAGTATTTTAAGAGTACACAATACCGAATACTCAGCTGGCAAAGAACGAGAGCAGGGAGAAGTTGATTATTCACGATCAACGGAATGAATCATTATTAGAAGAAATAGAAAATAGAATAGCGGAAAAATTGTCACCTCGGGTCATTAAAGCAAAATGTTTAAACTGTAAATATACCTAAATTTTGTTATGTAATATGACTGCCTTAAAAAAGAAATTTAATATTTTCAAGACACTTATCTGTATGTGAGTTTTTTAAACTACCACAACTATTGAATACCTGAAGAGATTTGAATATATATATTGTTTAAATCCTTACATCACCAAGTATAATTAGTAGGCAGTTAAATTGCGTAAGTGCTGTACGAACAATATCATCAATACTAATACATAAGCTATATGAAATATTAATATATAACACTTCTTTAATAAAAATTTTAAATTAAAAGATTACCTTATAGCAATAGCTGGTAGAAAAATATTGGAAAATATAAGTCCAGCATACACCGCTGCCAATGAAGCGGTTCCCAGACCCTTCTTAGCGTTGATTGAACTTTGAAGATTGGCTGCTCCCTGTAATCCATATTTAAATCAAATATATAATTTACTAAGTATAACCCGCGGCTTTGTGTGTATGAGACAGTATGCAGAGTATCCAGTATGTTAAATTAGAATATAATCTACCTATGTACCAAATTTCATTAAAATCCGTTCCGCCGTCTAAGTGCGATTAAGTAGCAAATATCTAAACACCTTTACAAATTTTTAGATTTGTTATACTAAAAGAATTAATGCCTTTTTTTTTTTTAATATTACACTGAGCAAACGTTCGGCTAGTTTACAACCACCGTAAATATTTGCAACACTTGCTGCCTGCCCTTGTGATACGTAGATATTTACATTTTATATATATTTAACTAGCTGTATCCCGGAACTCTATCCACGTAATTCAGTACATAAAATATCCTATGTGCTAGGTTAGAACAAACTACGTGAACCACGAGTAGGTTATACCCGTGTACCATATTTTATTCAAATCCGTTAAGTAGTTTTTGCGTGAAATAATAACAAACATCCACACATCGTCACAAATTTTGGCATTTATTGTATTAATAAAATTAATAAGTATTAAAAAAAGTATTTTTATCGGGGTTTTCCCGCCGCCATACAATAGCGCCTACTGTAAGCTAAGAGACAAAATTGTAGACATGTGGTATTTAGCAGACGTATACACTAAGATACCTATTAACTTTTAAAATTAAAGGCAATTAATCATAATTGTAAGTGATCAAATACCCGTAATATCCATTAGGATAGAAATGTGAATTTACCGGGTACAGAGGAATAACACCTGAGTCCTCAGGAATGGCAACGCATGGGGGGTATCATGGGCGAAACAGTATACTCTGTTATGTCCATGGTACTGCTCATGTCTATAGGCGTCGGTTACCACTTTCTATTAGTTGGGCCGTCGACTTGTTTGCCATTCTAAGTTGTATAAAAAAAAATGCTTGTCGGCATTGATCCTCGATTCACATTTTTTTTATGGATGATAATGGAGAGGAATTGCCTCTATCCAGCCAGCCAGTGCTATCAGTATACGTTGGCAAATCACTAGTAGGTGATGACAGGTAATGATAAAAGCAAATCAGTTAACTTTATAACTTCCAGGGGAAATTATGGAGTAAAGGATGAAAGCCCTGTTAGTAAAGAAAATTAACGACCCCATTGCTAGCAATACATCTGGTCAGCTCGACCTCCCTGCAATGATTACTTGGAGGGACACCCTGGAAATCTTCATGATTAATAGGTAGTCTCAATCGGCTGCGAAACTTTCTACCAGTCGGTACCAAGACTGCATTGGCACACTGTCTACTACTTCCTATTCTAGATTACGCTGATTCCTGTTATGTTAATCTTACAGAAGATCAATTAAATAAACTTGAGCGACTTCAGAACATATGTATACGGTTTATATTTAATCTTCGCAAATATGACCACATTTCTGATTTCCGCAATCAACTCAAGTGGCTTCCAATTCGCCTTCGCAGGAACTGGCACATTCTATCTCTTCTTTACACTATTCTTTTTCATCCTTCAACTCCCGATTACCTCAAAATGTGCTTTGAGTTTCATGTCGATTCTCAGGGTCGTACATTGCGCAGCGCGAGATCCTTTCGTTTAGTAACTCCTATTCATTCTTCTAAATTCTATTCCTATTCTTTCACTATAAAAGCTATCCGTCTCTGGAACTCCTTACCTCTTTCTATTAGATCAGCGCAATCTCTTGCCTCGTTCAAGAGGCAGGTAAAATCTCATTTCCTATCTCTCTAATTTGCTTTGACGTTTACTATGTGTGATTTATCTTGATCTATTTAGTATATTTATGTTTATGTATTATTATTTATATTATATATATGTATGTTTATGTATTATTATTTATATTATATATGTATGTTTATGTATTATTATTTTTATTATATATGTATGTTTATTTAGGTTATGTAATCTTATTTTTATATTTAGAATTTTTTGCATTTTGTCTGATTCCTTTTATGCATTTACTGTGTCTGATTTGCGCCATCTACCTTTCTCTCTGTACTTATCCATTCTTTATGCCAGGTTGTCTGTAAGAGATTGCTTGTAGCGATAAGGCCGCCTTTTGTATATGCACGTTCTGTATAAATACTCCTTGTATACATCTTTACTGTGCGCAATAAAGAGTTTATTATTATTTTTAAATTTTACCAGAATTCTCATCTCCCCTCTTAAGGAGAGGAGATGGCAACTAACCCCCGGCAGAAGCACAGTCGGCCGGGGTTCAGGGCCCCAGGGAGAGAAACCGGCGTACAATGCGGGCAGAATCTAAGAGCACCGCTTTCTGCATCTTTCCCGGGAGTGAGCCGCCTCGGAATCCCAACCGTCTGAGATGTTGTTCCACACTGGTTGGGATAAGACCGTTCACCGACATAACGATTGGGATGATTTCGGTAGATGTCACCCCCCACATTTCGGTCACCTCGTGAGCCAGGTCGAGATATTTTCTCTTCTTCTCGGTTTCGGCTTTCACGAGGTTCTCGTCATGCGGTATGGTGACATCCACCAAAAACACCCTCGAAAGTGCCCGGTCCATCACCACGATATCAGGTTTGTTCGCAAGAACAGTCCTGTCCGTGATGATGGATCGGTCCCAGTAGAGCCTGACGCTGTCGCTTTCGAGGACCGGCTGTGGCTCGTACTTATAGTACGGCAACCTCTCATTCGCGAGGCCGTACTTCAGAGCTAGCTCTTGATGGAGTATTTTGGCTACCTGGTTGTGCCTGTGCAAGTACTCTGTGTTGGCAAGAGCTGAACAACCCGAAAGCACATGTCTGAGTGACTCTCCAGGATGGCGACATGCTCGACAGATGTCCTCAGTGCCATCCTTCAGAATGTGCTTTCGGTAATTGTTCGTCTTAACCACCTGATCCTGTATTGCACAGACAAAACCCTCGGTCTCTCCGAAGAGATCACCGAACTGTAGCCAGTGCACGGAGGTCTTCGTGTTTACGTACGGCCCGTGAAGGGCTTTGAAGAACCTTCCGTGCAACTCCTTCTCTTTCCATACGGCCTCCCGCTGAGAGGTACCCAAAACTTCGGGTTTTCGCCAGTCCTCTTTAGCCAGAGAAAGAGGGGTGAATCCTTTGTCACATTCTATGACCTCTCTATGCAAACCCTCGTCTCTTTTCTCCAGAAAATATGTCCTGAGGCTGTCAATCTCGCGGTTGTGCATGGTCTTAACGCTTAACAAGCCTCGACCACCAGCTTTCCGCGGGATATACAGCCTCATGACTGACGATTTCGGGTGATGCATTCTATGGAGGGTCATAGTTGTGCGGACTTTACGATCCAGGGCTTCGAGTTCGGTTTGAGACCATCTGAGCACGCCAAAAGTGTAAAGGAGTACGGGTATGACCCAGCCGTTATAAGCTCGGATTTTATTGGCGCCCGACAAAGAACTTTTCAGTACTCTTGTAAGGCGCGCAAAAAATTCCTCGCGGACTGACTGTTTCATATCCGTCTCCTTCACACCGATGTTTTGTGACATGCCCAGATACCGGTATGTTTCAGCCTCGGAGAGGGTTTTAATATTAGAGGGATCTGTGGCGATCCCTTCAGTTTGAGTGACCCGTCCCCTCTGCACATGGAGGACCGCGCACTTGTCTATTCCGAGCGCCATCCTAATAGAGCTGCTATAATCGTTTACGATATTTAGCAGCTCCGTCAGGCGTTCGACGCTCGGAGCTAGCAGTTTCAAGTCATCCATGTACAGAAGGTGAGACACTCGTGTACCTCCTCTCCGATACTGAAATCCAGTCCCCGAATTCTCCAGTAAAGTACTGAGTGGATTCAGGGACAGGCAAAACCAAAGTGGACTCAAACAATCGCCCTGGAATATTCCCCTCTTTATCTCTATCCGGTCAGCGGTATCCGTCAATCGCTCGTCCTGGATAGTCAGGATCGTCGTCCACTGCCTCATGCATGCCTCCAAGAACACTCGAACTGTACCGTCGATCTTGTACAGCTCGAGTATCCTCCGGAGCCATGAATGGGGCACGGAATCGAACGCCTTTTTATAATCTATCCAGGCGGCGGAGAAATTCCGACGGTTCCGCTTGACCACGTGCCCAGCGACAGCATCAATGAGGAGCAGCTCCTTCGATCCGCGGCTACCGCCCCTGCATCCGTTCTGAGCGCTAGATAGGATCTTATTCTCGTACACATGGCGAGAGATCTTAGCGCTCAGAACGGATGTTAACGTCTTATATATTGTCGTAAGACAAGTGATGGGGCGATATTTAGATGGATCCGCGGTATCGTCCGTCTTAGGAGCTAAATGAGTGATCCCGGTTGTAAGGAAGTTCGGGAGCGCCCTGTTTTCGAGGGCACTCTGGAATTGCACGGCTAAGGTCGCATGGCTGGCCGAGAACGCCTTTAACCAGTAGTGCTGCAATCCGTCGATCCCCGGACTTTTCCAGTTCGGAGCCCGACGGATCGCGGCAACCACGTCTTCCTCCGTAATGGCAATGGCGTTCATCGGCGTTATTCGAGCACATGCTTCCTCAACATCGTGCATCCATGCGCCCTCCTCATGTTCCACAGGTTCAGACCACAGCTGTCTCCAGAAGGCGACGAAATTGGCTGTTTCGGGTCTTTGTCCTGTGGGCTGTAGTTTTGGGCGCTCCAAGTTCCTATAAAACTTCCGTTGATCACTCATAAAGAGGCGATTCTGTTGATACCTCTCAACCCTCTCAGAGTACCGTCGGAGTCGCTTCCCCCATGCAGCGATCTTCTGCTTCAGTTCATCTATGCGCTCTGTAAGTTTGTGCCCGAAGTCCGGCTGGAACAGACGTACACCTGTCCCAGCAAAGGCCTCTTTTACGGAGCGCATAATTCTCGGGCGTGTGTTGCCCTCCCTGAAGCAGAGCAGTCTACCAATGAGGACTCTGGCCTGGGCGATCCGTCGTTCAATCCTTCTTTTCCAGGCTGGTTTCATATTATCCCTTTGGATATTACGTCCAGCCCGGGGCATTTTTGCGCCGGTATATCGGCATACTGCCAACGCAGCGCCAAACAGGATTGAACTCGTCTCTCCCAGGTCACCGCTGCCCTCAAGGTACTGAGGCAGCAGTCCATTTGTGGCCTCAATGGCATCCCGCGTCGCCACATTTGGATATATCCGGGGAAGCTTCGGTCTCTCTTCGAGGGGAGTTCTTCGGATCTCTAGAATCGCCTCGTCTAGTATGCTCCTCATATGCTCTATATCCTGGGAAGTTGTTCCGTCCGCATCCGCTTCTGAAAGCGTTTCGGCAACCACCTCTACGCTAGGTAGCACGTCTGAGATGGGTTGCTCTACGGTCGCGGAGTTTGCTTCTGGAACAACTTCACTTCGCAATCGTTCGAGTTCGGTCGCGCTAAACATACCAGAGCGCTGTATGTACCGAACTCTGTCGGCTAGGTTCTGTTCCGAGACGGTTAGATCCGGTAAAAGACGCAGAAACTCGCGGTGCATTACTGCCCGGTATCCTGTTCTGCCTGTTTCTGTCCCTGTAGCCCTGAAGAACGCACGCATGAGGTCCTCATTCATGGCTCTTGTCCACCTCATGCGACGTGTACCACCAGTGGCGGGCACCGATTGCTGGGCCTGTGACGGCCCTGCCGGCGCCAAGCCAGCTGATGTCGATGACGAGGGGTCGGACCGGCCAGGTGGTGGGGCCGGTCGGCTGGCTCGCATTCTGCCGCGCCTACCGCCAGTTGTAGACGCGCCCCGGCGACCCCCGGGCAGCGACCCTATACTCTCTCCGTTATTATTATTCGCCATCTTTATTTTTGCCATTGCCCCTTTAGCCGCGTAGGTTTAATTTATACGCGTGACCGCCTTCCACGTGAGCTAGATGGTGAGCTCGGACGCGGGGTTGGACTTTGGAAGGCTTATTATTATTATTATTATTAATTCTTGATAAAATCGTCACAATGGATCAACTAACCTACTTCATTCTCCTTGCTCCTACGTCACCCTCTGGAGGCTCGCCAGCATATACTGATAGTTAAAGCAAGATTACCTTTGCATTATCATAAATAAAAAAAAAATCTTTCAATACGTTCTAATGAAAAATCACTTACACAGTAGGCAGTGAACTGCACCATGAAAGCCACACTGATGACGACCACATTCTTCAGAATGCGCCACGTTTCTGACGAGTCCAACGCCTCTTTCTCCAACTTCTCAGGATTCTTCTCCCATTTACTCATTTTACTTGTCGATTATTTTATTTCTCACTTTATATGCACCAGTTTTTATCTTTAGTAATAACACTAGTCTTGAATAAAAATATTAATTACCGATTAAAATCTTTAAACTTTTTCTATTGTCCTATTTTGTTTTCTTGGAATAAAATTATTTTTATCCAATAGGTACCTAAATAAAAAATAAATACATACAAGGCTACTGCAAAGACATAACATAAAATATATACTTTTAGTACTAAAAGTATATCTAATATAAAAGTATATATAATAATATTATAAACATAATTGTTATTACATATATTATGCGTATTATACAAATAATAAAATATAATTTACTTATATATAATATTTTCATAATACGTATAGAAACTGAAAAAATCTTTATTTAGTATTATAACTTTTAAACTTTAATCGTTCATTTAAGTTTTAAAACAAATACATGAATTTATCATGAAACACTAGTCTACCATTTACACTATCGAATGTTAAACTGAAAAATATTCTAATATAAACGACATTTAATATTTATTACAAAGCATTGTTATATCAAAAAATACCCATAACATCGTGTGCACTAGAATTTTTTATCTTAAAATGCTATGAAGGATATCCGCCAAGTGACCATGCAATTAATATTATATTGTAGACCTAGAATACAAACACAAAAAAAAGAATTTCCAAAAACTCACTGGTAATTGGAATAACCCTATTATCTTGAAGGATCTTCATAACAATTGTTTATAAATATCTCATAGCTAAATTTATACAAAACAAAGATAATATCAAGCAATTAACTCAGTTAACATTTGTATACGTTTTGTAATTATAAAATAGTGACTTGCAATAAACACAGGTAGAAAAAATTTAAGCTTACTTTATTTTTATATATTCTAATTATTGACCTTTATTAACTTGACCTTCGACTTAAAAACGCCAAGAACGTCCTCAACCATATTTATATATACTTATTAAAAAATATACGCAAGAAGTACACATAAGTATATAATAAAATTTATATATATATATATATATATATATATATAAACTTTTTTTTTAAAATATATTTTTTTATCCTACTTTTTTTCACTCTTTTACCACCATACGTCTTGCCATAAAACTAAAATTCACTATATCCTAGGTACATGGCACACTACTACTGCCTGTGCATCCTGTTCATATCTACCATGTAAATCTAGGTTGAGAAATGAGCTCCCATCTTCAGTTTTCCCCTTACAATGTAATATAGGGTTTTTTTTTAAAAAACGTACCTACAAACATTTAAGAGGCCAGCAACGTACAAACAACTAATCTAGTGTTCATGGGCGACGGTAACCGCTTTCCATCAAATGGACCGTCTGCTCGTTTACTTCCCTAACAATAAACAAATAATAATTTATTTTTTACAAGGAATATTGATAAGCTCTTATTCCGATTTAGGTATCTTCGAAAGGGGTTGAACTCTCATCCAAAAATGTATGGCTATGTTTCGGTTTGAAGGGTGGGATATGGCGTGAATTTACTGGGTACAGAGGAATAACACCTGAGTCCTCAGGAATGGCAACATTCATTGGCAACATTGGGAGTATTATGGGCAAAACAGTATACTCTGTTATGTCCGTGGCACTGCTCATGTCTATAGGCGACGGTTACCACTTTCCATCAGGTGGGCCGTCAGCTTGTTTGCCATTGTAAGTAGTATATAAAAAAAGTTTATTAAGTTCCCTACATTATCACAACACTATCAATCGATCAATTGTTTTATTTTGTAATTAATAGATACATAACGTACGAATACTCGTATGTATAATGTGGTGGTAAAATATAGTTTCGGATGTCTCGTCGCCCGTATCAAAATGTAAGGACGGGGCACCCAATTCAATTAAATGTACCAGAAAAATGATACAGAAACAGCCCAATTTTCAGATTGTGTCAAATATAATGTCAGGGTTTTTAAAACGGATAGTGATGGAGTAGTAATCTGCGCTATTAGCACACTAAGTGGTAAAAGTGAAAATAAGAGAAAATAAAGTCAAGTCCGTTGTACCATTTACTACAATTTACTACGACGGTTTCCAAGACCACGCAGAGGTTGACCTGTGAAAATCGCATCCTCATGACTCTGTAGTTTCAGTGTGATGTCGGACCAAACATGCCTACAGGCAAAAACAAAAAAAAAAATAAGTTTTGGATCCTATTTTTGAGACCTATCAAGACGCTATTAGAAGTTTAAGAGGCTATTAAAACCACTAATTTTTCTTAAATATCTCCTACTGTCTCTTACCCGTGACTTCATCCGTGGGACCGGAATATATTTACTGATTGTGATAAAATATAGCCTATATCTTTCTCCATCCCGTATAATACGTGTATACCAAATTTCATAGTACACTAAAGATTTATGTTGTATCAAATCACAGCTTAAGTCAACTAATACACTTAAGCTTAATACTCATCTCCCAATCGCGAACCAAATAATTTTGGAAAAAAAATAAAAAAAAATTCATAGTACTGGTTAACCCGTTCAAGAACTAACGAACAAAGAAACTCACTTTCTCATTTATAATATTAGTAAGGCCGTACAGACGCTAAAACGTTTCGCATGTCAAATTCTACATTTAAATATCTTAATGACAGAAACAGTTTTTACTTGTACATTTTAACTATTCACAGATACATTTGCATGTTCGTTACATTTTAAATAAAGTAAATTGGCGTGGCGGATATTGTGACAGATACGGGCGACCTCATTAGACACCAAGTACAACCTGTAGTAACTATTAACCTCGTATTAGGTCACCTCCTTACATTGAGGAAATCAAGTATCCACATATGAGAATAGTAGATAACCATTTAAAAGTTAGCCATTTAAGAGAAAATTCATACTTTGTATATTACAGATTATTAACGTCTAACGTTGTGAAGTGTATGAAATGTTATGATGGCTGAAAATGGAATGATAACCCTGCGTGCGCTATCGCTATATGCTGGCGGGGCGATAATACCAGCGAGAGATAATAGGTGAAAATGAAAGCAGATACCTTAGCTTTTCATGACAAATTCAATAAGAATTAACCACTGTGATTTTCAAGGGGAGTTCCGTGAATTTCGACTCGATAAGATGTGTTACTAACAATGGGCCTTCTAGCAAGCCTTCTTCTCCTGTATAAAATGTTTGGATCGATACTGTGGCACCGTTCTCTAAACCAATCTCTGAAACTATCATTTTTTTACTATTGAAGAGTCTCACGATCTCACCTGATGGAAAGCAATGATATGGTCTAGGATGGATTAAGATCTCGCAGGCCCTCGAATTGCCTATTCACATTTGTCAAAAATTAGTGCAGATTTTATTTGGATGGAAAAAAAAAACTTGGTCGTACGTACGATGAATGATGATGCAAAGCACTTAGTGCTTATAAATGGTATGTCTACGACGTCAGGGTGGAGGCTCTCGCCTTGTCTAATCTTCCGATACCGAAAAGGTAAAGGAGGAATCAGGTCATGCAGTTCTTGAACACACTCTATAATGCATCCCGTAGAAAACAACGAGTCGCGAAATTTTTCGATAGAGCCTCGACCTCAAAAATGGGTCAACTTTTTGTCAGCTAATTGTCAAATTAGCTCACTCGATTTTTAAGTGTTCTATATACTTACGCATCTAACGTGTCTTGACGTATTATCTATCTATACTTATAATAAATCTGTAGTGAGGTTAATTCTGTACATAAAATATATTGCAATCAGTAAATTCTTTGTCTGTCTGTCTGTATGTTCGTTATAGAAACAAAAACTACTCGACGGATTTTAACGAAACTTGGTACAATTATTCTTCATATTTTTCATCACGCTACGATCAATAGGAGCAGAACAGTGAAGGGAAATGTTGGGAAAACGGGAGAAGTTACTCCATTTTTAAGCTTCCGTCGCGTGAGCAGCCTTAATGGCCACTTTTTAAAATGTAAAAATGTCAACCCGTGTGAAGCCGGAACGGGCCGCTAGTTTAATAAATAAAATAAGTATTTACGCATTAAAAAGATGCAAAGTCCTTAATAATTTATCACGCAAAATTGTATGAAAAAGTTGACCCGCTTTTCTCGAAGCATTTTATATGGAGTCTATCTATATAATCTAAGATTTCGAAATTTTGTTTTGATATTACAACGTAATCTTTATTCTAAGTACCTACTAATATAGTAGTACTAAGATACAATTAATACAAAACCAGATTAGTGCAATGTAAATACGTGACCATAAAATAACTTACATAGATGCAATTTAATTTAATTATATATAATATTGCAAAATAGAGAACGTACATATTTAACTTTAGTTTGAGCGCACATGGCACGTTTTGTGTTTGTAATTATACAAATGTATGGTGGAGGTCAACCTGACGGGGTATATTACTGAGGGATATACTGTGGCGTTACTAAATAAATATTGTACGAGTACATATTTATCTCACAGCCACTTGTAAACATCACTTCGATTTCCATCAAATACGCTCTTTCAAATAGGCCGCACAGGCATGACAGCGATTTTCTTAAAAATTACCACATGAGCGGAAAATAACGATTTCACGTGGATGGAGACAGTAAAACATATAGTTTTGTCATCATCATCATCTTCCTACCCTTATCCCAATTATTATTTGGGGTCGGCGTAATATGTTTTCCTCTTCCATTCTTCTCTATTCCCAGTCATTTCCGCATTCACTCCCATTCTGGTCATATCGTCTTTCACACAATCCATCCATGTCCAGTTTTGATACAAACATTAAATAATTATTCTTTCACTAGTCCTATGTACCGCTATTTGCTCTCTCTGTATCGATCGACTACTAAATGATGCCATCAGGCATGAATTCCCCCCTCCCCCTGTATATAGATTATAAATATCTACGTAATTCATATTACGTTATATTTTGACGATACGATTATATGTTCAACCGACTGTTTATACATAAGTTTATTGTATTATCATATCAGCCATTAACTGTCCATTGCTGAAGTTAGGCCACCCCAGATGAAGGTTTTACTACTAGTTGCCACGTTTGGCAGATGAGTTAGCAACCGCAGTTAGGCTTTTGGTGACATTTCAAGAGAAACGCTGTTGCTCATCCCTCGACCATTAAGTTCCTTTAGTCGCCTCTTACGATGCCCACGGAAAAATAAGAGGTAGTCCATTCTATGTGGAGACCAGGTTTATTATATCCTTGTATATAAATAAATCTTCTTTTTATTCTAATTTGTGTACCCACATGACTGACGCTGACACTAATGTACAAAAATTCTAAAGCCACTTTAATAGCCGAAAAACAAAAACCTAATGAGCCGTGACAAGGCTCTTGCACGAACTACTGCACGATGAATATACACAAGATACATTTACATACTTAAGAGATATATTTATTATTAGTATACCAAACAAAAGACATTGTGTTGGTACCAACTACCTACTTGTTATTAATTTCAAACAATATAACTATAAACGACGACCATTTTTCTTATTTATTTTGAACCTCCATTTTATGGAAGCACTTGATGTAACTTCACACTTTAATTGTGGCAAAATCAGTTATTTTCATTTAAAAACTAAAGTACTGAACGGATTTCGAATTCTATAGAACCAATCTATATATCCTATTGAAGAATGAATGCTCCAAATCGGTTTATAACTGATATGGTAACAAACAGAAAAAAAAAATTACAACCGAATAACCTTCTTCTTTTCAAAGCCAGTTGAAAATCTCTTCAAAAAAATTTTTTTCGGTGTGATTGATTTTAAAAACTATGTCGTTTAGTTAAATATAATTCATAACGTTCTTGTCACTTATATTATAAGTTATTTAATTCTACATAAATTTATATAAAAATTTATTTACGAAATTAAGGTTCTTCATGAAAATATTCTATTAAAACACTGAATTAAGGTTGCTGTTTTTAAATTTAAAGGAATCTTCTTCTCTATATATGTACATAATCTTTGTGTATATAGGTATGTATACCTGTTGTTAAAATACAGTGAGAATATTTGCTTCTTTAAAGTTATCACTCAATGAGTCACAACTTCCTAGGCAGTATTACCTAAAACATATGGAAGTTTTCAAAATATATAGAAATATATGTACTTTTTTCATTGTTTTCTTAAACCATAATAATATTCTAACGAAAGCAACTAAATGTATCTCTATTATAATCGTATTTTTTATCTAACCTCGCAGACTAACCTCTAACCTAATCTCTAATACAGACTTACAATATAAACTGTGAGCTTAATTCAGGAGTTTAATTAAGGATTTGAATGTAAAGAACCCATTTTTGTTGTCAAGTGATTCCAAGAAAACCATGGAATCCATAAAACTAATTCTTTTATTATATAACCCATAAAAAATAAGTCCAATCTTATTTTCATTTCATATTTTGCATTTTAAATTAACGCAAATTTTATTTATTTTAATAAACCAATTAAATAATACCTAAAGCACATATTATTAGGTTAATGCAATTAAATGTTCTTATTGAACATATCATAATTTATTTGTCAACGGAAATACAAAAAACCTATTTATGGATCTTAAAATAGCTATTTTTATCTTTTAGTATTATAGTAATATAAAAAAAATATATGTATATAAAAAATAACATTGAATTATTCTTATATACGTAGAGATCATTGACAATTATTGTAATTAAGAGCAGTAATTTATAACTACATCCAATAGCCTTAAAACTGACATTTAACTTTTAGGAAGACGGAAGATACTGGCAGCCTTGACTTGACTTCTTCATACCGCCAACAGTTTTTATAGAACTTCCAACTAATTATATCATCATCGCCTGAAAAGCTTGATTAATTATATTATTTATTAGTTTTTTACGTATTCTTTGATTATAAGATATATTAATAAATAAGTACTCCACTGCTTACGACGATACGATATTCCACTGCTTTTTTTAATGGATGATAATGGCATGGTAATCTCGGCTGCGCTAACGGTATACGCTGTCAGGATTGATACCCTGGTCTCACTGGTGTGAGGGATGATAGGTGGAAATGAAAAAACAGGTCAATTAGCATCACTTTGAATTTAGGACGATTGCCTGTAGGGAGAACCGCAGGAAGGTCGACCTGACAGGGTATATTGCTAATAATGGAGCTTATAGCCCCATTACTAACAATTCCTTCCCCCCCCCCCCACCCTATGTAATATAATCTTAAACATAATTATAATTAGACATATGTGCTGACTTGCAGTTTCGCCGTGAGACGTAATTAATTAGATCTAAAAAAAATTCTTTTTAAATTAAGGAAAATTTTTCATTGGTAAAAACAATCGAAAGAATAGGTGAAAAAGACATGACGTTGGACATTCGAATAAAACGAAATTTCATCACGGATATTACCTATCTAAATATCTAAATTGAAATTTGGAAAGTTTATTCCTGACTATTAGTTATTCTGAAATTATTATTCATACGAACCATATGTATTATTTTCTAGCTGTAGTAGTAATGTACCTATTTAATTTACCTTTATTATAGGCTAATAACATTCTACGTGTTACCTATCCGTTATTACAAAGATAACGAATAAAAATACAAATTTGCAAAATATGCTTTTTTAATTACACAGTACTATCATACCTACTTGTACAACAATTAGTCCATTACCATAAGGTTGTCTTGAAAAGATTGCTCTCAGCAAGAAGACCGCTTTACTGTACTTATACAATTGTATCGTTGTGTTTGTAAATTGTCTTGTTTATTTCCTATATTGTATAATGCAAATAAAGTATACTCATTCATTTATAGTCTAAAAAGACTCGAGTCTAAGAAATAAACAAATAAAAAAAATGAATAATTAAAAATCAAAATAGTATTGTCAATATACAAGTGCAGTTTATTTCACTATAGTTAAAATTTTACGATGTTAAATATTAAAAAAAAATTTTTTGAAATAATGTAAATTTTCAAGTTATCTATTAAATAATCATTTTTTTATTATTATTATTAGGAAGGCAAACGAGATGACGGTCCACCTGATGAAAAGCGACTACCTTCACCCGTGAACACCTGCAACACGAGAGGGGTTGCTTGTACGTTACCAGCCCTTTAAATGCTTGTAGCCAAGCTTTTTGAAATTCCCCATATTAATATTATAAAAGGAAAACAGAAGACGGGAGCTCATTAACAAATTAACTTCTTCTATGTATAATAGTTGGCCGTGTGGTCCTGACATAGAATAGGGCATCCTTTCCTTTCCCGTGGGTGTCGTAAAAACCAGCTAAGAGAGGGCGAGGGATGGGCAGCAGCGTCCCTCTTAAAACATCTCAAAAGCCTGACTGCAATTGGCAATCTTTCTGCCAAGCGTGGCAACTATTGGCGAAACCCCCAAGAGGGGGGCTTTTGTTCAACAGTGGACAGTTAAAGGCTGATATGATGATGATGATGATGATGATGTGTATTAGTTAAGTAATTGCATACTAAACATAATTCGTCGACTTCCATAACGCAATGGTAGGCACAATGCATTTCTTACATGAAGTACCGAGTTCGATTCTCTGTTGGGTCAATTTAAGAAACGAACTTCTCGGAATTGCCTCGAACCTGTTATAATGATTGTGTGGCATTTATTATTATTATTACAAGAACACCTTATTATCTCAACACAGATTAAATAAACAACATGAATGAATAAAAAAGTTATGTTGGATTTTATTTAGATTTTTCCTACACTTATTACGTTAATTATTAAAAACTATATCTTATTAATATCTAAAATAAATTAGAGCCGTTTTAAATAATTAATGACAAATAAATATATTTAAAAAAATATAAAAATTGTAGATAAAGCGAGCGAGATTTGAAAATAAAATTATAAATTATTTATTTAAATATAAATTAACCAAATTGCTCATCATACATTAAAAACTTAAATTTTTAAATAAAATTTTCATCTACATAACACTTCATTACGTTAAAAATGTTTCCAGTTATTTAAATTAAATTCAACACAGCATATTTGATCGGTAAATCAATATGCGCACGCGCACGTTTCTCGGCCGTCAGATAAGAGAGCAGGCACAGTAAGCGAGCACGGTTTCACAACTGAAGATTAAACTCCAGTGTCCGCATCGCTTGATCTGTCCAAGTCATATATCCAACACGAGATTATGACGTTCACGACGCATCCTGTAATTTCACACAATAAGCGTGAATAAAATAAGAGTGAATATGCACTGGTTCGTAACTAAAAAGAGATTACTTACTTATTCACGAATAGGATGGAGCCTTCCGATGAGATATTTTTTATGTAACTTGATATGGCAATCAAGCTGACAGTCTACCTAATGGCAGTGTGTTAACCGTCGCTTATAGGAAAAAGGGATTCTTAGTAATGGGCACTAGCGGCCCCACTGCTAGCAAAATATCCCTATCAAGTCACGCGGCCAAAAAATTACAATGTAATGATTTTGACTTGTATTTTATTATGTTTATCCCATGTCTAAATTTACAATACTGAAATTAAATTAACAAAATATATTAAAAAGTATATTTTGTAGATAAATAAATTTAAAAAAATATCATATATACTAATGAATTGAAGGTAGTGTAAACTATAAATATATACCTGAAAAAAAATATTTCTTATAACACAATAGCCGTTATGAATGATAACACCTGAGGGATACAATGCGCGTCAAAGTGTGTTTCAAGATGTTTATATCTAGAGGCGACTTTACTTTCTACCAGCTGAATCGTCAGTTTGTTCACCATTTCAAATTGCAAAAAAATATATATAAATTTGAATTTCACGGAGAGGTCAGTAATCGATGTCTTCGGTCATCTAGAAATCTCCTATCTGTACCATGTTCACGTCCACTACGCTGACTTATTTCGCCATTCAAGCCATTAAGCACTGGAATGCTTAACCCTGTGACATTAAACTGCCCAAAACTGGCATTAAAGCATAAATTATATTCTTTTTATTTAAGAGTAGAGTCCTTAGAATCATTATATGTTTAGATGTTTTGTTTTGTTTGATGTTGGTATTTCCCTTGTATCTAAGTAGTTTCTCGTCTGACATTATTTTTACTATTTTATTTTAATACAGTTTTTGTTTTTCGGTTTATTTGCTCATTATGTTACACCATAAATTATATTTTCTTTTATTCTTGTCTATGGTCGACTATACGCAGATAACGTCATATGGTATTAAGTCCGCCGTTAAAAAAATAAAAAAAAATGTGTTTTGTTTTTTATCTTGCACATAACTTTGTATACTAGATTACCCACTAATTATCCAATATCATTGTATTAGATTGGCTAGAAAAGATCTCTTTAAGAGATAAGTCTACTCGTGGTAATTCCGTCATAGATAGATATGTTGTTTATACAATTATAATAAAATATAGGTATAATGTACCTACATATATAATAAATAATAATAATACAAATTACAAACAAAATAGTCTCACTAAGCTAGTCCTAAACTATACAAGATATTGTAAAAATCTTTAAGTTCTCTAAGTAATCTTCTTTAAATAGTGTATCAATAGCTTAATAAATAGTTCGATTTAATCTATCGATAAAATAATCAAACATCTGAAATAATATAGACAAGGGGTGGCCAACTGTTCGATCACAATTAGTCCAGATATTAGTCCAGTCGATTGGGGCAAGTTAAAAAATATAATATTTTGCTAATCTAGCGAAAGATGCTCAGACGCAATGCTCACACTAATACGACTATAAATAAGTAGTTACTAAGAATAATTCTCAGTTAATTTCTTTCCTTAATAAAATAAAAAAATACTATAATACTCCATAATTGTGTACTGAACTATGTTGTTTCATTTGAGATTTCAAGAAATATGTAATTATTAGATCGCACAGGGTTTCACCAGCAAACAGTAAATCTTGGGTCTAGTCTGTTCGACCTCTCCTGCTATACACACTATAAACAATCACTCAATACATAGTACGTTATACTACGTCTATGCAATCACTTATGATGGTATGGGATTATAGGAGAGAAACGTAGTTATTACAGTGTAACCATCGCATGACTATACTAAGTCCCAATTACAGGAGTCAGCTATTTTATTTTTAATTTGTATGTTAATTGCAAAAGAAACATTGCATAATTATGGGAATGTACGGGAGAAAAAAACACCTACCTGTACAATGTCTACACGTAACAGCAGATCTTGACATAGGTACAGGTGCCTGTTGTTTATATCTAAACATGACATAAATGGACATTTTATACTGTTGAGAGAATATACGTTCTGTTTTTAGTTGGTACTGTGTTATTCATGGATGGTCCTGTGTTCGCTGAGAATGATTTAGTCACATAACATGCTACATTGTACATTGTTGTACATTGTACATTCTACAGTTTTCGTTCAGCTTCTCAAAGGCTGACTGTAAGAAATTTATGGGATAAGTCCGCCATTGTATATTAAATCATTTATCAGTGTTCAATGTGAATTATGTACAATAAAGATTTTACAATACAATACAATGCTATAATAAAATAAATATACCTACGGTAGATAGGATTGCCTAATACACTATATACTTTTAATATATATATACTATATGATGATAATATTTTTTATATTACGTTTATTAAATTTATATTATGTATAATAAATAAATAAATGACTAATATTTTTTGGCACTTTGGGTTCGAGATAGAGTGTGAAATTGTGAATCGTCAGAGAATTTTGTAAATAACCCACATTTTTTTCTTTTTTATAGTAATTATAATAAGCGCTATATAGAAAAGGCATTATACATCGCGATGCGGATAAAACAATGAGACTCTAAGACCCAGTGGTCTTCACGCACCCATTTGGTGTAACAAGCCAACAGACTCTCAAGGTCACTGCCTTGCGAGACTTAAGCCTTTGATCTTGACTGTTATCATTCTATTAAGATGATACCCGTCATAATAGTCCAAGATATGAGTATTTATTTAAAATAGTAATACTACGCTATACATTAGTGCCTAAATACGTATAATAGGTGAAGAATAGTGTAATGATTTGTAAGTACCCGTATATATTACGTAGTATGTATTAACATCATATTTTACATAAGCACCTATGATTTATTTTCTCTATAATTTTAAATTGTGTTCCACAAAAAAACGGACTACAATTATTTGAACTTGTTACTCCAATTATAATTCGCACACGTACTAATGGTAGCGGAATTAAACGAAATACTAAATATAAAAATTAAAGTACTGAGCCAATTTTGATAAAATTTCTATGCGACCAGTCTGTAAGTATACCCTTTCAGATAAAAAATTAAATCAGATAAATAAATCTCTGAATCAGCGGATCTACCATGAAATGAAATTCCAAAATTTCGGACTCAATTTAGCGTTTTTGTTTATACCAAAATCGGACCAATAAATGAAGTTTAACATTTCGTTCGTCATACATCCTATCATAAAAGTCAAAAGGAACAATATTTTAACATTTTTAATATTTCCAAACGGCATGTATTATGTAATTTTAACATCAAATTTTTGTTTCGTTTGGCTCCGTAATTTCGGAAAACATTTCATAGTAGGCCCTCAGTTTTTAACTGACGAAAGTATGTAGTAACAAACATTAAAAAAAAATAACCGAATTGAGAACCTACATTTTGAAATCAGTTGAAAAATGGTTTCAAATTTAATTAATACAGGAGCAAACCTTTATAATTAAAAAAGGAGTCATGAAAATTGATTCAGAATAATAAACTAACTGTCCACGTAATAAAATAGATGGAATGTAATAAAAATAAATACACACAAAAATACCTTCCTAAAAACACCGACTGTCAGATCATAATCGTTACTTAATCTCATTGCCGAACTCATGGTCTAATGAAGATCATCACTCAGTAAGAAAAAAATAAGATCTACTTAATGCAAGGCTACAGATTATGGAGACGTACTAAATTAACACGCGGTTTTGTCAGGCGTCCTTTACAAAATATATTTATTTATTTATTCATTAGTACAAATATGTGTACATGGCGGACTTAATGCTAAAAGCATTCTCTCCCAGTCAACCATAGGGAAGTCAGAATACTCGAATGCAATACTACTAATTATTGGTATACATACTTACTAAAATGGCATATATAAACGAATAATATAAATAACAATATACTTACACATATATGATATATACTATATTATACACGAAATTGAGAATAATATAAAGCACTTACTACTCGGATAAAGTAAAAAAGTGAGCGTGAACGCTTTTTTTATATATCTACCTAAAAATGTTTATTGGAGTGCTGAAACAGTTTTTTTTTTAATATATGTAGGTCAGTAAGTACAATTATTAACATATCTATACATGTAATAAATCTGTAAAAATCGAATGTCTGTACATAGAATAAAACGCTAAAAACCGAATCAAGTTCCCTTGTTAGAAGTGAAACAGGACAATTTTTTATTTTATTTTTTTGTTTCTCTGTTTAATGTAATAATTTGTGCTAATCTCCAAAACTGATTTAAATTAAATTTTGCATAGCGGCACCTTACATCCCCGGTCAACGTTTTAGATACTTTTGATCACGGAAAATTAAAAAGTTCCTGTGGGATAGTTAAATAACTTTAGTAACTTATACAGCTTAGTACCCAATCTACTTAAGTCATTTTGACCTGAGGCAAAGAGTGAGAACGACACGTCATTTGTTAATTTTGGACCAGTATTTCAAGACACAATAAATAGGTAGGTAAATACATCGATACGTACTAAACAGGAATAACAAATACCACGCAAAGTCGCGGGCATCAGCTAGTTAACAGCTAGCTAGCGGAGCGGGAGGGATTATTTGTAATAGGGTCTAATAGCCCCATTACTAGCAATATACCCTCTCAGGTCGACCTCCACGCGGTTCTCCCTGAAACCATCACGTTTAATTCTTGTCGAATTCATCATGGTGAGCCAACTGACCTGCATTAATTCTCACCTATAATTTTTCACTGGTGCCTCGTCGGTGTAAACCGATAGCGCGGGCGGGGTTACCATTCCATTTTCACCCAAAAAAAACAGCTAGTTAACGTTTAGCATTCGGCATTACTTTTGAATACATCTTCAAATCATGTAGCTAGTAAATGTTCCATTGATAATAAGTGTTACACGATTACACCAATCGCCTGATCCTCGAGCAAGGATGACCCGTGTTATAAGGTACCAGGCAACGAACTTTGGTACCTCTGTCCGTTTGGGTACCTCTGTCCCATTAGTGTTTCAACCGTAAAGCAGTTGTGTCTACATGGCTGTATTTCGGTTTGAAGGGTGGTATACGGCGTGAATTTACTGGGTACAGAGGAATAACACCTGAGTCCTCAGGAATGGCAACACATGGGGGGGTATCATGGACGAAACAGTATACTCTGTTATGTCCATGGTACTGCTCATGTCTATAGGCGACGATTACCACTTTCCATCAGGTGGGCCGTCAGCTTGTCATTCTTATTTGTATAAAAAAAAAAGGTAAAACAAACAGTTGATGGTCTTAACTTTTATTGTAGTGTATTAAAAAGAATGGCCGTGTGTATACTATAGATTAGCTGGTCAATTCACTAGCCATCCGCAAAGGCATATTTCGCATCTGTTACATTAAACAAAACTAAATACAAAACATGTGTCACCGTTTTCAGAGAAGCGACAAATTTTGTAATGATACAACAATACAACCATATACTTTCTTATATACCAGCCCGTCGCAGTACTACATATATATACAGAGTCATTATAGTTTGAAGCACAGATAATTTGTAGCAACCAAGATAGCATAGATAATTTGTAGTCAATAAGATTGTCCCACAAACAAAACTACAAATGTGACTAATCTGTACTAAAGTACTAAACGGATTTTGATACAATTTCTATGGGACCAATCTGTAAGTATATTTTTTTAGATAAAAAAAAAAGAAAAGATTTTCCAGATCGGTTTAGAAATGACAGAGTGATGACGTAACAAATATAAAAAAAGAGCAAATTGAAAACCTCTTCTTTTTGAAGTTTTGAAATAAATATTTATTATTAGAAAGTATTATATTTTTATATTTGGAACTTATTATCAAATAATTAAGATCGTGTTCTACAAAAAAAAAGACTCCAATTGCGGCAAAACCAATTATTTTGATTTAAAAACTAAACTGCTGAACCGATTTTAATAAAATTTTCACGGGACCCATCTGTAAGTGTATACTTTCAGATAAAATTAATTCTCTGAATAAGTGTAAAACTGACGACGTTATGAGGTAACAAACATTAAAAAAAAATAACATACATTCGAATTGAGAACCTCCTCTTTTTGAAGTCGGTTGAATACAACCACCTATAGGCAATAGGAGGCTGCTTTCTGCATAACTAGTTCCATTTAGCATATTTAGTTAATATTAAGTTTCTTTTTACATACTTTATTTAAAAAAAAACATTTAACCGTTCAATCTCATATACATTCTATAATATTGTTCAATAATAAGATAGAAATGCACTTATACTTAGTACTGCGTACATGATTCAGGCGTTAGGTACTCTAATTATACATAATATTATACAATGTACTTACTATTTTTTTCTTAATTCATTTTTTTGGGTAGCAAACGCGCAATACATGATAATCGATTCCTTGGGAAAATATAATCATAATGTTAACGCTTACCTCACAGTCTTATTAAAATTTAATAATATTGAACTACCAATAGTTGGTAGTACAAATTACGAACAATCCGGCTAGATTTATTCAATAAAATAAATAATAATGCATATTCACAGTTACTTAGATAATATATCTAATAATACATACATAGACTGCACTGAAGTGTGATTTCATAATGAAAAGTAAATGTTACAAAAGCTTATCATAAAGCAATAGAGAATAGTCACCATAGAGAAGTTTCTAAATATCTATTTTTTTCTTTTAAATATACAAAATTTTTAAAACTGAAATTGCCTAATTTTTTTTTTATTTTTTAATTAACTAATAATGTGAGTTCTCCCGCTTATCTATGGATTCATTTTAATTGTTCTAATTACAACATAATTAATTAAATTCCAAAGGTAGAGAATGAGCCACAGTTCATGCCCCGACTATTAAACTTAATAATAATAATTTATTACTATTATTACTATCTATTAGGATTGCGAGCACACACGCATGCATGTAAAATATCTAGCCTGTCAACTTTAAGCGAAAAGGTAAAAAGGGTGTATTTTTAAGCAATTAAATATCATATGCCACAAAAAACCGACTTCAATTGTGACTAAACCAATTATTTTTCTCTAAAAGTTAAACTACTTAACCAATTTTGATAATATTTCTATGGGACCAATCTGTAAATATATCCTTTCAGATAAAAAAGAATATTTAAATTCGGTTCAAAACTGATGGAGTTATGAGGTAACAAACAAACAAAAATTATAAGCGAATTGAGGACCTCCTTTTTGAAAACGGTTGAAAATACAGTAATAACCCAATATGAATTATGACGAATTGACCACAATGGTTTCTAGATAGGATTGCGAGGAATGAGCAAGCGTACTTCTGTACCTCGCTAGACTTTCACGTCCACAGATAAATACCTTACTGCCTACTCTCTAGAGTACGGTTTGCTTTAGAAGTTGACAGGCTAAAAAATAAACCCCTAAACAAGGCAACTTAGATTAAGCTATGCTTAAACGAACCTGGCGGAATACACTTAGCAATTACGAGTCGCCTGTCGAACACTGTCGACTCCGAGGCGGTACAAAAATAAAATACAGCATCCCTTAGGCTAGCCGTCAGTCTTTCTAATTCTCATCGTAGAGGGGCGTCGCGTCGCCTAGCGACATGGACCGCGGCGACGTGTTCGTGTGCGGCGTCGACCGCACCGACTGCGCCCGCGACGACCTGCCCGAGCCGGGCCGCGGCGTCCGGTTCGGATCGTGCCGGCTCTCGTGTCTGCTCTCGTGTCGCCCGTCGTGCCGTCCAGACCGAGACTCGTGTCTCCCGGACCGGGTATCCTGTCGAGGTGTTCGACTAGCCGGCCTCGGCGTAGACATAGCGTCGCTGCTTCGCGGCGTCGAGGGCGTATCTCGCAGCGTCCGGTGCCGCACCCAGTCCTCGGCCGCCTTCTGCCAGTCCGATGGCTCCGTGTACGGAATCTGCACGGGCTTGTGCCTGGGCACGATCGGGGCGAGGAAGTCCGGCTGGCGGGGCGTGGTCGCGAATGGTGTCATGTACGGTGTCTGGGCGGAGGGAGTGTAGGGAGTGTTGATGTAGCCGGCGCCGGGCCCAGGCGTGTGCGCGGGTGTGTGGAAGGCAGGCGTGTGCGCGGCGGGCGTGTGGTACATGGCGGATGTCATGCCGCCGTGCGGTGTTCGCAGCGCCGGTGTCCGCTGCACGGGCGTGCCACTGGGCGGCGGGTCCCTGAAGTGTTCCTTGAACCATTTCAGTAGCCCTCCGAGAGAGTCGAACATTCTCTGTCTAAATTTGTACCCGTCGGGCATCACCGATATGTACTCGTGCGTACATCGACTTCGCGGCAGATAGGAGAGTAGGAATCGTCCCGGGTGATTTTTGGCTGCCGAGATAACGTAGTGAATTTTGTTTGGGTTTTTGGCTTTTTCCTCCTTTAGCAGCTCCTCGGCTTTGTCCCTCATGCCGCCCAGAGGTTTGTAGTACTTGTAGGCGATGAGGTCGCGCGCGTGTCCCGCCATTGGGGTCACGTGGCGCGCGATGATTTCATCGAGATCTTCAAATTCAGATCCCTGAATCCATAGGCTTCGACCTGACAACGACAAACATGGACATTTCAAACCTAAATTCTTAAACAAGTTATTTAACAACACCTAAGTCATTAAAAATTAATTACAGGAACATAAATAACTTTTACACACCTAATGAGAATGCGTTTTCTTTGCCTTCCTCACGTACATCTATATGCTGACATATGCCATCTGCTACTTTCCATGTTACAGTGAGATGATCAGAACCCTGTAACAGTTATTTTTAAAATATAACAACATATATAAATTCACGAACTTCTAAAAAAATTTAGTTTAAGATACGCACTCTAAGACAGTACCATATTAATTTAAAATTATCTCAATTCCATAATTTGCATTTACAAATAGTAAAAAATAGTTTTTTACCTTACTACTAGGTCGAACGATCACCTCGCCTTGCGCCATATTTTCCATTAACTTTTCAGCTTCCGCGAATGAGATATTGTGGAAGGCGGGGTGCACTATTACCCGCTTCACGTACTGCATGCGTTCTTTAGTCTGTTTAGCCTCTGTATCCTTACGCACATCCTTGTCTTCTGATTCTTGATCATAGTATGGGTCTTTTTGAGGTCTGTAATAATGTAACAAATCATTATATTTTAAATTACATAATTTGTATGCTGTAAGTCACATAATTAGAATTAAGAATTAATTACTAACAATCCCTTCCCTTCTAAAAACACGGGTTGGACAGATAGATACCTCTATAAGTTTGTATGTTTATTTATTATAAATTGTTATCTCTTAAAATATTTATTTAATTTACTATTTTTTTAAATCTGTGCACCATCATTTGCTCTCTCTGTTTGGCGTGGCGGTTGACTGGTAGAGAATGCCATCAGGCATTAAGTCCGCCCTGTAGACATTTTTCAATATGTGCAAAAGTATAAATAAATACCTCTATCTAACCCGTGTTTCTGTTGTGCTGTCAATATTATATAAACTCCCCTCACACTTGTTAAGATTTTAAGTCTTAATTAATTTTTAAAGACCTCACCTCCACTCCTTATTCTTGTCCAGTAGGTCGGAGGACTTTGAGGAGCAGTCGACAGAGAACCTCTCGACGTCGATCTTGAGCACGCGGCAGTGCACGGTCTGGCCGAGGCGGACGCGCTCGGTGGGGTCAGCGACGTGGCGGTCGGACAGGTTCTTGATGTGTATGTAGCCCGAGAGCCCGTTGTCGAGCCGCACCCGTACACCAGTCGCCTGCCCGGGACACGCGCCCGCGTCGAAGTGATTCCACACCTGACCACGAAGTAACCAATCATTATGTTATTTAACAGTTAACATTGTTATTATGCTTACGATATGCCAAAATGTTTTAGAACTGGGGGCCTACCATGAAATATAATTCCGAAGTTTCGAACTCAATTTCGTGTTTTCGCTCATACCTAAATCGGCCCAGCTCAACATTTCGTGCGTCATAAATCCTACCAGACTTAAAAGTCCAAAGGAATAATATTTTCATATTTTTAATGTTTTTAAACGGTAAGTATTATGTAATTTTAACATGAAATTCGTGTTTCGTTCGGCTCCGAAATTTCGGAAAACATTTCATGGTAGGCCCTCTGATCTGTTCCAAAATAACTTAATAAAAAGATAATTATTAAGGTGTTAATTTGCCTCTGTCCAAAATATTAATCGATGTCATAAAAAACCTAGCTACTTTGTATTGTAATATAAAATCATCTTACCTCTGAAAGTTCGGGAAAATCGTTCTTGTGACAGAAAGGACACTCCCATAAACCAGTCTCATCATTTCTCACGGGATTGGCCTGATCAAGCATCTCTCTTTGAGGCTTCCTGTGCGTGATACCGAACACCGTAGCTAATACCATCTTCCCTACATAAAATATTTCCGGAGACTCCTTAGTCAGTATATCAAATAACTCTTCTGGAGTCGGCGAACGATATGGAACTCTTAAATCTTTATACCTAGAGTTTAATTCTGCTCGAATATCATACAACGTTATACATTTGTTGCCGAATCCTTGGCGCTCTAACTCTTCCGCGAATGCATCCAAATCTAAATCTTTCAGCCTCTCTGGCGCCTCTAAAATTTCCTCCACGGCACCAGCAGGATTAGCATCCTCGTCTTCATACTCGAGCGCATCGACCGCCATCTTGCGAGCCCATTCATACGTCTCCGGATGGACTCTAGACCCATCGAGGACTTCTATATACGCCTCTGTGCTATCACCGAGGCTGCTTGTGTCTATTTTTATGAACCCAGAGCAATTAATAAATACTTTAGGGCCCATATGACATACAGTTACCAGCTGTGTTCTATTTTCAAGTTTCTGATTAGTCTGTTTGAAGAGTTTTATTAGCGCTTGAGCCTTCCTTGGTCCTAAACCGCAAACAAATTGCAACAACTCGGTACCGCGACCTGTGAGTATCGCTTCGTTCATATCCACACCAACTTCGTTTACCCGATTAACAAATTCTAATTCAACGCCTTCAAGTAGATCCTCCTTCGCTATTTGATCCTGCAATGGGTGATACCGGAGACATAAGATTTCTTCATCCGGACCACAGAGCTGGGAAATTTCCATCAAAGGATCTTGTAAGAGGCGACCTTGACAAATTGCTTGCCGCAGAACTTCAGGATACTCTCTAAAATCGTGCTGTAACAAATAATATAAGAAATAAAAAATAAAATTGAGAAAAAAGGTAAACAAACGTTATAGAAACCTACAAAAAATAAAGTGTTAGTTTGTTCTGTTTTAAAAACAAAGTAATCTTTTTCATGTACCACAAAGGTAGCAAACAAGCATACATTCCATCTAATTTTGTTACAATGTTTTTTTATAAATATATTATCTTTATTTTTTTACACCATGAAGGTGGCAAACAAGTATACTCATATAATCTGTTTGATGATAACAGTTACTGTAGTCTATGGAAACCTGCAACTAGAGATGTCACAGGGCGCATTGCCGACCCTGAAGAAACCGTATTATTTGAAACAGTTGAAGATCCAAGAAGAAATTTCTAGATAAAAACTAATAAACAATAGATAAAACAATGTATCAAGACTTACCCGGCCGCGTATGCTATTACTGTAAATTTTGCTAATGTGATTATCAGCTATTTCTATAGGTATCCTTGGAAACTGCTCATCTTCAACTAGTTGCTGAACACAGTCCGCCACATCTGCCTTTATATTGAGCGCCTCGCGAGACTCGCCGCCTATCACGATTACATGGGGCTTTTTGTGTAATATAAATCTGTGAAAATAAAACAGTTCATTTGAGAAACTTCTTATATAAAAATAGTAGAAAATTTTAAAAAGCATTAGCGACTATAGATTGAAGACTATAGACTGAAAAAAAAGTAGTGAAGAATAATGAGCAAAGAATAAAAAGAGCCATGTCGTTAATTAATATTTAATAGCCAATTATTAATAGATAGTGAGAAGAAGTGAGAATATTAAGTAATAACTTGATAGTGTGTGAATAATCAATTAATAAAAAATAAGAAATTAATACTGCATGGTGTTTAAATAGTAAGTGAGTATGAGTCAAAAGTCAAAAGGCGTGTGGCCCCAGCATAGAATAGGTTACCCCTTCCTTTCCCATAGGTGTCATAAAAGGCGACTAAGTGAACTTAACGGTCGAGGGATGAGCAGCAATGTCCCTCTCAAAACATCTCTAAAAGCCTAACTGCGGCTGCCAACCCACCTGCCGAGCAAGGCAATAACTGGCAGAACTACTTTTATGGGAATTGCTTACGTTCAGCATTGGGAAGTTAACGGCTGATATGATATAATAATAAATCAAAAGTGTATAAAATATCCAACAGCGCAATTAAAAGTAGTAACTGACTGGGTTAAGAATAGGTTATTTGTGAATGCACAAATAACCTATTCTTCACCCAGTCATGTCAGTGACCGAGTTAGCAGTGAATGAGTGGGAGAGCGAGTAGTAAGCAGAGACGGTCACCGTCGGAGCGCGGTCATGTCGGCCTCCTTGTTGCGGCGCTCGAGCGCGTCCCAGGCGTTGCGGCGGTAGAGCAGGTGCGGCAGCCGCAGGTGGTCGGCCACCTCGCCGCCGCCGCCCACCACGCACGCGAACGCAGAGTGCTGCCGGTCCGGCACGTACGCGATCGACAGCACACGCAGCCCTGCCCGATATACATACCTCGTCACGTAACCATCCATAAGTACAAATCTAAAATCGCAAACTAACTATTGGATGGCTCCGTCAGCCGTGGCTGATGGACACGATCTGTACAGGACATTTATATTAAACTGTCAGTAACAACCGTGATATCGGACTGTCTTTAGATGATCGGACGTCCGACGACGTATAGATGCTGGCAGTTTTGCACACACACACACACACGCACGCACGCACGCACGCACGCACGCACGCACGCACGCACGCACGCACGCACGCACGCACGCACGCACGCACGCACGCACGCACGCACGCACGCACGCACGCACGCACGCACGCACGCACGCACGCACGCACGCACGCACGCACGCACGCACGCACGCACGCACGCACGCACGCACGCACGCACGCACGCACGCACGCACGCACGCACGCACGCACGCACGCACGCACGCACGCACGCACGCACGCACGCACGCACGCACGCACGCACGCACGCACGCACGCACGCACGCACGCACGCACGCACACACACACACACACACACACATGCGTATCAACTTAGAGAGATAAACGCGTACACTTCAGTCGAAGCTGACGAAACGTCCTATAGTATATTTGCGAATAGCTACTGAAAATATAATATATGAATTTAACAACGTATTCTAATTTCAAACATACCATTAGAGGCGTCCCAATCCTCATCGTCGTCATCGGACACCCGGGACTCGTATGGAGCGACTTTCAACCAATCGTATAGCCGTCGACGACAGCATCTATACAACAATTAGTCACATGTAACAAATGCAATTATATTTATTAAAATTAGCATTTTAAAATTCATATTAAAATACCATTCGATCGAGATCATTTAACTGATTTAAACACATCAAATACGTTACTACAGTTCAAAAAACAGATCACACAGAGACATCGGAGTAATATAGTAAAAATACTGTCTAATCGATAGTAATATATTATTAAATTATATGCATGGCCAATATTTAAATAACAACTCACGGTGGAGCTTCTGTACTTACTTGAGCACATATTCCTTGGACTCCTGCAGCAGCACGGCGTTAAGTTCTCGTCGCAACTCTGGCATAACGATTTTGTTGAGTGCAATGGTGACCGCCTCCGCGCGGAGCTCGTTCCACGCCTGCACCGTAGACGCGAACTCATCCTGACAACATTAATTTTATATAATGTAAAAAGAAAAAATGAGACAACAAATATGCTGTCTTTTTTAAACATGTGATAATGTAAACTTAATTGTAAATTTATATAAATCATTTGCTATTCACATAGAGAGCCAACGTTATATAAAGTAAATGTTGGAAACACTGTGTTAATAACTCTGATACAAATTCCATTCTCATTGTTACATTAAAAAAGATAATTCGAAGTACAGTAACTAAGTAACCCTCAAAGTGTTTTATCAATATGCAATGCAGAAAAATATTTACCGACCCTTAACTCAATACATTAAGCAAATCAAAGAATTTATTTACTTTAGTAGTTTTATTTCTTATAACAAATTTAAAACAATAATAAGTGAATTGATACCCCACGAAATAAAACTACTGATAATGATTTTAAAATTTTAAGATAATCTAAAAACGACAGATTCAATAATATCTAATAATAATAACTAACCTTTTGATAAAGCTGTTTAAGCTCCTCTAAATAACTGGGACTGGTGTTGCCTTCAATCTGTTCACTGATATTTAGCTCCAGCAACTTGTCTTCCGCAGCCATCGTCAACTTGAGAAACTGATCGCCTGTTAAATCGCGCACCGGCTTCTTCTTGAGGTATTTTAAACTGCACAAAAAAATAATATTTAGTATTGTTGATGATAGCATTACAAGAGTACAAACTAGTTATACAGCTTAAACATTTTGGCCCTTCAAGCCGGATCAAAATATTTTTAATTACCATTTAGAATCCTTATTTGATTTTGTATAATTCTATGTTATAAATGTACAATTTAACTTTTTTTGACAAGCTGGAGAGCATGTATTTGTTATCTGCACATTAGGTAAACACCTTAATAAATATTCCTGCGCGTATGTTATTTTCATTAATATATATGTGAAAGTAAGTTTGTTCATTTTTTTTTGTTTCATTTGCTACTTCTTAGTGGTCACGCGTAAAAAGTAGCAAGTAAAAACTCACTTAAGCTGTAAATCACTAGTGAGATAAAGAAATCGTTTTATTTAGTGCTTACAAACTACAGCTATACAAAAAGACATACTTGGGAGAATGTAATAATAATGATTTTTGTACGCCAAAGCCATCATACCTGTCTCCAATGGCAAAATAATTCTTATGTACAATACTATTTTTTGGACAGAATAAATATAGTGAGGTATTGAAATGAAATGAGAAGCAGCAGGCTGGCAGACCTGCAACAGGGGTGGTTATGATGAGATATTAAAATGAGATTAGAAGCAGCAGGCTGGCGGACCTATAGCAGGTGTTTATGATGAGGTATTAAAATGAGATGAGAAGCAGCAGGCTGGCGGACCTATAGCAGAGGTGTTTATGATGAGGTATTAAAATGAGATTAGAAGCAGCAGGCTGGCGGACCTATAGCAGGTGTTTATGATGAGGTATTAAAATGAGATTAGAAGCAGCAAGCTGGCGGACCTATAGCAGAGGTGTTGTAATGTGAGGAGTGGCAGCAGGCTGGCGCACCTGTAGCAGGGGTGGTTCTCGTCGATGTCCTTGAGGCCGCGCGGCGTGGGCCGCACGCTGAGCGTGGCGCGCTCGCGCAGCGCGTCCCGCAGCGCGCCGCGCAGCCCCGGCTCGCGCGCCAGCTGCACGCCGCACATGTACACCGCGCGCCGCACCACCTCCGCCGCCGACCCAGTCGCGCCCGCCTGCGCACACGCACACATAGCACGCGCCACTCGCATACTACACCACGCGTCCGTCAGCCGCGACTGGCGGACGCGTACTGACACAACTAGCACAGAATATTTACATTCAACTGTGCACACTAGCGCTCGTCATTCGCTGATGTGATCTTGGATCATCGTTGGACAGTCGAAGATCTGACGATGATCTGACATACTGGATGGTTCGCACACATGCACATCAAATAAAGAGAGAGAAAAATAGCCAAAAACAGTGTACATGCTTTGAATGAATAATAACTTTATTTGCTTGAATACATTAGAAATATTTAATGTTAAAAAAGAAGACTCTGCATTCAACCGTGTGGCGTGCAAATATTTAATTTAAATTGTTGTTGTCTTTAAAATTTTACATTAAAATAGTCTTCAAGTGAATAAAAACATTTCTCAATTTTCTCGTAAAATTTTTTGTTTTGTTTCACTTGTCACTATGGTTTCTAGATTTGCATTTTTTTTAATGAGTGAAAATGAAATGGTAGTCCCACGACGCTATCGATATACGCTGACAAGGTACAAATGAGAGAGGACAGATAAGGCTGAAAGCAGGTCAGTTAGCCCATCACTTTTTACAAAATTTGCTACATTTAATAGATTTTGTTATTGTAAAAATAAAAACCTATAAATCACATCTTATATGCAGAATGTTTTCATATCATAATATAAGATAAATTGAGTCTGGCACTTACATAAGCGGCGGCAGCTTCTAATGGCGGTATAGGTTGCTGTTCTACCTCGTGCCGCTGGTAATTGTCGCGAACGTTCTCAGCAAACTGCTCCGGGGTCAAACCAAATTTCTTCACAAGCGGCTCTGAGAAATAGGATAGCAATTTGAAGTACAATAGTGGCCTCGAAAACTAAGAAATAAAGCAACACGTTTATGTCTTTTTACATCTATATGCAATGATTACCACTTTCTATCAAGTGAGTTGTCAGCTTGTATGGCATTCTAAGTATCATAAAACTAAATAAAATAGCATATAGCATGATGGTATGTCATAAGAAGAAGTAAATGGCAAAGATATTTATTTCTTTATTTAAACTTTATTGAGCGATAAAGTGTGGTACAAAAGGCGAACTTAATGCTATAGGCATTCTCTAGCAGTCAACCTTTAGGATGTGCATTAACTTATCTTTTACTTCCATTGCCTTATCTACATTCTCATTTGTTTCAAAAGAATTTATTGAGGAAAAAAATTCTTATATAACAACATAGTCAATTTGATGGAACAACCTATAGTAATGCTCATTTCTTTACATTACAGCTATTATAAAATATTTATATGTCATTCATCATTTCATTTTTTACTTATACCACAGACAAAATTTTAAAAATAAATGGAAGACATTCTAAATTACATTAAAATTTAAAACATATTATTGAAAAAAAGAAATGGCATATAATAATTCTAGAGTTTTTCTTAAACAATAAATAATAAAGAAATTATTGTAATATAATAATTAATAAAACTTTATTCATAAATATGATATGAATAAAAATAAATAAATAAAAATGCTCACCAATGCCAGCTTTTCTGCAAAGCTCATATGGACCTGACCTGACGGCGTACTTCACATCAGTGACTACCTCCTCTTCCTGTAAAGCCCTAGCTTCCACTTCGGCGACTGCCTCTTCTGGATCCACTCCATTTTTCTCTGCTTCTTCGCGTGCCAGTTTTCTATAAAAACGAAATATGAAAAATAATATAAGTTAATTATTTACAGATAAACTATAATCTCTGTAATATATTCTATAACTTACCATTACAAACATATAATATGGAGTAAAGACATTAGAATGATTTGTCTACTATTAAAACCCAGAAAAATAAATCTGATTGAATTAAACATACTTATACTACAATTAGTCCGTTACCCTAAAGTTGTCTTAGAAAGATTGCTTTCAGCAATATGTCTTACTGTACTTATAAAACTATATCGTTAAATTTATTATCTTGCTTATTAAGTATTTACATTATATGAAAATTCTAAAATATGTCATATAATGTTAGCAGGCTCCAAATTCTAGCAGGTCCGAAGGGTGGGACATGGCAGTGAATTGACAGGATACAGAGGAATAACACCCGAGTCCTCAGGAATGGCAACACATAGGGGGTATCATGGACGAAACAGTATAGTCTGTTATGTCCATGGTACTGCTCATGTCTATAGACGACGGTTATCACATGCCATCAAGTGGGCCGTCAGCTTGTTTGCCATTCTAAGTTGTATAAAAAAAAATTTCACCATTAATGTTACTCACTTTTTCTCGTCAAGTTCTTTCTTCTTTTCCTTGATACGTTGTAGCCTCTGCATCTCGGGCAGTTCGGTGGAATAATACAGCAGGAAATGCGTGTGTACGTCGCGCAATTCTTCCGGTGTCTGCACGTTTTTTAATCTACAAAAAAAATATGTCTCTTTAAATAAATTTCATGAGAGCAAAACACTTCAAATAGTCCAATGAGATTCATCATGATAAAATTATTATAACATTCTATTGCTGAACATAGGTCTCTCCCGGTAATGGAAAATCAATATCTCGTCAGTACGCTGGACATGTTAATTGGGTTACTATAGGATTGTATTTCAAATGTTTCAATTCTTCCTGATGTATTGAACTGTATCTCCTAGCCGCCTCCCACGATATCCTGAGATTGCAAAAAATTGATGAAATAATATTGATGAAAATATACTACATATATGAAAAAGAAACAATCTCTTTTAAAGATAAATTCACCTTTACTATTATATCTACATTATTTCTAATAAACATTATTATTGTATATTTGATTGACAAAAAAACTGTTAAAAGATCAATGCCCATAACGGTATGTTAACAATGCATGCATGTCTATTAAATTTCTTGAAATGTACAGTGAAATCGTATCTATAAAGTGGTGGTGATCATTCTTAATATGAAACTACGAAATTGTACAACATCATAATGTTAGAAGCCTTTTACCTTTCAATATCTTCATCTTTGATGAGTCTCATACTCTCAGGTATGGGTGCATCAGGATTTTGCATGACCTTATCTAGTTGATACTCTCGCATGTTCTCCAATAATTTGAGAAGATTCTCTTTACGTTGCTTCAGTTGGCACCACTGTAAAAAAGTTTAGTTTTAAATGTTATCGTTTATAGGCCAAAGAATGCACAGACATAAACTTATTAATAAATAAAAAGTTTAATAAACAAACCACATGTTTGTATATTTCTTTAATTGTGTATTATGAACTTACTTTTGCATCATATTTGTAGACTTTCCACAAGTCATTAATACTCAGTTCTGGCTGTACATACTCCTTGCGATAGAATGCAATAAACGGCACCTCCAATGTTTGGTTCCTCATGAAGTCCAATGCTTGACGGATTTTTGTTATTGTACTAGTGCCCCTACAAAAACAATTTGCAATATACAAAATATTAATTTTCATGTTCACTACAAAGTTTGCTTCTATTCGTATTAAACTGTCTTCTCAACAATTGTTAATTAGGAACAGACAAACAGACATAATATTTTAATAAAAAACAAACAATATAAGTAATTTTTGAAAAGTTGTCGCATTCTTTAATATTATCAAAAAAAAATTAAACACATAATAAAATAAATTCTAAATTGATTAACAATATAACGTCATAGTCGTAGAATACTGACGGATCTGACAAAGATTACATACAAAGATCCGTCAGTATTCTGCGACTATGATGATATGTGTAACATAAAGGTAGAGAATGCTTAGCCTTAAGTCCACCTATTGTACCATATTTTCTTTTGGTCTTTTGGTTTAAAGTTATTTAAATAAATAACACAAAAAAAAACCTTTTGTAATTGATTAAAATAATTACCAATATTTTTAATTCAGACATTTTTATTTATAAATTAGTTTACCTGCGCGACCGTTCCCTAGCTTCCTGCGAATCGGCCTTGGAGACGGGCGGTTTGAGGAAAGCCTGCTTGTATATCCATTCGGCTTCATCCTCTAACTCTGTGCTGCCTTCCTCCACTGGTGTTATCGGTACTTCACGGATTTGCATTCGTTCAGGCACATCCGTTTTTCGTATCTAATGGGGAAATGAAAGCTATTACAATAACATTTGAATATTTATATATTATTTATATGTTATTAAATTATAATTAATAATAAATAGACTAAAAATAAGGTCTAATTGTAAACATACCTCATTATCCAAATCAGTAAAATGACTCCTCTTCAATTCACTAGGTTCATAAATCTCAAATATAGACTTCTTACTAGGGCGTTTTGCTTTACCCTTTGGCCTTTTTCCACCACCTAAAAAAAAGTTAATAATACAACATTGTTATACCTAATAAATTAATTAATTTTAAGGCAAATAAAAGTTGAAATTTTCGTATAGTCATATATTGAGATAACGGAATTTAGAATTCTATAACTCTAGTACTGGGAAATATTTGTAGAATTTTAAAGTCAAAATATCTTAGCTCAGATATTGTTAAGCTAAACTTTGCTTATAGCAATTGTTACTATTAACATGATCTTTTAAAACCCTTTCCTTAAGTGGAAATTTTATAGGTAAAATTAAAAAGTGGTATATCTCTTTTTATATTTACAAATTTTGTTCAAAGCTGAGATTGCATACAAACCTTCCTCTTCATCCTCAATGTACTCATCCAGGTCTTCCTCTTCCTCATCCTCATAATCCTCATCACCATATTTTTCAAATTCATCATAATCAAAGTCCACGCCGAATATATCTTGACCCTCTTGCAATGAACTGTACAGACAATACAGTAGTACATGTTAACACATGTCATGATGGAATATGTGATATAAAAAATCAGAACATTTGTAATCATCACATCTTCAAACACTTCTAGAGTAGTTCAACGAGATCATTTCGGTTAGGTTAACTATAATAATTTACCTAAATTATCTCAAAGTTTCTGATCAGGTAACACCAGGTGTAACCCAGTGATTGATTTAATTTCTATTTTTTATAAATCACAAAACATACAATGCGAAAGTCTAAAAATTAATACTTCTATAGTGATAAAAAATATTTTTTATTGAAAGCTAATCTCGAAATTTTTCAGTTATACAAATAAAATTCAGTGTCGAAAGCTTCCTTAGACACATAAGTCATTATTGATTATTACTATGAACTTCAAAATATACATACGCATCAGTGAATATAGGTTTGCGTTTCTTCTTTCTTTCAGCTATAGGTCTACCATCATCATCTACAATGAAGTCATCAGCGTCTGACTCCATATCCTCATTTTCATCGTCATACTCCACTTCTCTAGGAGCTGCAGACTCAGAGCGATTCTCATCCTCCTGATTACAAGTTTTAAATATGACGCTTTGATTAATTAAATTTGTACAATTAAAAATATACAAGCCACATATGAGACACAATGGTATATCAATTTAATAACCTTACTAATATAAATAACACTAAATACAACAAATAGTAAGATATAATAAGGTATATAAAAAAAAGTTACCTCCTACATTTTAAAAGGGTTAAAGAATAAGTTATGGACAAAATATGTATAAATATATTACATTTTTATATTTACGTATGTATGCATTTTTACTAACTTAATATCAGATTTTTCAACCTTCAGATTAATTCTATTCTTCTGATTGAAATTTTGAATTAATCAATTTAAAACTTGATTGATTCAAACCTTTATAGTCAGTACCTAACAATAGACAAAGCTGACAAATATTTTTAAGAAGATTTACATTTTAATGTAAGATTAATTTTTATTTGAAGATTTCAAAATCCTATTTAAAGAATTATACTTATCTTATGACTTAAGTTTATGGTTTAGCACACAATATCTTACCTCATCTGAGCCACCAACAAACAACTTCTCAGCAATGACCTCCCTTTCCAACTCAGGGTCATCAGCGCCTTCATTGTCACTATCATCATCTTCCAAACGACGGAGACGTTTGAACTTATTCTATAGAAAAACCATATAAAGCATTATAAACAAATCCATCATAGTTATTTTTTTTTATACAACTTAGAATGGCAAACAAGCTGACGGCCCACCTGATGGAAAGTGGTAACCGTCGACTATAGACATGAGCAGTAGCATGGACATAACAGAGTATACTATTTCGCACATGATACCCTCCATGCATTGCCATTCCTGAGGACTAATGTGTTATTCCTCTGTACCCAGTAAATTCACACCATATCCCACCCTTCAAACTGAAACACAGCTGCTTCACAGTAGAAACACGAATGGGACAGAGGTAATCTAACCAAGCAATCGACTTTTGTACAAAGTCTCCCTCTGGTATCCTACATATACTGGCCAGGAGATACTAAATTAGAAAGAACCCATGTGTTCACCCGCCTTACATAAAAACAAACTGGATATTTTAAAGTACCCTCAAGTACTATATATATAACAGATATTCATTTCTATTGTGTTCTTTTCGATTTTATATATTGTATAACCAATATATCCATTAATAGACTAATATATATTAGCCATTCCTACTAATTCTGTGTAATAATTCTACTAATATCATGTTTAGAGTGAATCTTGTCATTATACTTTTCCCAGGTCTAATCGGTCATATCCAATTTTTCTTACATTAAAGTAGTAAATATTAACAACTGAAATGAAGCTTAAGTACTTGTTACGAAGGATACTAATTTCACCTGTTATGGATAGTGGTAATACACAGTTATTTTTGTAACACTGAAGTGGCAAACAAGTATTCAGCCCACCTGATGGTATGTGATTACTGTAGCCTACAAATGCTTGTAATACTTGAGGCATTATGTATATGTTAGAATTAATACTTCTAATGTGTTGACTTACCCTAGCTACTTTAACTCCTAAATTTTCTTCTATTAAGTCATAATCCTCATCTTCTAATCTATCATCCAGTTCATCATCACTTTTTTTTCTCTTCTTTCTTAGGCTGGCATCAGAGTCCTCGCCATCACTACCGGACTCTTCTATAGGAGCATCATCAATCAAGTCCTTTAACTCCTCGCGTAAACGCTCCTCATCATCTAGAAAGTTACAATAAAAATTAATGGAAAATAGAGAAAAATGATAACTCCATCTTCTTTCTATAATATTTTAAAAAAGAATAAAAAAGAAAAGAAAAACACACAACCCATATAAACATTATAAAAAAAAATTATTGTTTACAAACATAAACTCAAAAAATATTGAACAAATTAAAAAAAATCTTTCACATTATCAGTGAGAAACAGGACCTGCACTTTATTTAAAATACTTATGAAAAACAAGAGCAAATTGCTAATAATGGAATAAAGGTAAAGCCACATAGAGAAGATAAGTAGGGCAATGGTATATCTTGTTTTATTTATATTATGGCTGGAATTCATATAAATATATGGCAGTTTTACAAGCAATATTTGAGAGTAACTATAATTGAAAATCTCTGACCTCAATTTGATACATACTATGAAACAAAATCATACCAAATTAGGACTGACATGGAGAGATTTGAAATAGATTAAAAAGTATGTATCAAATTCTCTAGAAGCATTAAATAAGAATGGTGCCTATTAAATAGTGGTGCTGCTAGAAAAATGTGAAGCTCCGTTATGTACTTATAGCGTACCTGTAATAATGTTCTATGACCTCTCATAATCTGAATTTATGACATAGATCAGAACAAATTGAAAATATTTATGAATTATTCTCGAAAGAAAACAGAAATCGAATAAAATAGTATAAAAGACAAATAGTAAAGAACATATGACACAATAATATTAGAAACGTGGTTATTTTTGGGTCACTTAGATCCGTTTACCTTCTTCTTCCTCATCCTCGTCATCACTCTGAACTGCTGCCTTACGTTTCAATTTTTTGCGTTCAGTTGGCTGTTCGTCATCTTCAGATTCCAACTACAATGGTAAAATATACATTTAGAAGACAGAAAGCAGAAAACGATTACTACGCAATACAAAAATTATGATTACAAATTGAAACACTATACCAACCTCGCTCTCCTCCGCCTCTGATTCAAGAAAATCAGCCATTTTTACTTTTACTAAAAGCTATTCTTGAATTTAATTATTTAAAACACTTAACACTAGTATTTTGTCCGTGTTAGCAATGGAAATTATGGTATTTTCTTCATAAATCTAAAAAACCATGAAAATTAAAAGACTGAGGGTGCATTCATTCATTCCCTTCATAATACCACAGATTAAAGAGACTATTATACTACTCGTCTTTCATTCATTCGGTCTGCGTCAGTCCATCATTTAGTGTTGTGCTGTTATGCGCATTCAACTACCAATTGATTATTAAACTACGAGAAGTCTATTCTAATAATTAAATCGTATAAATCGTATAAAATTGAGAATTTATCTATTACTAATATAATAAACTGTTTTAATAGCCTAACAGACAATAATAATAATATTGACATAATAATGTTTATTTATTTATCTTTTTTGAGTACAATAAAACACTTAAAATAATACCATAGATATATCAAAGTTGTAGAGAACTGGTGTTGGGTATCCAAAGAACCCGTATCACAAGTCACCAGAACCCCTCCCTGGTTGGAAACAATTTATGGTAGTACATACAATGGAGAACTCAAATAGGCCACCCCTTTCCATCCCGTGGATGTCGTAAGACCGACTAAGGCAGGACGAGAGATAGGCAGCAGCGTCCCTCTTAAAACATCTCTTAACCCTGACTGTGGTTGCTAATCCACCTGCCAAGCATGGCAACTACTGGCAAAACCCCCAAGGAAGAGGCCTATAATCAGCAGTGGACAGTTAAAGGCTAATATGATAATGATGATGATGCTTTCCATAGCCGCTCACAGCCATACTATAACATGTCTGTAATAGCCAATATGTATTGTAGCATGGTATTAATATTGCTATCCTAATTGCATAGGTGCATTTCGACTCGAAATGCACAAATGACGAAACTCGAAATTTTCGAGTTTCGTCTATACCAATGTTTTTCAACGTCTGGGTCGCCTTTAAAGAGGGTTCGCGAAAACTACCTCAGTAAAAAAAATAAAAAGTTTCATAACTAGTTTTATTAATAGTTATATAAATAATATCGATAGTTTTATTAAGAATAACGATAAGTAAAACATTTATATGTTAATACAAATAAACAAAAAATAAATCTGGGGTCGCGAAATATTTTTTCTCACTAGGAGGTGTCGTATCATGAAAAAGGTTGAAAAACACTGGTCTATAATATAGACCAGTGCTTTTCAACCTTTTTTATATTATAAAGAAAGCGTCCACTCTTAAATAATTGTGTGATTGTCTCTCTCTAATCTGTATTGTAGTTGTTAATTACTCTGTATATTGTCAGACGCTTTTAATAAAAATTGAAACATTTTATATTTTTTAAGAAATTACTACAATATTAAATAACTTATTATAAAAAGATGAGTGAACTTAAACATCCCATCATCAAAAACGTCCTCCATGTAGGTCAGAAGTACATAGCCATAGCTAAAGGTAGCAAGGTAAGAGATGCAAATTTTTAAATTGTATGTAACTCATCTCTAATTTTAATCTGTTAATAACATAATGCTAAAATGACCTTAATATTAAAAAAAAAAACGATCTTAGTAATATTGTTTCTTACGGAAAAGCCAATCCTGATGCTATAAACTATTCAAATTAGACTAAACACCTATGGTCAAAAGTTAGACCTTATCATAATGTATTAATCATCATTGACCATATCATAATAATCGTAAAGGTCATATCTTATAAACCTAATCATTGTAATAAAACATTTTTTGTTTCTTTTCAGGCACACTTCCATTTTCAAACATGGAAACTAGGAAAGGAAAAAGTCTTAATTGATGATAGTAGAAAAATTGGTAAAAAAGAACCTATGGTGTTGGTAATAGGTCACAAATTCAAATTGGAAGTATGGGAAACTATTGTCAAAATGATGGCTGTTGGTGAAATAGCAAGTTTTCAAGTAAAAAAAGAGGTAGATGCATATGAATAATTATTATTTTCATGCATTTAATATTGGTGAAATAATTTATCACATAAAATTATATGATAGGTTATTAGTTTAAAATTACTACTAAGTTTCACGTGATGTCTTTTAAATTTAACTTTATCTATTACATCTAATGATATCTAAGGATAATTTTGATACAAAATTTGTCCAATTAGTAGTAAATAAACAAAGTGTCAAAAAATATAAGTCTAATTTGTAAACCTTAAAATACTACTCATCTCATACAATAAATATCCGTAATACATATTTTTATGCATATTAGGTATATTTAAATATCTATAATATCATACACATAATAATAGAAAAGAAATAATTTCATTTCATTAATATAACAGTCAAATACAAATGAGAATATTTATCTGATGCAAAAAAGGTTGAATCCAATCTTGGAACCACCCATATATTTAGAAGGCAGTAGTCATAACTTCACACTAATAATTTTAATTATGCAGCATACTACACACATGTCTATGTCCTTCACACATATGTGAAAATCACATGAGAAGTCTGTTTTTTTTTTTAAGAAAATATACTTACAAAATAAGCTTGTGCTTTTTGACACTAAACTACTGTAATAACAAATATATGAATAAAAATTATGGTTTATTTACAGTTAGTATATAGCTATCCATTTGTGTCCAAAACATTACGGGAACTTGGTCAGGAGTCACACAAAGTAAAACATACTTGTACAATGACACTACACACTGAGGGCATTGGATATCCTGATTTAGATGATTTAATCAACAACCCTTGTGATTTGGAATTCATTATAGGTAACTGTAATTATTTTAATATATTTTTAATTAATGTTATATATATACTTCATTATCTGTCCTGTTCTAAATTAATAAAATAATTTCTCTACATTTTGGTTCCCAATTGGTTTCTTCTTATCAGTTCTTGAAGTGTGGCCAATCCTAAAGATTTTTTTTTTCTAATAATAAAAATCCTAATATATATAAATAAAAAATAATTGCAAATTATATACAGCAGTTCAATACTAATAAAATCAATACTTATTTTATTTATTTCAGTGTCTTTATAATAGGTTAATTATTATTAAGTTTTATATAGTTTTTTTTCATCAACATATAGTATTAATCTTCATTAATGTATTTAGATATAATACTTCTTTTCCAGAATTACTGAAAGTTGAAAGATCAGATGAATATGAAAAAGAAGTTTGGCAACTCAATACTGAACAAAGACTTGACCTTGTGTCTAATCTGAAAGAAAAAGGAAACAAGCTATACAGCCAAAAATTGTATGATGAGGCGGAAGCGGCTTATGGTCAGGCAATTGGTATATGTGAACAATTGATGATTAGGTAATTTTTTTTTATTTATTGATCAGTTATACTAATAAATATAACTGATTATTTTTCTTTATCCACCTCTCAGATCAGATCCACACCAGATCAATCTGAAATTGGGTCTCCTTACAGTTTTGTATTAGAATATTCTATTTCAGGTTGTCATTTCTGACAATGATTGGTAATTAACATATATGATTATACTTAATATTCAACAATACTATTTTTTGTATTTTAACTTAAATATAATATTACTTTCTACAAAAATATGACTATTTATTAATAACCATGATAATATTTTAATTTAATTAAGATGTATAGTTGGATAAAGAAAACTATATTTATTTACCTATTCAAGTATAAATTTTTATTCTTATTTAAATTTTATTTCCAGAGAGAGGAAAACAGACGATGAATGGATAAGTCTGAACAAAATAAAGCTCCCAATATTATTAAATTATGCACAATGCAAACTTATTAAAGGCGAATACTATGCAGTCATAGAACACTGTGACACAGTTCTAGAATATGATGAAGGTATGAAAGAAAAGACTTTCTTATGAGTATTAAAAATTCACAATATGTTGGCGGTATCTGTATCTCCATTTTGTAAATTTATTTATTGCAGATAGTTTTATTTATTACTCTAATTTATTCACAGATTTTTTTAACTAATTAAACCATCATCAAAAACTTTATGATTTCATACAAGATTACTTACAGAATAGGTAAATAAATGTAGGTACAAATCCCACGCATGTCTATTATATTTACATTCATAATATACCTCATGCACACATACTGCTTCCTATCAGTATAGCCACCTAAATCCTTCTACTTTCGCACTCTAAATCTGTTTCGTCACACAAAAAATAATTTAATAATTTATAACAACAAATTTCAGATAATGAAAAGGCTCTATACAGAAGAGCAAAGGCGCATGTCGGCGCTTGGAATCCAGAGCTAGCTGTTGAAGACTTCAAAAAACTGAAATCTTTAAACCCATCTCTAAATGCCACTGTTGATAAGGAACTAGAAAATATTAAAAAACTATACAAAGAGAAGGAGGAACAAGATAAAGATGCTTTGAAAAAAATGTTCACTAAGGAACAAAATGGTACTTAGCAATGAATTAAACTTGTTCTTCCCTATGTGATGTAGTTAAAGATTTAATTATACAATTAATATTGTATTATATATTTTAGATCTGTAACACTTATTTACTTGAAATTTTAATATATTATTATGTACTTACTTACTAATTTAATAATTTCAGTATCTAATGTAGTCCTTAAAGTACCAGTACATGACTGTACATAGTTGACTACTAGTTGTGCAAGTTACAATTAACTAAAAATTTTATGTGCAATTGGAACTTTATCCAAAGATTATTATAATAATATAATTTGTTTATACTTTATATATTGTTGATTTCAATTAGAAATCTGCATTTTGTGCCTTCCATTTTTTGTAATTTACTAAATGTGATTTTCTTGTAAGTAATTTACAGTTTACATACTGTATGTAGAATTATTCCATTCATTAATGACGTCACACGTTAAAGGGATGTGAAAGAGATTAACTGGAAGAACTTATGAAATTTGTATGCTGGATTTAACGTAAATAAATTTAAATATTTATGGGCCATAATATTTAGTACGTTAATATTATTTTTTTCTGAATACAATGTAAAACATTTGGCCTGGTGATAATACAAATCGTGCAATATATCTGTATGGTTTATTTTTCTATATATAGATATTTTAACAAATACATACTAATTTTAAATGCTGTTCTGTCTTTCATTTATTCTTTGGATTAGTTTAAATTATAGACTTAGTAAAACATATTTCTAAGGCACAATTATGTTAAGTATAATGGTTGCCAAAGAAAGTCCTCGTTCCAATAATATTGAGCTAAATTACTCTCAAAGTTCTGGCAAACATGCATCTAAATTAGATGATTTATAATATTGTACAAGCAATATCAGATCCATTTTTTTTTATTTTGTCTTACAAACAACAATAAATGCACGCGTTACCATATAAGATAACCGTCTACGAAATTCATTACATTGAAATGTCTTTTTGATCAAATCGTTGCAGTAACCTTTAAAATAATGCTATTGAGGGTTCGAAGGGCGCATATATTACTTATAATCGCAATCAGTACAGAAAGCTCTTTGAGCTTTCCAATGAAAACTTCTATATTTTAAATCATCCACATTCTTATAGTTTACAGATGGCCAGTTCGAAATTTAACAGTAACCTACTCTGTCTGTCTCTAATCTGTGTTGTCATATTAATGTCAAAATGTTAATTAAATTTGTCTAAAAAAATAAACATCCGCTTAACCTAAAAGTAATACCAAAACATTTGGTTTTTATAAGTATTTATAAAATATAAATATTTCTCTCCGTCTGAATTTCTTGCTAATTCATATATTTCTCCGTATAAGGTGGCAGAGCAGCAAAATTATAGAACGTCGCCCCACCTGTTTACAAATTATACTCAATCAAAATGACAGAAAATACAGTAACGATGCAAGAAAATATAAATAAAGAGGACGATAAAATCAGTGAAGAGTATGCCTATTTAGACAGAGGTGGATTCTCCTCTGAAAAATTTAAAATTGAGCTTCGCGGCTTACCTAAATTCTATGGAATAGCAGTAAGTTATTGTTTTATAATGATGTTGTCTAGATAGATAAAAACGTGTGCAAATTTACTTCCAGATGCTAAATCTATCAATAATTCTACTGCGGCACATACGCCTCTCTCAATACTTTTACAGTACAGCCAGAATATATAATAACATGCACTTATTTATAACTAACGGGTTGACTCAGTTTTGCACAGGTAGGTAAAATTTTCGAAAATATATAGTCTATGTTACTAATTGATAATGCAAGTGCAAAAAAGACTTGTAATGGGTCTGGTAATCCACATTATTAGCTATCTCTTTCACCCTCCCAAACTACCTAATTTAACTCTTAACACATTTTTTTCAGGAGTTAAAGAAGTTAATGAATCAGAAGCTTAACCTTAACACTAGTAAAATAAAACGGCCCAAGAATGGTAGCCACTGGCTCTATGCTTGCTTTCAAAATGATGATGAAAGAACAAAGGCTATAACAGCTCTAAATGGTTATTCCTGGAAAGGTAATGAGTAATTATTAAAATGATTAAAAATGAAATATGAATGTATGATGAAAATTTGTTGTAAAAATTGTAAATTGTACTTTATACAACTGTATCTTTCTTGAATAAAATTATTATTATTATTATTAATTTATAAAATATGAAGATTGCTATTTACAAAACAATTTTCAGAAATTATTAGTAAAACTTTTATATTAAAAAAGGCACTATTACCACTGTAAAGTACCACATCACACCAATTGTCCTTAAATTTGACAAACCAAATAACAAACCTCTGGAAATACTAGTAATTTATATAAGATTCCATAACAAGGGATTATATGTAAAACAACAAAATTACAATATTAAAATTATATTTTATTGCACTTGTAACTTACATAAATAATACATTTATAAATATTGTAAGCAAAGGTGGACTTATCTTTGAAAGAGATCTCTTCCAGCCAACCCAATACAATAAGAAAGTATGTAGTTAGTTATATTAATTCTAAGATTTAAAACAACTAAAAGCCTTTAAGAAAAGAGCATATTCCTTTTTAAAAAGTCCGTAGCAAACTTGTAATTTTTCCCAAGTTACAAGTGCTCATGGGCAACAGTAGTCACTTACCATCAGGTGAACCACATGCTCATTTGCTCCATGCCAAAAGCCATCTATACAATCTATATAAACATGTTAAACAAACTCTTGGCAGTATCTTTGAGTTTTTGTAATTATAAGGTCAAATTTATTTTTTCTCATTTTACAAACATCATAAACAACAATCTTATTCAACTTATTCCGTCAACTTAACAACATTCTATTTAAAGGTAAAACACTGATAGCTGAAGTAGCTAAACCAGCTCCAGATCCTCTAGTAAGAAAAAGGAAACAGGATGAGGAAGGTACAGTACAGGGAAAGAAGAAAAAAGAAGAAAATACAAAAAGTCAAGAAGAAAGACTGAAAGATGCCACTACGCCTTATTGGAATGTACCTTATGAAGAACAGGTAAATGAAAAAGGTTTAATTTTATATTTCCAATAAATAAATTAATAATGCCTACTACTACTTATTTCTCGGTTTTTCCAGTGGTTGATTGGTAAAGAACACTGTCCAGTGTTAAGTCCGACACATGTACATAGTTTCACTATGCATTAAAGTTAAAATAAATAAATAATCTACCTTACTACATGCTTCATAAGAACAAGACGCCAGACATTGCTGTCTCATGTATTCAATAGCAGAAACTTATTTATCGAAAATCATGTCCAGTTACATTAGGCCAGTGTCTCTATTAGAAAATATTAATATAACTTCTCTATTAGAAAATTTCCAGTCAATCTTATATGTGGTGGATCATAGATATTAGTCAATTTTCAATGCCAATATTGGTTACTGTATCTAAGCCAATATAATATAACGTATTTTTATATAAATCATAATTTGGTATTTTCAGCTTAGATTAAAAGAGAAAGAGATTAGACATCTACTAATGAAGTTTGATAATGAAATATGGAAAATTAACAAAACTAAACGACAAGAATTAGAAGCCAAACGCAAATTACATGATGGCTTAAGTTTTGAATTGATGGGGATAAAAAAATCTCCAATTACAGAAGGATATAGAAACAAATGTGAGTTTACCGTTGGTGTGGATGAGGAGACTAATCTGCCAACAGTAGGATTTAGACTCGGCGGCTATGTTACCGGTGTTGTCGGAGTTGCCCCAATACAATCATTGAACCACATCTCTGAGGAAACTAAAAAGGCTGTTTTGGTAAGCATAAGAATTATATTAAAACTAACTAATCTGGGGGGAGGGACATATTTTGTAATGCGGACTACCAGTCCCATTGCTAGCAGTATACCTTGTCAGGTTGACCTCCACTTGGTCCCTCCTGGATATCATCCTGTTGAATTATAGTTGTATTTATCATGATGGGCTAACTGACCTGCCATTTCATCCTTATCGGTCATCCCTTACTGGAGCCCCACCTCAGTTCTATTGTTAGCAATATTCCCTGTCCAGTCGATCTCTACACAGTTTCCCCTGGAAACCATTGTGGTTATTTCTTGTTGAATTTGTCAGGATAGATTCACTAACCTGCTTTCATTTCATTTTTCATTAGTGCACTTTTTTACATATCCTAGCTCTTAAGTTGGGGCATTTTCATCAAAATCGGTTAAACAGTTTTGGAGATAACCGTGAAAAAATATCGTCACACGGTATTTTATTTAGAAATTCTTAGTAACGTAGGCAGGCTATATTTTTTTTTAGTAGGTATATATTTTTAATTTTATTTTATATTAAATTTTCCTGTACTATATAATATGATATTATAAAGAGGAAAGATTTGATTGTTTGTTTGTAATGGATGAACTCAAAAACTACATTTACAACCGAATTTAAAAATTCATTCACTTATAAAAAGTTACGCCTTCAGTGAGTATTATTTTAAGAATTCTATCGACCTGTTCGAAGCCGGGCCAGGTCATTAGTATTATATACTTTCGATAATAATTTTACATGTATTTCACAGTTGTTTGAAGACTTTGTTCGCAAGTCTGAATTGGCCCCTTTTTCTCCAGCAGACTACACGGGCTATTGGAGGTACCTTACGGTCAGACATTCTATGTCAACTGGAGATATTATGCTTATTGTTTTTATGCACCCACAAGTGAGTATTAAGTACTATAATGTTATATACGTATTTAGAAACGGAGGTCAGGTGGGCCGTATTAACTCCAGTATTGTCTTGTGCTAACCCCAAAATGAGAGTGTAAGCTTGTCAAAAACTGAAACGATGAATTTAGACTATTCTGGACTGAAAACCAGTGGAAATCCTTTCAAGAAAATTTCCAAATTTTTATTTCCTGTTTTTTTTTTTTTATTTGAAATCATATAATATATGAAATTATGTCATAATAGGATAATATTTTATGGTGAAATAATATGAAATACCAAAAAAAAAACAACAATGTAATGTATAATACGTATTAAAATCCTACCACGATGCGTGGAATCGGCTGTGTAAGGTCAACGATGAAGCGCCATTGACCGAACGATACCTACGTATCACGCGTCGTATGGATCGTAAAGTTTCAAATACATTGCGTGATTGAGTTTTTTTTTTTTTTACAACTTAGAATGGCAAACAAGCTGACGGCCCACCTGATGGAAAGTGGTAACCGTCGCCTATAGACATGAGCAGTACCATGGACATAACAGAGTATACTGTTTCGCCCATGATACCCTCCATGCGTTGCCATTCTTGAGGACTCAGGTGTTATTCCTCTGTACCCTGTAAATTCACGCCATATCCCACCCTTCAAACCGAAACACAGCTATGCAAACACAACTGCTTTACGGTTGAAACACGAATGGGACAGAGGACTAGCTACTATAGTAGTGACCTTTATCACTTTCCGTCGCGTGGGTTCTCATCTTAACTACCATTTTCATATTCATCTATAATGTTGATTGTAGAAACACATGACTAGAAGTTTTATCATCATATCGGCCGTTAACTGTCCACTGCTGAACATAGGCCTCTTGGGAGATTTCGCCAATAGTTGCCACGCTTGGCAGGCGGGTTGGCAGTCGCAGTTAGGCTTTGGTGATGCTTTAAGAGAGATGCTTTTTAACCAACCATTAAGTGCCCTTAGTCGCCTCTTATGACTCGACACCCACGGGAAAGGAAGGAATGGTCCATTCTATGCCGGGACCACACAGCAATATTTAATATTATAAATATATAATATATATTACATATTCTTTGTTTGTAGGATCTGTCAGAAGAACAATTAGAAAATATAAAGAAGCAACTAATAGATCACTTCAGTACACAAGAAGCAAACGCGTGTGGTATCAAATCGCTGTATTTTCAATTGATTACGAAAAAGTAAGTTGTAATAAAACATTTAAAATAAGCTTTATAGTATGTTTTTATAAGTATATATTTGTTAAATAACAAATGGCCTACCTCACTAAGGATTACAGTCGTGAGCATACTTATATATTTTTATATCATATTTCGGTGTTACATGAATAATGCTCATTAGTTTTCAAATGATACCTACACTTATTGTCATATTTATTTATTTATTTATTATTACACCAGCCGTTAACTGTCTGCTGCTAAATATAGTCTTCCCTCCGGGGGGAAAAGGATTGTTAGTAATGGAGACTGAGAATCCCATTGCTAGCAATATACCCAACCAGGTCGACCTCCTCGCGGTTCCCCTGGAAACTATCATGGTTAATTCCTGATGAATTCATCATGATGGGCTAACTGGCCTGTTTTCATTCTCATCTATCACCCTTCACTGGTGCTCCGCCAGCGTATCCCATTAGCGCAGGCATTATCATACCATTTTTACCCATCAAAAAAAAAAGTCCTCTCTCTATTGGGAGGTTTTGCCAATAATTTTTATACTTGGCAGGCGAATTAGCAACTATAGTTAGGTTTTGGTGATGTATAAAGAGTAACACTGCTGCCATCCCTCAATTATTAAATTCCCTTAATCGCCTCTCACGACACCCACGGTAAAGGAAGGGTCATATTAACAAACAAATATATTTTCAGAAGAATAGGCGAAGATGCTTCTAAAGCGATGCACTTGATGGGATCCACACATATAACTGATACTTTATTAGGGCGCCAATTTAGGATATCTCCGGAAGCATTCTTTCAGGTAAGAGGAGTGTATGAATTTATCTTTTCTTAAATTAACTAGGTGTTCATTTATTTTCTAATGTTAACTACATACAAGTCCGCTTGTTGTATATACAGGTACAATTTGAAACGATTTTTTGACTGAACAGTTGAAGTATAAAAAAAAAAAACAATAAATAAAACATCAAAAAACATAAAAAAAGTTAATTTTATATATAAAAGGTAAGGATTAATATTCTGCCACGACGCAGCATGGACAAGAAAACTTTGTACATGCGTCTACATGCATCCTCTATCACGCTCGTGTTTCTGCCTTTAGGTTGTGATGTTTGTATAGCTATGTTTCAGTTTGAACGATGGCATATGAAATTACATGGTATGAATACCATAATACCATAGTGTATAAAAATGGCAGCACACGAGGAGTATAACGGACCTGTATTCTGTGAGGTTCATGGTCTATGTCTATAAGCAATGGTTACCACTTTTTTTTTTATACAACTTAGAATGGCAAACAAGCTGACGGCCCACCTGATGGAAAGTGGTAACCGTCGCCTATAGACATAAGCAGTACCGTGGACATAATAGAGTATATTGTTTCGCCCATGATACCCCCCATCCGTTGCCATTCCTGAGGACTCAGGTGTTATTCCTCTGTACCCAGTAAATTCACGCCACATCCCACCCTTCAAACCGAAACACAGCCATGCAAACACAACTGCTTCACGGTTGAAACACGAATGGGACAGAGGTACCCAAGCAATCGACTTTTGTACAAAGTCTCCCTCCCTCCCTCTTGACTTTCCATCAAGTGGGCCGTTAGCTAGTTTGCCGTTACAAGATGCGTAACTTAAGTATGTAATGTAATTTACTTTACGTGTTTTTAGGTGAACACGGCAGCCGCCGAAATATTATACCAAAGTGCAATAGATATGAGTGAAATCAAAGAAAAGTCCACTGTGATAGACATATGCTGCGGCACTGGCACTATAGGGTTGTGTTTTGCCAAGGTAAGCTTACATTTACCTTAAGGTTGTCTTGAAAAGATTGCTCACAGCAATAAGACCGCCTTACTGTACTTATACAATTGTATCGTTGTGTTTGTAAATTGTCTTGTTTGTTTCCTATATTGTATAATGCAAATAAAGTATACTCATTCATTCATTCATTCATTTGTACGTTCCTAATCGACTTCAGAAAGAGTTATATATTTGGAGTATAAATACTTTTTTATACCAAAAAGGCGGCAAGCAAGCATTTCATGCTAAACGGTCACTGTAGCCTATGGACACCTGCAACACTAAGGGTGTCACGTGCACGTTACCGACTCTGAAGAAACCTTAATACCCACTTTTTGAAGAAAATCTATACTAAACTATTTTATATATTATTCAAAGGTTTCTTGTTCTATTTACGTGATAATTTTTTTTATTCGCTATATCGTATCGCTTTCGATTTGGTACTATGAAAATATTACCTTTTTTATTGTGAAATTTTTAATTAAATAGAATTATATATAATATATATTATATATAATAATTATTACAAATTTTGTCTATTTGTCTGTATGCTTGTTGCGGCATTACGCAAAAAATAATGCCTCAAATTAGATGTGATTTCACAGTTGTATTTCTGAATGTTTAAAAATCTGGTGTATGTTTCATATTTCTTCATATATCTGCGTTATCTAGAAGCGATCTATTGGTTACCTTGGTTTTCCTACATACAAAAGTATGTAGGAAAACCAAGGTACATGCGTACAAAATTATAGGAAAAAGCTAATAATTTATAAAGAATTAAAATACTGTTCTTTAGCGTTGCCCTGAAATGTACCTAATAAACAACGAATACGTGTTCGGTAAACATGTTAGCCAACTATATCAAATGCAACAAGCCTAATTTTGTAGAGACTATTTTCTGGACGATTTCTTATAAAAAAAATATACTTACCATATGTTTTTCAAATAAACATTCTCATTTAAAAAATTTGGTCGCAGGGACAGCGAACAAGCTAGAAAGAAAATCTTGTTTTTTGTTTGTAATTTTTTTTTTTACGTTTTTAATAATTTGAGTTTACATTATTTTGTAGCATTGTAACAAAGTTTTGGGTCTCGAGGTGATACCCGAAGCCGTAAAGGACGCTCAAGCGAATGCAAAACTGAACAGCATAGAAAATTGCGATTTCTTCACCGGGAAAGCTGAGGACATCTTGCACTCGGTGCTGGCTAGAACGACTGCTGACGATACCATTGCGATCGTTGACCCGCCCAGGGCCGGATTACGTGAGTATATAATAAATTATTATTTATTTAAACCATTAATTTATTATATATTTAAACGAGTATACGACATAAAACGAGTTGGGGCTGATTTAAACTTTTTAAATGGATACCTCTGTGTCACATATTTCTGTTGCCAAACACCAATGCCTATTACATACGAAGAAAATGACAAACAAACAGAACAAATTATTCATTTAACTCATTTAATAATATACCATTATATTGTACGCTATAGATACATACTATATAGGCATGTTGGTCAGTCAGGTACCTAGCTTAGTAATTCCTTTACTCTATGATCTGTGTCACGCCTTATAAACTAAAATATAGCAAATATATATGGGATAGAGGTACACATCCACATTATTTTGTACAGTCTCTCTCTTTCTGGTAACCTATGATTTAGGCCTTCATTTATGCTGAAAGAGGCCACCAAATATCTGAAAACATTGCAGACATGCGAGCTATAACCCAACTGCGGAACACAAGAAAGGTGAAGCGGCTCGTATACATAACATGTAGCCCGGCGTCGGCTGTAAAGAACTTGATCGACCTGGCGCGGCAATCGTCGAAGACGCTGCGCGGCGCCCCGTTCGTGCCCGTCCGGGCGGTGCCCGTCGACATGTTCCCGCACACCAAACATGTAGAGTTGGTGATACTGTTTGAAAGAGAACAAGAGGTAATAACGGCCTGCATTTTTTCTAATGGACATTAGATCTCTTTCTGTCTTTCTGTCAAGCAAAAATATAAAAACGCAGAGCCTTCGATTTTTTTTTTTAAATAAAACATTTTTTAAATTAAATTATCAATTCAAAGATTTGTCTCAAGGAAAGTAGTAAACAATATATAATATGGGCAGTTTGATTAATATAGTAATTGTGTTTTTGGCCCTTTTTTTACTATAATACTAGCCATATTTACGGTCTTTACTCGAGTATTTACAATAAAAATTCGATCAAAATATTAATGTAGTTTTTACGTCATTATAACATATAAGTACATAAATAGAAAACCACCTTTTTATTTATATTTTATAAATATGCCTAATAGAAACAAATAATAGTTTATCCTATAATTTAAGCGAAAGTAATTATCATAATTAGGTACATAAATGAAATTAAAATTCAATTAAAAAAAAGTTCAATATTTTTTTTTTATTCCAACAGGAAACGACTGTCGAAGAAGATGTCATCCATAAAATCGAAACTAATGAAGAAGATAATAAAACTATAACTGAATAGTAATCATAAGAATTTATTTTATAATAATAATAATAATTTAGGACTATACTAATAATTGGTAAAACTGTATTGTTTTGCTATTTCCAGCATCACTGGCTGATAATAGAAAAGTGTAAAATTTCAGCCCGTCTCAATCAAGAAAGTGAGAACTATAAAATATAACTAATTTAAAAAAAAAACACTATCTTTGGTCTATGACGTTACCAAATAAGTCTATGGTGCAGTGAAGTTCATAACGTAATAAGAATTTGTTTATATTTATAACATCTACTATTTACAAAATTGTGTACAAGCTGAGTCTTACTTTCTGTAATTCTACAATTAATTCTATAATTTTGATACTAATTTAATTAGATAACTGCAGATATTATTTTGATATAAATACATGGAATTTTACTATGGAATTAATTGCCTTTAAATATCCCATAGAAGATGGCTGTTTTCTACTTAACTCGGTTGTCAAGATAGTTCAATATGTTCAAGTGCGAGTAGTGAATGATGCCGATATATTGTTTTTGTCAAACCTTTGACAATCTACAATATTAAGATCATTTAAATATTCAATATAAAAGCAAGTGATGCTTTTATTAGTGTTCATAAATATTTATATTGTTAAGTAATAAATATTTTCTGTTAATCCCATGTTTTATTAATTACTTTTAACTTTGTACAAAAGTCGATGGCTTGGGTACCTCTGTCCCATTCGTGTTTGTACCGTGAAGCAGTTGTGATTGCATGGCTATATTTCGGTTTGAAGATATGGCGTGAATTTACAGGGTACGGAGGAATAACATCTGAGTCCTCAAGAATGGCAACGCATGGGGGGTATCATGGGCCAAACAGTATACTCTGTTATGCCCATGGTACTGCTCATGTCTATAGGCGACGATTACCACTTTCCATCAAGTGGGCCGTCAGCTTGTTTGCCATTCTAAGTTGTATAAAAAAAAAAAAAGAAAGCCGCTTCCCGCCGTCTGCACGCTTAGCTCTTAAACTACGCAGCGAATTTTAATATTGTTTTGTGTTAATTTGTTGAAATATGACGATAATTATTCAAGATGTCGGAAGAAATAAAGTCGACTGAGAGCTTTCATCGAAAATGTTGAAATGTAACAAAATAGTTTATGATATAATTGTTCCTTTATACTAGGACTACACAAAAATCAGCCATGGCATTTTATATTATACAGATAGCTTTCTATAACCATTCCATAGTTTAAAAAAAATGTTTTAATTACGTGAAGTTAAACCGTGTAGTTTCCGACAGAATAGGCCACCCCTTTTTTACCGTGGGTGTCGTAAGAGCTGATAGTGGAAGGATGGACAACAGCGTCCCTATTAAAACATCACAAAATGCCAAACTACGCTTGCCAACCACCTACCAAGTTTGGCAACAATTAGCAGAACCCCCTTCACGAGGGAGGTTATGTTTAGCAATAGACAGTTAATAGCAGATACAACATGTGAAGTTTGCAGAACTATTTCTTTTTTTTATGAGTGAAAATGGTATGTTAATCCCGCTTGCGCTAACGGGATACGCTGGCAGAGCACCAGTGAAGGGTGATAGATGAAAATGAAAACAGGCCAGTTAGCCCATCATGATGAATTCATCAGGAATTAACCATGATAGTTTCCAGAGGGAACCGCGAGGAGGTCGACCTGGTTGGGTATATTGCTAGCAATGGGATTCTCAGTCTCTATTACTAACAATCCCTTTCGCCCCCGGGAGAACTATTTCGATGGATACAATTTTATTAATCATAATAATATCTATTATTAATCATTCCACACTAACAACATATAGTTTCTACATTGTACTCGGGCCAAGCCGGAGCGAGTCGCTAATCATCCATTAAAAAAGCGTGGTTACAAAGATGTCGATGTTTTCCCATGAGACTACATATGATTCTTCAAAAAAAGAGGTAAAAAGGTTTCTTCAAAGTTAGCATCGCGCCCTTGATGGGTCTGGTATTGTAGATGTTCATAGGCTATGGTAACCTTAGTGGTATAATAAAATACAATCTAATTGAACCTTCTTTTTTGAAGTCGGTTGAAAATGCAACAGTTTTTTTTCATTCTATTCTCAGGTGAATAATGCTGCCCCCCCCCCCTCCCTATATTATGTATAATCTATTTCAATAGGACTAATGAAAATATAAAAAAAGCCTATAATTAATCCAACCATAAAACACTCCGCTGATATCTAAAATTGATCAAATAAAAAATCGATTAATTGATTAAGTGTTTCGATTTACTAGTAGTAAATTCCTTTAGAGAATTTCTGGGCAAATTTCCAGATAACTTGGTGACCTTTTTATTAAATTCCATTGAATCTGTCTACTTATTCCATATCTTGCTACGTCACAAACTTTTGGAGCGTCCTACCTCAGATTAAAACATGATAAATAAGCACAAAATTGTGTATTAAGGCGTTCTCACTTAACCTGATTTGGACCGCATCTCGCTGGCGTTAATTCCTCTGGAATTTAATATCGGCCGGGTCACCGATGTCTGGAAATACCGCGGCGCGCGAACTCCGCCATTTCTCTAGCATTCTTCATATTCTCACATCTTCGCTTTACGTTTTCTGTTTGTACAGTCATCCATCTAAGTGAATGCATTTCGTTGATAAGCACATCAGTTACAAAGATTAAACCATTTCGATATTGTTTTATTTAATATTCTGATTAAGTTTCTTCAGGAATAAAATAGATTAGAAAATATTTCTTGTGCACAAAATAAATTTCACAAGAAATGAGTGTATATAACCATAATTACAAAAGAGAAAAAATATCTAAAGGTTCCCTATCGTAGCATTAAGCCATTAACAAGCACATTACCCACTGTTATATATGATATTCTGATAAGTCTTATGGTGGCATCACGGATACCGCAACATGAGTATGCAAGGGGGAGACTGTACAAAAGTCGATTGCTTGGATACCTCTGTCCCATTCGTGTTTCAACCGTGAAGCAGCTATGTTTGCATGACTGTGTTTCGGTTTGAAGGGTGGGATATGGCGTGAATTTACTGGGTACAGAGGAGTAACACCTGAGTCCTCAGGAATGGCAACGCATGGGAGGTATCATGGGCGAAACAGTATACTCTGTTATATCCATGCTACTGCTCATGTCTATAGGCGACGGTTACCACTTTCCATCAGGTGGGCCGTCAGCTTGTTTGCCATTCTAAGTTGTATAAAAAAAAATTTTAGAGCATACAAATATAAGAAGGTACCAAAAATAAAAATAAAGTAAAAAAAAAAAATACAAATGACCAAATGTAGATATTCACTCAATGTCGATCTTTTTATAAACTACTTGCTTTTACCCGTGATTTCGTTCGCGTGACTATGATAAAAGAGCCTATAGCAATCTCCATCCCATAAAGTAACATGTATACTAAATTTCATAGCAATTGGTTAAGCAATTAAGGCGCTGTAAAGTAAGAAACAAATTTACATTCACATTTATAATATCAGTAAACAGGGGGGAAAGGGGTTGTTAGTAATGGAGACTGAGAATCCCGTTGCTAGCAATATACCCAACCAGGTCGACCTCCTCGCGGTTCTCCCTGAAAACTATCATGGTTAATTCCTGATGAATTCATCATGATGGGCTAACTGGCCTGTTTTCATTCTCATCTATCACCCTTCACTGGTCCTCCCCCAGCGTATCCCGTTAGCGCAGGCGGGGTTACCATACCATTTTAACGCATAAAAAAAATATCAGCAAACTTTATACAATATTAATATTAAACAAATTGAAGTTTTTTTGACAGAACAATGTCGAATCAGCTAGAATTAATTCTATTGATGAGGTTTTCACAGTTGTATTTCTGGAAGTGTAACTTAAAAACTGGTGTATATCTTATCTTGATAAGCCATTTAAAGTTGTGTTTCATTGATTTTCTTAAGTACTTCTGATCACGCGCACGAAGTAACATTGATTTAAATATATTTTATGCTATCATGAATATAGCCCTCTCATAATTAAAAACGCTGGTAATGATAAATATTATACGAAAAAGATACTTTGACGACAAGTCGCTTGCCATGTTGGTTTAAATGGAGCTTTCTTTCGCGCACGCTGACGTTATGGAATGAGCGCCCTGCCGAGGTTTTCCCTTTTAGAGAGATTACAGTATGGGGTTCTTCAAAAAGCGTATATTAAGGTGTCGGCAACAGGCATGTGATACCCCTAGTGTTGTCGATATGCTACAGTTACCATTTACAAGCGGACAGGCTGTACGCTTTTTTGCCATCTTCGTGGTCTAATAAAAAATATTTATTACTCTCATAATAAACGACTTCAATTAAAAGAGGAATTTCGCAATCTTACGTTTTGTTATATACTTGTAATGTACGTGATTCTTGTCGTAAATATAATCTAATAAGATGGTAAACTAATTTTAATAAAATAGTAGTTTTTTGCTCGCTACTTCTTACGCGTGGTCGGAACTAAGAAAACCAATGATTGAAATACTATCAATATAGGGCATACATCAGTTTTAAAATTATACCTTCGGGCATACAACCATGGAAACCGCATCAAATTTGGTGTAGTAATTTTCGCGTGATATCGGATTTAATACATACAAAATTTCTGAAAATGGTTATTAAATTTGTAATGGGAAGGGCATATATAAATAAAATTAGACTTATAATTTGGTCAATTATGAATTATCATTTAATCTGTATTTAAATAAAAATTAATATAAATGATCATTTGCTCTGTATCTGTATTATTTTGGCATCTATTGGTCTTATTAAGAACCCTAATATTAATTTTTTTTACTCCCATGTACAGACATCGTTTTAGTATACATTACTTACTATTAAATAATTTACAATACTTTATATTAAATAGAATGCTATTTTGCGCTTTAAGAATATCAAATATTTACACCAAATTTTCTTCCCGTCTGTACTCTTTCACAAGATTCCAATCGCCCCTCCTGGCTGAGGGAGACACGATTATTACAGAGCCAAGACGGTACCTTCACTGCTATCTATTCTATTCAATTTTGTCTTTACTCTTGGAACGGACGTTCGTACAGCGGTTACAACCAATATAAAAAAGTATTTTAAAATTCATGATAGTTTTGAAGTGAACAAAATATTTTGAGTCAAGTCTTTCCTAACATGCATGCTAAGTGTATAGTTGGAATATTTTCACTTTTCATATGTTCTCATTTCTCGTTTTTAATTCCTAAAAAATCAGGTATATTATATCAGTAAAAATTTTTATGTTAAGTGAATGATAAAACAGTTTGAAATATCGCCAGATTAATGTTTTGATTTTCCCGCTTTTTAACAGAGACGAGACTGGCAGAAAGTGAATCAGTGTTGGACCCACATAGTGAATTATTACTCAAATGGAGAGTTGATTATTCTATTGAAAAAATACAATTTGAAATTAAATTGTTGAAGAAAGCGCCACCTTTCAGTTGGTTCGCATTAGGTTTTTCTGATCGAGGCAATTTTGAAAATGCCGATGTATGTTTATTGTGGACCGATTACAAAGGCCATGACCATTTTGAGGTAAAATTTCAGATTTATTATTACGTATTGACTAAGCTAATTAATATTAAAAAAAAAGGTATTAATACGAATAATAAACAGTGGACGGCGATGCATTATGCCACGGGTCACGTCATGTCTCCCCTGTTGTTTCTACCTACCCTAATGGGAGACAGGCGTGACAGATATGTATAACTATAGATATGTGTAAGTTGCACTCGGGCCATATAGTTTTATATATATATATATATATATATATATATATATATATATATATATATATATATATTCTTTCCTCTTTTACCCAAAGATTATCTGGAGGAGATTGCATTAGCGATAAGACCGCCTTTTGTATACTTTACGTAATACAATAAAGAGTAAATAAATAAATAGTTAGAACACAAATATTGAACATCCTAAAAATCAACTACTTATATTTAATTCTCTCCTGACGTTTTCTTTTTACTTTGCTTGGGTACCTCTGTCCCATTCGTGTTTCTGCTGTAAAGCTGTGAAGTGTTTGGTTGTGTTTTGATTTGAAGGATGGAATATGTCAGTAAAATTACAGGGTGTAGAAGCATAACTAGATTAGTCTTCAGGAATGGCAATGCATGAGTGGTATCATGAGAGACACAGTATACTCTATTCTGTCCATGGTATTGTTCATGTCTATAGGCCACCTTAGTATTTTCCATAAGGTAGGCCATAAGCTTCTTCGCCATTCTAAGTTGTATAAAAAAAAAACTTTATAATAACACTCAAGAAGTAAAAGACAATTTGTAAAAAATAAAATATTAAACATATTTTTTTTTTTATTTTCAGGATATGCACAGTGATGAAGCTGGAAAATTAATTCGTGATAACAAACAGGATTGCAAAGGATTTTATTTGGACAGTCAAACCAGAAGCATATTTTTCGAAAGATTTTTTGATACATGTGACAGTAATGACTATGTTATAGAGGTATATTGATTCGAAAAATAATATGTAATTATTTTTTATACCACGAAAGTGGTTACAATACTAATGATAAACAATATTGGGTCTGTTCTCTTATGAAAGTCTGAAACACCAGGGATCTTAGACCAGAGGAAGATTTTGTACAAAAGTCAATTGATTGGGTACCTCTGTCCCATTCGTGTTTCTACTGTGAAGCAGATGTGTTTGCATGGCTGTGTTTCGGTTTGAAGGGTGGAATATGGCGTGAATTTACAAGGTACAGAGGAATAACACCTAAGTCCTCAGAAATGGCAACGTATGGGCTAAGTTGTATAAAAAAATTGGAATTTTTAAAGGCGATCCCACATTTTTAATATTTATATGAGTTTATTAACAATGTTTAACATCGCTATAGACTTTGTCAGGATTTTTTTCAATCGTTTCGAGTTTTTAGTGCTATCACGAAATTTAACTTTATTATTTCGTACAGGATGGTACTACTCATGTAATATGGTCTCGAGGAATAGATAAACTATTCACGTCGAAAGGATTGTGTCTATCATGTACATCGCCTGAAAATCGAGGATTTATACGAGTGCGACTTCTAACACCACCAGCTATTTTTAAGGAGAATGGTCTTCAACTGCACATTACCAATAACAATTTAAAAGTACCTAGTACTGATACAACATATTGGTGTAAAGTAGTAAAACTGCCTGATTTTATAACTCAAACACCACATCATATAATACAGGTATACCTTAACATTATACGTAATTAATTATCTTTAGCAAATTCAGAATGCAGAGATATAAAACTTTTTTATTTATAGTTCCAGTCTACAATTACTCGAGGCAATGAAGGCTTAGTACATCATATGGAACTTTTTTACTGCGACGCGGATCCATCTTTGGACATACCGGTTTATGAAGGCAATTGTTTTGCATCTAATCGACCAGAAATTACGAAAACTTGCTCAAAGGTATCCTTAAAAATCTGTCAATCATACTTTAGTTAATCCATATTTTTATTATATATACATATATCAGATTTTTCTTCGGGAAATTTGTTTAGAAACTTACTCTGAAAAAAATACAAATTTCCTAAAGAATAATAAACTCAATTTTTTTTAAATACAATTAACAGGTTAAAGCAGCATGGGCTATGGGTGCACCCCCGTTTGTTTATCCAGAAGAAGCTGGGTTACCTTTAGGAGGACCTAAAAATAATAAATACGTAATGTTGGAAGTACATTATAATAATCCTGAAATGAGAAAAGGTAATGAAAGAAAATAAGTAAATTTTAATATGTATTATACCTAATGATAATAACATAATTAAGCAAAAATATTACTTCCCTCTTTAAATATGTAAGTGCAGGTCTAAATATAACTATTTTAATGTCTTCTCATAGGACAATTTTTTTTTAAATCGTTTCATTTATGGGCTTGGGAAGTAAATACTGAAAAAGAAAAAATCCTAACGAGGCTTTATTTTAGCAGAAGCTTACGCTTATAGGAGAAATGTAACATTTTTTTCTATTACAGATTGGGTGGATAGTTCTGGAATCACAATACATGTTACTGCTAATAAACGTCGATACGATGCCGCTATAATGGAACTTGGTCTGGAATATACCGATAAAATGGCTATTCCAGGTGGACAGAAAGCATTTCCTTTAAGTGGTTATTGTATACCACAATGCACAGGAGTGGTAATTACATTTAATTAATTAGTATGCCGTGAGATCCCGATACAGAATGAGACATCCCTTCCTTTCCCATCGGGGTCGTAAGAAGCGACTAAGGACACTTAATGGTCGATGGATGGGCAGCAACGTTCTCTTAAAACATAATCAAAACCTACCTGCGGCTGCCAACAAGTCGGCCAAGCATGGCAACTAGTGGTAAAACCTTCTTTATGATGGAGGCCTATGTTCAGCAGTGGACAGTTAACGGCTGATATAATGATACAATAAACTGGAGGGGGAGGGGTTGTTAGTAATAGGGTCTAACAGCCCCATTGCGGGGGGAAAGAGATTATTAGCAATGACAGCCCCATTGCTAACAATCATCGTGAACAATTCTTGTTGAATTCGTCACGATGGGCTAACTGACCTGCTTCATCCTCATCTATCATCCTTCACTGGTGCCCCGCCGGTGTATACTGATAGCGCAGGCGGGATTACTATTTCATTATCACCCATAAAAAAACAGCCCCATTGCTAGCATTATACTCTAGCAGGTCGACCTCCTACCAAGTGTAGCAATTACTGGCAAATCCCCCCCCCCCCCCCCCCCTTATTGGAGAACCCTATGTTCAGCAATGGATAGTTAACAGGTGATATGATGTTGATGATGATGATGAATTAATATAGTTTGAAATATGTATGTATGTTATTAATGTATAACTTTATTTATATCATTTTAGGGTATACCTGAACATGGAATTATTGTATTTGGAAGTCAATTGCACACACACCTAACTGGTATTGCAGTTTGGACTCGTCATTCTCGGCACGGTGTTGAACTGCCCCTACTCAATAAAGATATGCATTACTCGACACATTTTCAAGAAATTAGAATTTTACATAAACCTGTACAAATATTGCCGGTAACATAATTAACTATACAAATAAATTGACACACACGTTTCAATCGAAGGCGCATTTCATATTTATTATTTTGTTTATAGGGAGACTTTTTAGAGACTACTTGTTTATATAACACTGAGGATAAAGAAAATGCCACGATTGGAGGGCATGCAATTACGGATGAAATGTGTGTGAATTATATACACTATTATCCTGCTACAGATCTGGAAGTTTGCAAGAGTGCTGTATCTAATATTGCTCTTGAAAATTATTTTAAATTTGAACAAAGGCAAGTGTTTCTCTGTTCATATTTAAAATCTTATAATACTAAAATTTATGGGTTTACTATGTATATTTCCTTTTTTTTTCAGATGGGATAACATATCTATTTCATATAATTCACCTCCGCGATACAATTATTTAGCTATCAAGCCATGGACACCATTGAGAGTTAACACTTTGAATAGTCTATATGTTGAATCTCCAATATCTATGCAATGTAATAAATCAGACGGTAACCGATTTCAGGTAAATACAGCTAAGTAAATAATTGTGAAAGAAAGGTTATTGAATGGCGACCCCGTACGGGCAAACGCAGTGTTGGACGACCCCCCATTAGATGAAGTGGCGACCTCAAATGTAATGCAGAGAGTCAGTGGCTACAGGTGGCTCAGGTCTGTTCTTTATGGCAGTCTATGTGGGAGGTCTATGTTCAGCGGTGAACAGATAATGGTTGATATGATAATGATAATAAGATGAAATAAGAATTTGTTTTGCAAAAAAGGCTTCGATTTTGACATAACTCTAGTCCAACATAGGAGTATTTTTTTTTCTATTATAAAATAATTATCAAATTAATTTACCAGAGGAGGAGGGAGACTTTCTACAAAAGTCGTTTGCTTGGGTACCTCTGCCCCATTCGTGTTTCTATCGTGGTAGGATATGGCGTGAATTTACAGGGTACAGAGGGATAACACCTGAGTCCCCAGGAATGGCAACGCATGGGTGGTATCATGTGCGAAACAGTATACTCTGTTATGTCTATGGTACTGTTCATGTCTATAGGCGACGGTTACCACTTTCCATCAGGTGGGCTTGTTTGTCATTCTAAAGTTGTATAAAAAAAATTAAGAACCTCTTTTATATCGGTCAAAATATATTTTTGCTTTGTTTTCTTTGTTCAAGTTAACTTTTTTTTTTATTATTATAGGGTGACTGGGAAGGAATACCGATACCAAAAATTACAGTCCCGTTGAGTCCTGAGCCTCGATTGTGTCCTGATATTTTTAACGAAGTTGAATAAAAGATCTAGGGTCATATATTAAAAATGAAGTGAATATACACAAAACTAATATTATTTAACTACCTTACTAATAATTATAATAAACTTGTTGTGATAAGCATTATTTTTAACATATAATGTTGTTAGATAGTTTACATTCATCGTTCATAAAATACTGAATAAAAGTATGTTAAAACTAACATTTTGCTTTATTTTCATTATTTTTTTTTTATAATTATTGTTATGTTTCGTCCAAAAAGTTGAGAAAGAGATATAGGTACATATTTATCATTAAATATTCCATTTGTACAACATAAAATATAATTTTAAAAATATTTTTTACAAAAAACCTACTTCTACCATAAAACTAATCTGGATATGACCAAACTTTGAGTGAACATTATTAGTTGCAGAAAATAATCATTAAAATCGGTTCAAAATTGGAAAAGACATTGTGTGTTTATGTTACAGATACAAAAAAAAATATAGCTATTGTATATCTATTGTAGTTAAACAAATATAAGGCTCGTTTATCCGATAATAATAACTCGTTCAATAAATTTCCATTTAAAAATACAATAGTAGGTATGCTAGAATTTTGAATTTGATATAAGAATAACATTTCGTTGTCATCAACGATTAGTGTTTTCTATGCAATTTAGAATGGTAAACGAGCTGACGGCTTACCTATAGACGCAAACAGTAAGTACCATGGTCAGGACAGAGCATACTAAGTCGCCCTTTATACTTTCATGCATTGCCTGCAGTAATTTTATTGCTATATCCCACTTTTCAATCTAAAACCCAGCTATGGAAATACAACTGCTTGATGGCATAAACACGAATAGAAGAGAATGGATATGGACACGGAGGGGAGAGAAGAGATTATTAGTCATGGGGACTAATAGCTCCATTGCTAGCAACATATTCTGCTAGACTGACATTTATGTAATTTCCTCTGGAAACCATTTTGGTCAATGATGGTGGATTCGTCACGAATAGAAACGGAAAACATATAGAAAAATAATAATTATCGAGTTATATAGGTCTTATATATGACCCTGGAGAAATGGTTAAAAAAAAATGACGACCGTTAACCATTGAGGAAAAAAGAAGACAAAATTAATATTATTCGATAACGACTAGTTAAGCTGATGTTAAAATTACATTTAAAAAATTATAAAGGCTGTGTATGGTGAATTGCCTGATGGCTTGGTCCCGCCAAATATACTCTATATTTGTCAGTCTGTGGTCAGTGCCATAGAGTATATTTGTCAATGGTAAATTGATAACTGTCATTGGCTCCTATTGGTTTGTTGACGGACTTCAATTGACGTTTTACTTTCTTCGCAATCTCTATTTTACGTTATATTGCTTCCGTGTATAATTTGTTGTACTTAAACATGTCTAATGATTATGGTTTTAACAGTGATGATTCTCCTAACAAAACGAATTCTCATTTACAACTTCCTAGCCCTATAATTACAAGACGGAACCGTACGGCGTCGACGTGAGTTGCACATTTTGTTTATTTTACATAATTTATACAATTGTATTTATATAAACTCTATAGAATAATTCTTATATTTTATTACAAATAATTACAGATCAGAAAGAGCCCTTGGTAATCCATTGGAAGGTGGTAAAATCAAATCATTTTGTCGCGAAAAAGGTCACGGTTTTGTTACCCCAGAAAAAGGCGGTGACGACATTTTCGTGCATATCTCTGAGTAAGTATAATTTTTATATTTTTAAAGGTAATATTATTAATAGATTATGTAATAGTAGTTACCTACAACTGACCACAGTTACCTACCTATTTCATTTAAAAAAAAAACTACCCCTAGTAGTATAGTAGTATATTGATGAAGTAACTGATTCTAAAGAAAACAAGATTTAAGCATTTTAGGATAATAATTTTTTTCATGATTCTATTGTCCATTTGGTAAGCAATTTTAGCCAAGAAACTCAAGTGTTGATTTTTTCAAAAACTTTAATTATATAAATTATAAATTGGTGTGAATACATACTACTGAGAAGAATCACATCATAAAATTTAAAATCTATATTGTATAATTATAATTAAGTTGATGATGGTTATATTGAATATTAATTTAGATATTTATATTCATTAATATTTGATGATGCTGATGAATATTTAATTACAGTATTTATTTATATTATTTGTTTCTATTTTTTTAATGATTTGATTGTCTTTTATTATATTATATAAAGTTAATGAGAGTTGTATAATAAAGAAATTTAATTTTATAATTTTGTGTTAATTCAGTAAATTTGGATTCTTAGGAGTATTTAATTTTTTTTAACAAATTATAGCCTAGAATAAAGAGTATCTAAATGCAATAAAAGGAAATTATTATTAATCAATGCTTAAATCCTTGAAATATCTCATAGGTCTTTAAAGTTATACTGCTGCTGTTATAAATCACTAGATTGACAAATAGTTGTTAAAAAAACACATTTCTTTTTATATTACAATAAATTTATCAGTGTGGTTGTGCATTGAACTTTAAAATAAAGTTTGTTCATATTAGCATGAATTGTACATGTTTAACCTTGAAGCTGAACATGTTTGCACATATAACAAACTACATTTGTATAGTCAAAATTGTGTGTTATTATTTAATTATCACCTAATGTTGGTACTACCAACATTAGGTATACATATTTTTGTTCTCAACAAAAAAGGTACTGAATATAAATATATTAGTAAATGAGGCAACTGTGGACCATAGTGGGCACGATGGGCATGTCCACAACACTAATAGACTAGGGGGAAAGAGATTGTTAGTAATGGAGACTGAGAATCCCATTGCTAGCAATATACCCAACCAGGTCGACCTCTTCGCAGGTCTCCCTGGAAACTGTCATGGTTAATTCCTGATGAATTCATCATGATGGGCTAACTGGCCTTTTTTCATTCTTATCTATCACCCTTCACTGGTACTCCGCCAGCGTATCCCGTTAGCGCAGGCTGGGTTGCCATGCCATTTTCACCCATCAAATTTTTAAAATTTTGACATTTTTACAATCTATAGGCTGATGATATATCTAATGTGTTTATACCTTTAATACTGAGGAGGAAGGGATTGTTAGTAATGCAGACTACTAATTCCATTGCTGGCAATATACTCTGTTAGGTCGATATCCACACAGTCCCACCTGGAAACCATCATGCTGAATTCCAGGTGTATTCACACAATGCACTAACCGACATACCTTTTCAACCTCACCTGTCATCCCTCACTTGTTTCCCGCCAGAACATACCGCTGGTGTAGGCAGGGTTACTTTTCCATTATTAATCATTAAAGACTTTTAATACTTTTGTTTTTATTACTTTTTCATGAGGGAACAAATGAACATTTTATTCATTTATTAATTTACTAGAGTTCACCCCAGGCCTTTGCCCTGTATGAATGCACTATATTGATCATGAGTAAGTAATTTGAAAATAGGTTAAGTGCGAATGAGGTTATGATTCCATTTTTGGATGGCTGTGACCACAACATTTTTAGTGAGCTAGATCTGCTCTGAAATGAAGCGCTGTTTACAAATTTTTTAATGGATTAAAAAGAAATAGAAACTTAGCGTGCATTCTTTGTTTATGCTGGTGAGGTAGTATTGTCAATCAGTCAGTACCACTAATGTGATTTAGCCCAAATTGTTATGTACAAGTTACTTTTGTTAAGTATTTACCATTACCAGTTGCTTGGTGAATTAAAATGTCATATACACCATAACCATTTTGATCCTTTACCAAGCTAGTAATTAGGCAGTAATACTAGTTACCTAATGTTTCAGTTTACAATGTTTTATTATTCCAAGAAATAATCTAAAATAAATGTTCATATTATTTCATTCCAGCATTGAAGGTGAGTATGTTCCACTGCCTGGTGATGAGGTAATATACCGTCTGTGTCCCATCCCACCCAAATTTGAGAAGAATCAAGCAGTGCATGTACGTATAGTGCACCTCACACCAGAGAAGCACCTCAAATGGGATGAACCACCTCTGTAACATTCCGTGGCGAGTGAGCCGAGCATGCAAATCCCGAACCATTCACAAGATTTTTTGCGTATAATCCAATGTTCTGTATGTTACCTTAAATATATTTTTCCAATTTGAATATCGATTAACAAAGTTTCAATGTAATTGTGAATAAAATGTGTTCACAAACATATCTCGCGATGGATAAAAGGGATAGCAGTATATTTATACCCATCTAATGAAATGGAACTTTGTCAATTGTATATCATATGTGAAATACATTATAACTAGATCTGAAAGGTTAGACGGTTATTAACTTGAAACGATCAAAATTTTAATAATGTATTGATGTTGTATTGACTATACCCTGTCCATTTTATTATTACCTTAACTATCTTGCAGTGTCTATTATAAGTAGGGTTACTATCTATAACAATTTTCCCAGAGATGTCCTTTTTTGGAGGGCATTCGGGGAGCATCCCCGAGGTCTTTTGTTTTATCCCTTGATTTAATTTAATTTTTGTATTAGTAACATAAGAATATCGGCATAAAATGTCCAAGTTTTAGTTAAGAAAAATTCTTAAATTTTGATACTGGTAACCCTAATTATAAGTAACAACCTAAGACAAAATTAGTCAATGAATATAGGATATAGAGGGCTGCCTAGTGCAAATAATAAAATAGATAAGGGTATAAAATTCAGTATTGGAACATGAAAGTGAGAAGCCAACATGTGGTGCTAAATTTTCGAAGGTTTTACCATCGTATTAACGTTACGTTATCGGTTTCTTTTCTGTGCAGTGAGTGTATAATGGCTTCTTGCAAACCGTTTTAGTATTATCATTTATGTATTGATTGGCGTAATATTTTTAGGTACATAGGTACTTACCTATCCTGCTTTTTTTAGTTTCTAGGTGAAATGTGTACTTTTTAATAAACTACCTTATAGTATTTAATTTTGCACAAATAATAAAGTGCCCCGAATTTGTGATACCGAACACAGTTTACCTTATTTTTTTTAATGTTTTCTGAATTTGGATCAATTTATAGATAATTATTATTATTATTTTTCCTACATTCCGAAATAGCATTTTATCCTATAGTAGTCTAATAAGTTCAGTAATATAAATGTGTACTCTATTCCTATAATTATTGTTGCCCTATATAATTCTCGGTACGCATCATGAACGGTAATTTTGCTATCTTATACAAAATTTTGTGCCGGGAACTATTTTCACCAGTAGTGTATGTATATTATTTTATTAGTGTAATCAGTAAGATGTTGCCATGCTTGTTTTACTTTTTAATAGCAGTATTAGTTATTAAAACAAATAAAACGAAATATGTGTAAGCAAATCAATTGTTTTTATCCAATATCACCCCGTTATAATATTTTTGTAGCTCAATTCTGCCATTTTCCTGTTACTGCCACAAGACAGAACTCGTTGTCCATATGACGCCTCAGCGTCAGCACAAGAAACGTCTCGTTCTAGCTGTTGTATTTAATAACCTAACAAATCTGAAATGCCTACAAATACGAGTACACTCGTTGGCCACCTCTTTAGTGGTTACACCCAGACGATCATTTAAATAGATGTATGCATATATAAGTATTTCACTTAGTGTGTTAATTTTTTGTTGTAGCCAAATCTAGATTTGAATTATTTTTGTTCTACATTTTTGTTCAAAATTAGAAAGTCGAAGTGTTTCCTCTCACAGTTGGGTTGTTACCAGAGGGAGACTTTGTACAAAAGTCGATTGCTTGCGTACCTCTGTCCCATTCGTGTTTCTACCGTAAAACAGTTGTGTTTGCATGGTTGTGTTTTGGTTTGAAGAGTGGGATATGGCGTGAATTTACTGGGTACAGAGGAATAACATCCGAGTCCTCAGGAATGGCAACGCATAGGGGGTATCATGGGCGAAACGGTATACTCTTATGTCCATGGTACTGCTCATGTTTATAGGCCACGGTTACCACTTTCCATCAGGTGGACCGTCAGCTTGTTTGCTATTCTAAGTTGTATAAAAAAAAAAAACTTGATTGTAACGGCGGGAAAGGGATTATTAGTAATGGGGTTCTAACAGCCTCTTTGCTGGCAATATACTCTTATCAGATTAACTTCCACACAGGTCCCCTTGGAAAACAATGTTGTTAATTCTTTTTGAATTCATCATGATGAGCCAAGTGACCTACTTTCATTTTCATATATCATCTCACAATGATGCCTTTACGATAGAGCAGGCGGGGTTACCATTCGAATTTCTCCCATTAAAAAAGCCTAACAAGGAGCAAAAAGGATTGATAATGGGGACTAGCGGCACCATTGCTAGTAAACAATAAACTCTGGAAGGTCACCCTTTACGCCCTAGAAACAGTCGTAGTGAACGCGTCGTCGATTTCATTATCACTTACTGGTACCCCGGTAGCATGTCAAATGTTTAAAGTTTGTAAATAATACCCCTTTCTTTTTTATACAATTTATTAGTAATTTTGTGTTAATTATTACATACACGTGTAGGTGACTGTGTTTTATTAATGGTACAAAAGTGATTCGTATCGTCATAATTTTTATTAGATGCTTAGCTTGGGCTTAAGCATATAAATGCAAAATTTTAGGAATGTATATTAATTGATACAAATGTCACCATTTTTTCACTGAATTCTGTTGAGCATTTTCATGTTATGAACATAATACACTATATATTTTAACAGTAAAAAAATATGATGGCAAGAGGGATGCTACATCGTGTCATGATTTATTAGAACCATGGAATCACAATCATGTGTTCAAAATTAATTTTGTGATTATAATTCTAGCAATAATTTCAACCAATAAAGTGAAAAATTATTTAACAAAAACTATTTATTGAAACTTAATTATTATATAAAAAGTTATAAGTAGTGAATTTTTATATATATATGATAATGATTCCCCCAAAATGCTGCATGAAAAAACATGTAGACTAGTGTTTTCAAATCACTGCTATCTAAATCTATATGATACATAATAATTGTCACGTTAAATCTAAAAAAAATATATATCAACACTCATAAAAATATTTAAATTTAAACATATAAAATATAACTATACATGTAGATACATTCACATTACTATTCCTTAGTCTCTTTGCTTAAAGCTTAATATTCCTTTCTTATTAGATATAGCTAGTTGTCGTGGGGATACAAAATACAGTTTAAAGGCTTGTATAGCCTTCTACATATCACTACCATAGAATGCGTTCAAAATTATGTGCAACGAAATGAATGTAACAATTGTAAATCCAGCTAATAACTGTCTAACCGAAAATCATTCCTCAAGAAAAATCAAATACTAAAAAAATATGTATATTTTATACAAACCAAGGTCACAGTTTTTGTTTGAAATTTTAATTTTTTTTTTATTTAGATATAATATGAAACGTTACTCAGTTTTATTAATATAAATTATATTTCTCTGGATTTATAATTGATAACACCCTTTTCTGTATTATTAAATTATCAAAATTTTATATAAATTTTACTGAGTTGATGTTCAGTGATAACCCTCAATGTTTTCATTGCGGCAATCATTATCTTTTACTGAACAAAGGCTGACACATGGTCCGTCTTAACGGTTTTGAGCCTCTCGATAGAGTCGATTCTGAGGCGCCATTCTCTAAATTTAAAATTTTATATTTGATAAATTGGCGCAACTATTATAAACTTTACGAAAAAATTGAATTATATTTGTCATTTAGTAAAATATATTTAATTCAATTCTATATCATAATACCCAATACAATACACATCTTTAAAGTAATTTTAAAGAAATACCAAACAAACTGTATAAAAGTTCTTTGCTAGGACATTACTAGCCTTCTTGTATATCTGCTGCTAATAAACTGAACTTACATAGTTGTATCTCAGTTTACAGGGTGAGATTTAGCAATTAATTTTACAGTGTATTACTATTCGCGTATATAGGCGAGAATTACCACTTTTTATCAAGTAAACTATCAGTTTTAGTCTAATTCTATGTTACATAAAAAATACCAAACAGAAACATTAGTTTTTGAGATAGAGAATAGTGTTTCTGAATCGACCCCAATTTCATTCGAGAGCTAGACTTTAGAAAAAGTAGAGAATATTTAATTCCTGTACAAATAATTAGTTTTAAATTTATTTATCTACATTAAAGTTAGTTATACATTAGTTGGAGCTCTACTAATTCCCACAAAAGTGGTGAAGTCACCGGTCATAAGAACTTTCTCGAACTATTTTAACCTTACATTATAATTGCCCATTGATTATACAAGATTCGACACACAATTCGTCACCTAACGCTATCGTGTCTACCGCTACGTTTGCAATACATTGAGCCTTCTCGATCGGGAAGACATTGATTCTCTCTTTTGTTAAATTCAATGGAGGTTTAATGTACTACTACAAACTTTCTCGACATTACCTATTCGTTGTACCAAAATGCAAGTTAAGAATGATTCGTTATAATGTCGTATCCTTGCTTCGCTTCATGTTCGTAATTAACTGCTCATTCTTTACCGTTGGTTATACCGCCATTCTGAAATGAAGTTATCATCATATAAATCTAATAAATATATAGGGGAAATGGGATTGTTGGCAATGGAGTTTGACAGCCCCATTGCTAGCAATATACCCTGTTAGGTGGATTTCCACGTGGTTCCCCATGAAAACCATCATGAACAATTCTCGTTGTCACGATGTCACGTTGTCAAATTAGTCACGATGGGCTAACTGACCTGCTTCATCCTCACTTATCATCTTTCACTGGTGCCCCACCGGTGTATACTGATAGCGCGGGTGGGGTTACCATTACATTATCACCTATTAAAAAAATATTTTTGACATATTATTTAATATTATAAATTAGTGGGTACACATTAAAAAAAGAAACAAAAATTATAAACATATTATCTCTTCTTTATTCCATTCTATTCAATCCTCTTACACCTCACTATCTTAAAGAGCGATTTATATTTCTCGGTGAAGTGCAGAGTCACGCTTCGCGTACCTCAAATAGTCTCCGTTTAAAAACCCCAGCACATACCTCCGTGTACTACACCAAATCCTTTTCCGTTCAGACAGTGCGCCTATGGAACTCGCTGCCACCGTCTATACGGAGTGCTCAATCCTTGGCTTCGTTTAAAGGACAAGTCAAATCACATTTTCTTTCACTGTAGTTACTCTTTTCCACTCCTTTGTAATTTTTGGACTAGATTTGTCATATTTCCTTGTGTGTGCTATGTATGTATTTATATGTGTATGTTTATGTATTTTGTATGTATGTATATGTGTATATGTATGTATATGTGTGTGTGTGTGTGTGTGTGTGTGTATATGTATATATATTGTTATAGTAAGTAGTTTAATAAATTATATGTATTTGATATTTTTGTGCATTACATGTTTTTGTATTTTATGCACGAAAATTATTAATTCACTCTTGCGCCACCTGCCCTTTTCTATCTGTTCTCCCTTAACTAAAGGTTGTCTGTAAGAGATTGCCCTAGCGATAAGACCGCCTTTTGTACCTTTATATTGAAATATACACATTTCAATCTGTATTTATGTTACTGTATTTCATTTGTATTATTCACTTGTCATTGTATATTTTTATTTATGGTGCAATAAAGAGTTAAATAAATAAAATAAATAAAACAAAATAAATATAAAAGTTATAAAGGAATCATTACTATTTATCATGAAAAAATGTATGAAAATGTTGACCCCTTTTTATCGAAGCATTTCTATGGAGACACTATCTATATAATCTAAGATGATAACGTGATAAAACCAGTTACCTCCTCCATCTGCGCGAGGTGGTAGTGCCGCTTGCGCAGTGCCGCGAGACGGGAGCGCTCGGCTTCCAACGCTGTCTCCAGCTCTAGCGACCGCACCTTGCTCTCCATCTCCAGGATACGAGTCGCCGTCAGCGTCAGCGCTGACGTATCTAGGGCCTCTGTAAATGTTATATTTCAGTCACTGATGATACTTTTAGTTACGATATAAATATCAAAAATCTTAAGAAATATGGTGACAGTCGTTCAATGTCACTATCTTGTTAGAGATAACAGTACTCGTGACTACTGTTATTTTATTATAAAGAATATTATTAAAATATGAAAAAAATAATAGTAAAAAAAAGTCTAAGAGAATTTATAATAATAACATAGTTTAAGAAAATCTATTAGACAATAAACTTAACGCAATAGGACAATGTGTTTAGCGGTTCAACATACTACCTTACGTTTAAACAGTCACGGGTTCGATTCTCGCATACTACAGACACTTGTATTCATAGGTATGGCTGTTTATACTAGTCTGAGTATTTTTTTATGTACAATATATATTTGTTACATGTTTATCCTTTGTTTAGTGCCCATAAAACAAACTGCTTAGTTATGTAATATGTCCTAATATTTATTAATTTTATTCCCCATGGTAGTAAATTTACAGGGTACACAAGGATAACACCTGAGTTCTCAGGAATGACAACGCAAGGGAGGTATCATGGGCGAAACAGTATACTCTGTTAAGTCCATGGCTCATGTTTATAGGCGACGGTTACCACTTTCCATCAAGTGGGCCGTAGCAAACAAGTTGCCATTCTAAGTTGCATAATAAAATGTCGTATACAGTGATCTATTGTTTGTTAGCACAGATAATGAGCATAGATTTTATGCTGATCTATAAAATGGCGAGGCGTGCGTACCCTGTTCATGGACGAGGGCGGAGCCGGCGCGCACGGCGGCGACGACGGCGCCGGCGGCGGCGGCCACGGAGCGCGAGGCGGCGGCCAGGCGCGCGAGCGACGGCGCGGCGGGCGGCGCGCGCGCTCGCGACGCGGCCACCAGCTGCGCCGTGCTGCCGGCCACCTCGTGCGCCGCCGCCGACACGCCCTCCACGCGCCCCGACCCGCCCGCGCCCACCGCCTCGTCCGCCGACGACCTGCCACCCGACACGACCCTCATTTTTTTATATACAGTAACGTAATACAGTGAACGCCCTATATAAGCAACTCGTTTGAACCAATTTCAATAAATAAATTTCTTATAGGAAAAAAAGAGGATATAGTACATTACTGCAGCGGCCAGCAACTGAGGCATTGATGGACAAACGTGCAAATGTGGGCCGAGGCGTAGCCGAGGCATACGTGAGTGATGGGTGAAAATGGTATGGTTACCCCACCCGCGCTAACGGGATACGCTGGCGGACCAGTGAAGGGTGATAGATGAGAATGAAAACAGGTCAGTTAGCCCATCATGATGAATTCATCAGGAATTAACCATGATAGTTTCCAGGGGGAACCGCGAGAAAGGAGACCTGGTTGGGTATATTGCTAGCAATGGGATTCTCAGTCTCCATTACTAACAATCCCTTTCCCCCCTACTCACAAGGTTAACCAATAGCATAGATGGGATTAACATTTCATTTCACTTTCATAAAAAAATCCCTACCAATTATAAAGAGAACAACAAAATTGGTTTATAGTTAACAAAAATATCACACAACACACATAAAAACAAACTGAGAATCTTTTAAAGTCGTTTTTTTTTTTTTTATTTAGATCCTTGTCCTCGTATGCTACTAATAATGATTAATAATATTATACATCATATGAAAGTAAATTTAACATGAGAGTTCTATAAAAAAAAAATCACTTACACTAAAAGCTTAGCAGCAAACACAACCGCTTTGGCCGCTGATATAAGTCCCTCCGACCACTGCGGGTTCTTTCTGTACATCTTCTGCCTCGTCTTGGGGTCCCCGATCTCATTCTGCAGCTTCCTCGCGTCTTGCACGAGGATCTTGACCGCGCCCATGAGGGTCGTACACGCGTCTAGTATCTTGCCGTTCACTTCCAGTTTGACACCGGAGTCGCCCGCGCGACTTGCGGCCAACATTTCCTGTTTAAATATATTTCATGTTACTATTAACTATTTCTTGTAGTTCATCCCAAGTGAATCAGTTTTTAAGACACCTTCAAAAGTTCTATGTAATTAAAAAAAAGTATAGCAACTGGAAATCGACCTATTCGTAATACTTGTGATATTAAACAATGTACTCCAAAAGATATGAGTCAAAATATTGTGCAAAATATATGTAACTAAATAGTTAATTTCTTTTTTTTTTTATTATACTTGACTAGCGATCCGGCCCGGCTTCACAGGAGTGGTTAGAATTTTTAAAAATATATAGCCTATTTCACTCGCAGATAATGTACCTTACTATAGGTAAAAGAATTTTTAAAATCGGTTAAATAGTTTTTGCATTTATCCAGTAGAAACATATCAATAATTTTTTTTCTCTTTATAATATTAGTAGAGATATAGAATTTTCTGTATACAACGGCATTATATATAGAAAATGCTCTAGTATATATAATACGTTTTTAAAATAAAATATAGCTGGACATGATTTACCAAACATTTTAGAATTACCTTTATATTTCAACTTATATTAATTGGTAGAATAGCTTTCCGATTTCGCAATAACCTTTATTCTGTACTTACTAATTTATACCTTCTTTTCAGAATCTCCTCTTTCTATAAATCTACGGTCACAAGTCTTGGCTTAGTGAATTACATTTAATATATATTAAAAATGGATGTGATAATCATCAAGCACGTATCAAACATTAACTGCTCTCAAGGTAAATAAATATGTACTAAACTTAATGGTTTTATCTAATGTTACTAATATTATAATTGTGAAAATAAGTTTTTTTTATTACTTTATAGCATCTTAACGGCTTAATCAATCACTATGAAATTTGGTATACGCATACTATATGGGATACAGGTTATTTTTGCACGATCAGTAAACATATTTTACTAGAGGGAGACTTTGTACAAAAGTCTATTGCTATTGGGTACCTCTGTCCCATTCGTGTTTCTACCGTGAAGCAGTTGTGTTTGCATGGCTTGTTTCGGTTTGAAGGGTGGGATATGGCGTGAATTTACAGGGTATAGAGAAATAACATCTGAGTCCTCAGGAATGGCAACGAATGGGGGGTATCATGGGCGAAACAGTAGGTATACTCTGTTATGATCATGGTACTGCTCATGTCTATAGGCGACGGTTACTACTTTCCATCAGCTTGTTTGCCATTCTAAGTTGGAAAAAAAAAATATCCTGGTTACCCGAACGAATCGTAGATAAAAACTAATAAAGAATAAATAAACAAACCTCTATCTGCGAGGCTGCGTCCTCTATAGCGGCACCCATGTCGGCGAGCTCGTCGTCGACGCTGCGGAGGCCGGCGGCGGCGCTGTCGGCGGCGGCGGCGGCCGCTGCCACGTCCTGTACATGTCGCCGCGCCTCCGCATACGCCGCATTCGGTGCCGCGCCGCTTTTCAGCGACTCGAGACACTGTTTCGTCGTACTCAACATTGTACGGCAGTCATTGTGTAGTTCTAGAAGAAAATAAAACATTTATATTAGCTATCTTACATATACGGGGTGAGTAAAAAGAGTACAAAGAGCCCTCTATATACAACTCTTTCATAATTTTTATAGATTCTCTTTTGCTGTAAACCAGGTAGTCTACCATGAAATGAAATTCCGAATTTTCGGGCTCAATTTCGTGTTTTTGTTAGTATCGAAATCGACCCAATAAATGGAGCTTAATATTTCGTTTATCATAAATCCTATCCTAATAGTCCAGAGGAACGACATTTTAACATTTTTAATAATTCTAAACGGCATGTATTACGTAATTTTAACATCATATTTCTGTTTCGTTCGTCCCCGAAATTTCGAAAATCATTTTATGGTAGGCCTACAGGCTTCTGAACTGATGAGACTTGATTCCTTCCGAACAATTTAATATTTATTATTCACACAGACAGATTTGATTGTTTGTTTGTTTGTAATAATTAAAATCAGAAATTACCGATATTAAAAATTATTCCACCTATTGAAGGCTACTTTATTAGCAACTAACATAGGCCATATATTATTTTAGAAAAATCTATCTACCCGTGTGAAGCCGGGGCGATTAATAGAGATACATTATTATTATTACTATACTTTATTCTATTGTAAATAAATAAGTAAACATAATAGTAATTCAGCAGTTGATGATGGATAGGTTATAATAAAGATGTAATACCAAACTAAACAATAAACTTACTATCGGAGAGCGCCATATCCGTGGATACGCCGCACAATTCTGCGACATAGGCGGAGAGCTGGGCCGTGTTGTGCGCGGCGAGGATCGCCGACCGCGCCGCCGTTTCCTCGTGGCCCTTCAGCTAAATAATTATACATAATAAATTTATACTTATTTTTTTAACCTTTGTGTATTACTTAATTTTATATCTTTATCACCAAAAATATTCTGAGCACTGGCGTGCAGAATTATTAACTAGTTACGTTTCACAGTATTATTATATTATAAGCTTAAAAATTATATAAATACATACAATATTATAATCTTGTGGGGAAAGGGATTGTTAGTAATGGAGACTGAGAATCCCATTGCTAGCAATATACCCAACCAGGTCGACCTCCTCGCGGTTCTCCCTGGAAACTATCATGGTTAATTCCTAATGAATTCATCATGATGTGTTAACTGGCCTGTTTTCATTCTCATCTATCACCCTTCACTGGTGCTCCGACCAGCGTATCCCGTTAGCGCAGGCGGGGTTACCATACCATTTTCACCCATCAAAAAAAAAAATATTATAATCTTAAATAAAAGGAAGTAATTTTTTAAACATACCAAATCTAGCAGTTTTTGCTAGTTTTTTGTAGTATAAAATTCAGCTAGATAATTTTAAGGGCGCTAAAGTGATTTATTTTTCAACTATAAACTAATTTGTATACTATACTGAATACATACATCGGTGTGCTTCGAAAGTTCCTCGAGAGCCTTGGCCGCGACATCAGCCGCTGTACGGTTGGTTTCCTGCGGGTTGCTCCTCTCTAGTGCCGCTAGTGCCTCCTGTGTCACCTCTAGCGCCGCCTCGCCAGCGCACTGCACTACCTTTGATTTCTCTACAAAATAAATGTAATAAAAGTATAGTTAAAATTTGGCCCCGTTCACTAAAACTATCTCTAACATTAAAATTTCAATTTGAAATTGGGAAATTTTTATTCTAAAGACCAATATTATTCAATAGTTATTATATCTCATAATGCTTATCGTTGTTTTAAATTACGTATATGTATGTATATATATGTATATATTTCATATGTATTAGTTTATCCATATATATTAAAAGTAATGTTTATGTATTATATGTGCATTTCTTATGTGTATATTTATATATATGTTTATATTTATATTGTGTATTGCCTTAATGTGTCACTATAATTGTCACATATTTTTCCCCACATCTGCCCTTCATACGCTTTCTGTTTTTATCCAATGGTTAGCTGGTAGAGAATGCCATAAGGCATTAAGCTCGCCATTGGTACATAGTTTTACATTGTACAATAAAGAATAAATAAATAAATTAATTAATATTCTAAATAATTACTAATAATTTTGACTTCAACCTATTACTACGATAACCAGTTAATTGATATTCTAAACTGTTATATTCTTCATGTACCTACCTCTTTAGGTATTAACAGAGGCTTACATAGGTACTAAAAAACGTAGTGTATTTAGGAATTATCATTTTCAATATAATAATTTGTAGAAAAAATGCTTACGTGTTTCCAGTTCTCTTCGTGCTTCCTCTAGCTGCATCTTAACAGCGGTGAGATCAGCTTCGAGCACTGTGTTATGTTGCAACAAATCCTGCAATTCACATTCCACATTCAAACGTTTAGTGTCCGATTGTTCTAGTCGCGCTATCAACATCTAAACGAGCACAATTTAATAAAGAAAATAATATACTTAACGTAAAGCCAAATTCCAGGGTCGATAGATCCCATGATGTCAATACATGCAGAATATTGCGAGTTGCAGAGCATTGCCCAGTTGTACAATATTGCGGAGTTGTAGAGGATTGCAGAGGTGCAGAGCGAAGGCGTAGTCGTAGGAAGATAATAGAAATAAAACATGCAATTAGAAAATTGATAGGCATGCGTTTGTAATATACAAAAGGCAAACACTTGATAAAGATAAAAGTAATAGAATACATCAATGCAATTGTGTACTGAGTCTACTAATAAAAAGTTATACATTTACAATAAGCTCCCGTTTTGACTAAAAGAAATTTACAATGAAACAGATTCGATTATTATTAAGATTCTTAATAATTTTAACTGAACTAAAATGAAGAGAACTTAAAACGTATAAAGACGGAGCGAATTATACAACACTTAAATTCTCGTAAAATATAAAAAAGAACAATTACAAACATAGTAATTTTAAAACAGAATTGTTATATTAAATTCCTTTGTACAATAAAATATATCAACTTTTAAAGTTGGATATTAATAAAAAATATACAAGAAAAGAAGAACAAAACATATTCCCAACACCGTAAATAAAATAATAAATGGAATTTGACAATATGAATTTTTTTATAGAAGAAATCCAACACCATAAGACACGTAACAGTTTCTGAAACACACAACATTCGTGAAGCCTAACCTGTTTCTCTCTGTCTTTTTCAGATATAATACTTTCCATATCCTCTTTCTCTTTTGTTTTTAACTCATGCAAAGTTTGTAGTTCAGCCTTTAATGTCTTTAAAGTATCATTTATTTCCGCAATAGTTTGATCTTTTTCAGTTATTTCTATTTTTAATATAGCCTCTTGTTTCTCCTTTTTTTCTGTTAATGACTCAATTTCTTTATCTCTATTTATTATCAATTGCTCATTTTCTATTTTTAATCTGTTTATTTCAGCATTCAGTTCATTTGATACCACATCTTTTTCAGCTCTGATGTTATTACAATCTATTTGTAATTTTTTATGAGTGTCTTCTAATTCCATTATATTATTAGTGTAAACCTACCAAAGATATTTTATTAAATAATCATTATTAGTATATTAATATATAGAATAAAACGCCACAACATAAATGCAACTAACCTGTTTTTCTAAAGTGAAATCATCAATCAATTTTTGTTTTTCAGTAATTAATTGTGACTTTTCTTGAATTAATTTTGATATTTCATCATGCAACGATCTTAATTCTTTATTTTTCAATACTAAATTATTGTCATTTCGCTCTGTAATATTTTGATGTTCTTCTTCTAAAGTTAGTAATTCATTTTTTCCTATTTCCAGTTCAGCTTGGGCTTCTTGTAGTTCTTCATTAAGTTTTAAGATATCATCTGTTAGCTTTTTTACCTCTACATTAAGAGATATTACTTGCTCATCTTTACTTGATATCATTGTTTTCAAACTGTTAATCAATTCATCTTTGCTGTCGACTACGTTCTGGAGTTTATCTTTTAACATTGTGATTTCATAATTATATTCCTTTTCTTTTACATTAAAATCACTATTTTTCTTATCCAGTGTAGCATTAGCATCTTTCAATTTTAAAGAAAGTTGTTCAATTTCATTATTCTGGTCTGAAATTTTGGTTTCCAGTTCTGATATTGTATTCACTAAATACTCACTGTTTGTTTTCTGTTTGTTTCCTAATTCTGTATTTTCTTGAAGCAATTTTCTTAACTCGGAAATTTCATCAAGTTTATTTTGTATTTCTGATTTATATTGTTCTTTAAACATAGAAATTTCTTCGTCTTTTCTTTTTTCTAATTCTTCATAAGCAGTTTGATTATTAGTTTCAGTCTCTGCTAATTCCATTTCTAAGTTTTGAATTAATGTAGTTTTTTCATTAATCGATTCCTGTAATATATATAGCTCATTTGTAGCTTTTTCTAATTTCACTTGTAGACTATTTTTTTCTGTTTTTATATCTTCCAGTAATGCAGTATTGGTATCGCGATTTTGTACTAGCTGTGCTATTTGCTCTTGAAGATTATCTACTTTCATAGTTTCTTCCTTAATTCTATCATCATATTGTGATTTTATGTTGTTTAGTTGAGTTTCCATTTGTACAAGTCGCTCTAGGGATTCTTTAATTTCGATATCTCTTTCATTTAAAATATCTTCAAAACTTTTTTTATTACTGTTAAGTTCTTCATTCAATTGTTTGACTTTTACACCGAAATTTGCTTCAGATTCTATACACTTCTGTTGCAACGATTCTATCTCTTCATGCAATTTGTTCATGCAAAGTATCTGTTCCTAATGGATTAAAAACTAAATGATCATGAATTATCTAAATAAACTTATTATGGGAAATGAAAAACCATGGCTAAGATTACTTGAGTTAGTACATTGACCTACCAAGTACATCAAATACTTTAATAACCAAATTCAACTAACTATAACATGCTATACAAATAGCTTTGTTAATCTACATATACGAATATTTACATCATGCAAATCTACTGAATATTTACTAACCTCCTTTTCTTGTAGATGTTGCTGTGTTAACTCTGCTACTTGTTTTAATGCCGCTTCTTTTTCTTCCACAACCTTTTTATACTCGTCTCCACTTTTTTCTCTAAATCCTGCTAACTCTTCTTTCACTTTATTCAACTCAGTTTCTCTCTCATCTTTCTCGCGCTTGATTACTTCTAATATTTCTTTTGTTTCTCTCAAATCATTAGCAGTTGTGGTAATTTTTTCTAATTGTTCTGCAGTAGCAGTCTTATGTTCAATTTCTAAGGCCTCCATGGAAGCTCGTAACGTTTCTAATTCAACTTCCTTTTGCCTCGACAGTTCAATTTGAGCACGAAGATCGGCAATTTCTGTTTTGTAAGCATCAATTTCTTCACTTGAGGAAGAACTTTGTTGTAGTAACTCTACATCCCTATGAATCACAAGGATAAGAATAAAATTTTCTCAGCAGGTTTCTCTTACAAAATATAATTAGATTAGGCTGAAATACAAAAGGGATAAGCAAGAGATGTGTATAAGGATAGAGGCCTTTGGCGCTCGGTTCTCATAGGATAATACTTATTCGACTTATTACTATAGTTTATGTAAGATTAATTCAAGACATACAGTAATTGAATAATATTTAATAAATATTAACTTATCAGATATACATGATCCGTAATATCAAATATTACTTACTTTATTCTATCATTAAGCTGTTGCTGTAATGCCTGTTTGGCACTCTCGTGTTGCGCGGCTGCTGCTCGTAAACTTGCTGCTAATTTATCTACTTCTGCTTTCTGAAGACAAAAAATACAGCCATAAGCTACTTTTTAAAAAAAATTACTAGCTACTTTTCAGCTTTGCTCGAATGCATTAGTATATAAAATAACCAACCCGTGTACTAATTTTCCTCTCATTAATTCCTAAGGACTATAATTTTATAAGTCTGTACCTTATAATTTCATAGTCATACCCCACCGTTCAAACGAAACACCGCTATACAAGCACTGCTGCTTCACGGAAGAACCCGATTGGAATAGAGTTAGCAATGCAAACGACTCTTGTATCAAGATTTCTACCATTTATCATAACTAAAATAATTTACCTCAGGAATGCAAACACATGGGGGGGGGGGGGATATCATGGGCGAAACAGTATAATCTATTATGTCCATGGTACTGCTCATGTCCATAGGCGATGGTTACCACTTTCCATCCGGTGGGCCGTCAGCTTGTTTGCCATTCTATGTTGCATAAAAAAAACTAAACTTTAAGAAAAAAAAGTTTCTATAAATATTTAAAAAAAAAATCAAAATACCTGTCTGATTAATGTTATGTGTTCCTCTCGTAGTTGCGTGTATGCACCTTTTAATTTTTGGAACTTTTCATCTGTAACTTTAGCTTTCTCTTCGGTCTCTACAAGTTTCTCTGTAAAACAAATAGAATTTAATTTATACTTACAAAACTTGAAAAATGTACAAAAGAGAAACATTTTCATTTATTACTGTGGTTACTCACGTTTTATTTCTGGGGTTTGAGTCGATAATATTTCCGCTTTCTGCTTTTCTTCTTCTAGTTCAGTCTGCACAAATAATTAAGTCATTTCCATACAGATTAAAAGAAAACAAAGCTTTATTACAGCAAAAATAGAGTTTAAATTTGGTTATATTACCTTAGTTGTGTGAAGTTGTGATTCTAACCTAGTGCAGTGTTCTCGCATTGAACTCAACATCGTGTTCCTGTCTTGTACTAGTTGCGTTCTCTCTAACCTATTTATTAAATTAATATTTTAATAACTATTTATCATACTCAAGTTTATTATCATTATTAGACCTATACAATCAGACATACTTATTATATACAAATGCTTCTTACGATTACAAATAGTTCACAAATGGAATACATAATAAACGACTCCATTTTTTCAATTCGTGATAATGAAATTGTAGCCCCTTCTGCGCTATGGGTATACACTGAAGGGGCACCAATGAGGGATGATACTCGTAGGTGAGAATGAAAGCAAGTCAGTTAGCCAACATTGTGACGAATTCTACAAGAATTCATACAAGTTAACAGGCTACGGTAACTTCTTTTACCATCAGATGGACCGTATGCTTGTTTGCCACCATAGTAATATAAAAAAAATTAACGAAATGGTTTCCAGGGGAAACTGTGTGGAGGTTGACTTGACAGAGTATATTGTTGACACACTAACTTCTTTTACAGTCATTCATTCGTCAATGCGTTAAACTGTTAAACCACCAACCTGAGCCTCTTGAGTTCATTCTGGAGATGTTCGATAAGTTTGTCGCGTTCGACGACCGGATCGGGCTGCGGGGACGGAGTAGTGCGGGTGTCAAACGCGTCCAATTGATCAGGTGTTGTTGCCTGTGGTACACACAATAACACCATAGCTAGCAGCTAGCAGTCGAACGCCCTTATTAAAAAAAATAAGCTTCTCATACACCTATTTTAGCTTTTAAACTGTTTTATCTCTTTCTTTTGTTATGACTTCCCAACTTGAGAGAAAGTGATAAAACATTGTAATATATAAAATAGGTTTGTAGTAAGTTTGAGTTTTTATGAATAAGGGGGTAAAACTCTTTTCTGGTAATTATCTAATAGACAGGGTTGGACAAAACAAAACAATGTAGCCTGAATTATCATACAATATTTCGCGACATGACCCCTACAATTAGTTACCGGTTGTCCTTTTAGTTATGGTATAAATCCGCGTGGAATTTCTTGGGTAATAATAATTGAAATAAGGTCTGTATAAATTATCTTTAATATAACGTACACTTTTCACCTTATATAAAGGCATCCAAATTTTTATATCAGTACGTATTAGTAATTCTTAGTGGCTGACATTTGTCAAATATAAATTGAGTAATTACATAAGTCTAAGTAGTTATTTTAAACACATAAAGAATAATTTCAGGACATATGGCCTTTAATTATGTAATGATAAAATAAATACATTTTCTATAGTTTTTGACATAAATATTAATGAGAAAAATAAAATGCAGTATACCTGACTGACGGTATCGGAAGTATCGATGAGCGAGCCGACCGCATCCACTTCATCCGGAGGTAGTTCTGGGATGGTCACCACCGGCGCCACATATGTACCGAAATCGCTCTGAAACAGAAAAATAAAGTATTTTCAAGCGACTTAAAAAAAACGACGAAGTTTTCAATTCGGTAGTATTTTTGTTACGTTTATTACCTCATAACTTCGTCACTTATTGACCGATTTGGCAAATTCTTTTTTTATTTGACAGAATATATTATACTTGCAGTACAGTACGCAAACTATTAGATCATGACAAATTAGTCTAGATCTCCGTGATACTTGGATTCATCCATTCTCATATTAGTATACCAGAGGGAGACTTTGTACAAAAAAATTCGATTGCTTGGGTACCTCTGTCCCATTCGTGTTTCTACCGTGAAGCAGTTGTGTTTGCATGGCTGTGTTTCGGTTTGAAGGGTGGGATATGACGTGAATTTACAGGGTACAGAGGAATAACATCTGAGTCCTCAGGAATGGTAACGAATGGGGGGTATCATGGGCGAAACAGTATACTCTGTTATGTCCATAGTACTGCTCATGTCTATAGGCGACGGTTACCACTTTCCATCAGCTTGTTTGCCATTCTAAGTTGTATAAAAAAAAAAAGTTGTTTCAACATCTTTTCATTCTATATTCTTTGCATATGTACAAATCAATAATACTTTATTAACATTATTGTTATACTGATATCTATATAACGTAGTATAATAAAAATAATGCAATTCTAACTTGCAACAAGAAGTTAGGTGGTTCGGACGGCAGCACAGGTAACGTGAGTAAATTCCTATAATATTGAAGATTGCTCGCGTGCTTGTAGAAGGAGCTCAGCTTCTTGAACTGCTGTCGAAATCTGAAATTATATATTTTATATTTAATCCTGTTACTATTATAGATGTAATATTATAAAATAAATATATTTATGATGAAATATTTGGATATTTTTATATTTAATCACACTTAAAAACTACAATGTTGAAACGTGTCCTAAATTCTCATTTTACTGAACTTATAGAAATGTATTTTTTTTATTCTGTAATTTTATTCTTAATTGTCTATGTTGTATACTACAACAATACTAAATCAATCATTCATTCATAGGATACTTTTTATCCCTAATCTAAGACATTACCTCTTGACTTTGGTCAATAATTAAAAAAAAATATACACCCAGTAACCAATATGCATAAAACTCACCTAGCTCTATGGCCAACAAGAGTGTCTTCTGGCAGAGCAGCATGCAGTCTAAACAGGAGGCGAACGTTACAATCGTATATGTGTGAGGAGTCCTGGGCGCACGGGATGAGAGCCGCGAGCCTACACTGACCGCTCGCTGTCATCGAGTTGGCGCGTGCGTTGCCCAGACTGTCGAACACTAAAACAAGTTTTGTTATCTATAAAATCGTATATTTAAACAGCAGATGCACTGTAAAATATAATCCTATATTGACTTTTTTTTTATACAATTTAGAATGGCAAACAAGCTGACGGCCCATCTAATGTAAAGTGGTAAACGTCGCCTATAGACGTGAGCAGTACCATGGACATAACAGAGTATACTGTTTCGCCCATGATACCCTCATGCGTTGCCATTGCTGAGGACTCAGGTGTTATTCCTCTGTACCCAGTAAACTCACGCCATATCCGACCCTTCAAACCGAAACACAGCCATACAAACACAACTGTGTTTGCATGGTTATGGTTGAAACACAAATGGGACAGAGGTATCCAAGCAATCGACTTTTGTACAAAGTCTCCCTCTGGTAAATGATATAGACGATGATTACCTCTTTTAGGGGTGTGTAATATATAGCAATATCTAGATATTTTAGTCCCAAAACATATACCGATATATAGTATATGTAGTAGTTCATATATATATGTATATATGAACTACTACTGGTCTAATAACGAATATGTTAATTAAAAGTCTGTTATCCAAAAAAAAACAACCTTTTTAGTCAGATATTTAGGTCGGCTATGGTAGTTAGTAATAAACGACATTAATGAATTAATAAAATAAAACCTTCTCCTTTACAAGGATGATTACTAACCGGCAGCCTGAAGTGAAAGTATTTCATCCATGTAGTCGAACAACTCAACACATATTTGGAAACTGTAAACAAGAATAGCCATTTAGCAAGTTCAATTCCTAAGAAGAAAAAAGCATACGAAAATTATTTAATTTCATTTTCCAGTTAATTGAAACCAATTACGTATGAAATGAAAAAAAGGTTCGCAATGAGCGCTAAAGATACATATAAATAAATACTTTTTGGTCCCTCCATAACATTATAGTAATGAACTTAGCAAAAAAAAAACTATCAAGTTTATACTCTCTTCTTTTTTAAATCTATTAAATAGTTATAATATAGGTAAGGTATATATTATATTGGATATATAATATACAGGATGTGAAGACTTCCATGGCTTAGCGGTAGGCAAATTGTAGTGCGTAATGTGGTCTCGTGTTCGATTCTCGGTCGGGCCAGTTTAGGTAACGAACATATCTAAGTTGATATGGCTCTAGGTGTTCTGGGTTGTGCTCCAAGATGTTCGTTAGCTGGTTTCTAATATTCTAGCTAGGACCAGACGATTGGTGTGATTATGTAAAAAAAATAGTGTAGTAAATCCTACTAATAATATGAAATGATATCATTAGATAATATCTGACGACCTCTGTAATATAGTGGTGGGCACGTTGCTTTGCATACATAAGGTTTCGAGTTCGAATCTCAGTTGGGTCAATTGGGGTAAAGAACTTTTCTGAATTGGCTCGAGTCTGGGTGTTCTGGGTTGTGCCTTGTATCTTTGCTTGAGCACCAGGCGGATGGAGTGATTGTACAGCACTTTTGTTGTTATTATTAAATGTGAAATTTTGTAAAGAGATTTGGTCGTTTGTTTACTCAATTACGCCTGAACGGCTGGACGAATTTTAACGAAATTTGCTACTATAATAGACTGTATACCTACTTAATACATAGGATACTTTATATACTGATGCATGCAGGCAATGGCGTATGAAACAATTAGTGTTCTAACAAAATTTGTTAGGATAAAAGATTCTCACTAGTTGTTGACGTCGTTCTCAGCGATGGCGTCCAGCTCGTCGGCGGTGAGCTGCATGTGGCCCGGAAAGCGAGGGTTGCGCGCGTGGAACTTGAGCTTGCATACCAGCAAACTGCAGTACAGGTGCACCAGCTTGCCGTATCCCTCGCGCAGGTGCACCTAACAGTGGTCCAAATATTTCTATAAGAGTAAATTAATACAACTCCACGCAGGAATCATGTGTGATTGTTAGTATAAATATGGGCGTCCTGAGAAGCGATAACTCAACTGGTAAGAGCACTGGCTGGGCATGGCGTAGAAGGCGCGAGTTCGAATCTTGGCCGTTTAAAACAAATTTAATCACTTAATAATTACTGAAATACGATTTTCATATTTTAAACAATATTTCTAATTAATACCCCACTATAAATCAGTTATACTGTGGAATCGAAATCATTATTAATATAAACTATTTATTAATGATAATCATTATCTCTCTGCTATCCGGGCTGGTATGCCCAGATAGAAAATACACTGTCAGTAGGTAAATTATCAAGCGTTTCTTTTAAACGTTATTAATCTTAACAAAGGCACTACACTTAATACGCGATAGCGGAAAGGCGTTATGGATTCGAATCCTATGAAATCTATTTGTCAATTTTTTTCAACTTTTTAATAATCTAGTAAAGTTTATGGTCTCGTGTCACTCACCCACAGTTTGCCTAAGTTTTCTATCATGCCGATGTGACGCTGCGAATCATCCAGACAGGCGGGGTGCCCCTCGCGCAGTAATTTGTGTGTCACGTGACAAAATTTCCATGCCACAATTCGATTGTCCTGAAGAGGCAAACGAAGCGCCACCATCTGAAAGAAATGAAGAATAAATATATATAGCAAAATTGCCAATTTTTCGCTAAATCTTGCAAGTTTTGAGATTTAGCTACCAAAAATATATAGAAGTTAAATAATGTAGAAATAATTAAAGCTACTTGAGTATATCATGTTCGATTTGCCATTATTCAACGCAGTATCTTCATTTTTGGAAGTGGCATACCCATACAATAAAAATAATAGATGGATCTTTCTTCTGTTCTTTACCTATTTGTAATTAATATTGTAGTATATTTTTGAGTCAGTTTTTGGGCAGAATTTACTTAGCCCGTTATATAGCAGTAACTGTGTTATATACACATGAGATATGCCTAGGGCCGTAAAAACCATTAATAAAAAGCAAACGGTTGGTTGATAGCTGTCAGACTACTTGCTAGTATAAAGAAAACTGATTGATGTTTAGAAAAAATAAGTAGAATAAAAATAACAATGATCAAACAATCATACCCAATATGTGGCGGCGCTCTGCTCTTGGAATGTGCCAATAATTGTGCTTCTGACATGCTTTTCCTTTACGGGAATTTCGTTGGCGTTGATAGCCTTTTGGATGGCTAGCGTCTGTTGACATACATAAACAAATATATATATAAGTATATAGGTATTTATTATACATAAGTTTTAAAAGTTCTATTTTGTTATTATACTCTGACGAAATTAAGCATATACTTGGTATTTGGCATAAGCATATATTTGGTATAAGAACATAGCAAATTGCCTTTCCTTGTTACGCGGATGAAGTAGCGGGTGTAACTAGTATCATAGATATCTAAATACGTTTTCTATGATCACATCATTTATAATTCTTTTTTAAAGTTAGAGGTACATTTATTTATTTGGGCATTCCGCACTTGCTATTTGATACGGGTGACGGGCTACCTGTTATTTGTAGGTTGGGGGGAGCATATGGCAAGTAAGATGGACTTACGAGAAATCAAAGATAAATTCTAACATTACTTATACATTTAACTCTCCCTAAAATTGTAAATCACTTAAGTACAGTTGGAACAAATCATATATAAATTTATTCATTTAAACTTTAATGTACAGTGTAAAATTATATGTACATTTAGCGGACTTAACACCGGATACCAGTCAACTATTATATATTTCATCATATCATATCATCTATATCTAATGTATTTTTCTTTGTAGCAAACTTTAATTTGATACACGAGTATGAATTCAAATATCAGTAATATGTACTGAGGTGTTCTCAGAAATTTAAGCATGTACGATGTAAGTCGAGTAGGATGACACATCTAAACATTTGTAAACATACCAAGTATATTAGTTTCCTGTTTAGATTATTAGATTCGTACTCATAAAATTGTAACAACTTTTACACGCTCGGTCAACATATTTGCGAAACGTTTAATCAATAAATTGTATTTTACATACAGATTATTTATTAGGCTAGTGTTGTGCTATGCAAAAATGGTTTTAAGTCTTTTGCTTATATAAAAAATCCGAATTCACGACTTAAAAAAAATATTGCCATCTACATGGCTAATAGTTGGCAATTTTAGTTTATCGAACGATAAATTTTTAATTTGATAATAACAATAATAGTTTTCCTCAAAATTTTATCGTGAGGCTCTAAGGTGATCATATAATGTTTACAGAAGCAGACAGACAAATCTAACAATAATGTGCTAATAATGTGATATGCCGCTCATTATAATGGAATAGTATATTTTTACATCAGATTATAACATGTTAATTTATATTCTACATGAATATATGTATAATAAAACGAAAAGTAAATAAAACTAAAGTATCTGCCTGGTGTCTATCGTCACGTACTTGGGAGCATCAATGAGGTCATAAGCACAACCAAATCATGAATTATTCACCAACCGTTACTAGAAGAAAAGGGATGAGAGAGGAAAACTTTAGCAATAACGTGCAGAACGGGTTATATTCGACGTTGACGAGGATATTGTGTTCAATACAAACTTAGTGATCACGTTGGAACAGAATTGCCAGACTCTATCTTTGATTTCAACCCAAATTTCAAACATATTTTCTCCAAATTGATATGATTTTTTTTTTTTACTTTTACTCAATAAAAAACTTGAAATCACATCCCTTCTTTGTTACTAAATTTTATGTCGACTTCTTCACAGGTTGATACCTTGTTTATTATATTCTATGGATTTATATTTACGTTAAATAACATATTGTATGTTATTTAACGTAACTCATTCTTAAAAACAAAACATACTAATAGATTTCGATATTTGAGTTACATATATAGTGTTATATTAAGGATAGGAACATGTTAAATTGTTACAATTTCCGATATGTTTACTGTCATCCTTACTAGGTCATTTATTGACACAGGTCAAGGACAAAGTACAAGACCCTATTTATGACTACTAACACTAGTTTTAAGGAACGGGTTACGTAAATTAACATATTATATTACTTATATAGTTTAAAAATACTAAAACTATCAAAAACATTACTCAAATTTCTAAGACGAAACATTTTACCTAAAATTTAGAAAAAATACATAATCTGGCAACGCTGCTATATATATATAATGCCATGTGCGATAAAAGAAGAAAAATATAACATAGCCTTATTATTAATCTACTTACAAAGAAAGTAAGTTTTGAATTATATTTATGACAATGTTACGCGATTCTGTCGCCAATTCTGAACAGATTATGACAATTCTTTTTTGTGAACGATAGGATTTATCCCTGTGTTAGTCTTATGTCAGTTTTATCATGATTAAAGGCTTTTTTGCATAACAAAATACAAAATTATTCCTATATTATTGTCGAATACAAAGAATCGTGTTTTTATAGTTACTGGGTCGGATACGGCTCGACTCATTAGCATTTTTGCCAGATGTTTTTTTTACACTTAGTGGCTATGTACACTATTATAGATATTACATTATTATTACCGTATTATGTATTAACACTTGGACATTAAAGTGCTGATGTATGCGCTAACGTTACTTGTAAAGTTATTGTTGCATGCAGTGTATGGATCTTGTACCGTACATTGAATATAAAGTATAATTACCTCAGTTGTACCGTAACATATTTGCGTTCACACAAAAGACTAAAGATCTATCTATGAAAGTCGATTCAGAACGAAGATATACACAAAGAGTAGGTCGATTTTAAGTAGTTGAAAAAGAAAATGTTAGAGATGAATTAATGAACTTTTGTTACGTGCTCATAAATTATAAAGTGAAGGGAAGTCAGATAATCTATTTTATTTAAATTTATTAACTTATAAATTTGGACTCTTATTTGAGTTGTTGTTCGTAATCTAATACTTACATTACGGTGATTTGATTATTATAAATTGACTATATAGATTGGTGTAATAAATATATAAGATAATTGAAGACATGAATGGATGAAGACGATTTGTTGCTTTTTCGAATTTCCCCCATTCTATGAATGAATGGACCTTCATTCGTTAGGAAGTACTTTATGTATACTATTATACTTGTACTCGATTACTACAGCGTATAACAGTTAGTATGCATATAACACCTGCATACATGCATGGAATGGCGTAAATCCAAATTACAACATATCATCTTCATCCATTTATGTCTTCAAATAAATTTCATCTTCCAATAAGTATAATAATTATAAGTCTATCGACAGGCTGATATAAGCGACTTTTAAACATAATTGAATGTAGTTTATATGTAGTAGTAGTATGTAGTACTTATAATTTAATGTACTTATATTACTATATTTACAGCAATTTCCATCCAATGCCCACCCTATAAAAATTTTGAAAACAATACTTTCATATGTACGAAACAGTATATTTTAGGCAGTATTGTTAAAAAATACATGCTTAAGAACAATAAGTACTCACCAGCTGGTAGAAGCGTTTATCTGTGGGATTCATAGCTTGCTGTTAGTGAATGGCTGTTGCTGAATCGGCATGCATTAGTTAAGTGCAGTGTGGTAGCGCTGAAACGAGAACAGTGGCGCCGCGCCCACCCTTTTAGTACTGTTAGTCGAAAAATAAAGAAATTTATTAATGGCATGCAAAATAATTTGATTGTTCCTACACGGTGCATGTGACGAACTAATAAAGTTTACTTATAATAATATATATTTGAAAGATAGTCTCAAGTTCGAACGTTTTTCATATATAAGTATGTACCCGTAACCGGCGAGCGTGTATGAAAAGATTGATGAATGTGGAAGAAGCGAAAGAGGTTTGTTTGAATCGAAGCATTTGGCGTTCCATTGTTTCTGCCTACCCTAATGGGAGACAAGCGTGACAGATATGTATGATTGTATGTAAGTATGTACGGGAAGAGTGATGTTTACATTGAACAATTCAAAACAATCATTACAAATAGTTCAAAACGCCTAATTTTTAATTCACTTTTTAGTTCATTTAACTTTTTATTGGCAACAACAGTGGCAACTATCTAAATGTAGATATGATATCGCGACGATCTATTGAACGACATGTCACCCCAGTGGGTGGGTACTCAAACTATATGAAACAGATTACAATAGGTAACATTTAAGTATATAATTAACTGAAGTTTTTTTTTTTTTTATACAACTTAGAATGGCAAACAAGCTGACGGCCCACCTGATGGAAAGTGGTAACCGTCGCCTATAGACATGAGCAGTACCATGGACATAACAGAGTATACTGTTTCGCACATAATACCCCCATGCGTTGCTATTTCTGAGCACTCAGGTGTTATTCCTCTATACCCAGTAAATTCACGCCATATCCCACCCTTCACACCGAAACACAGCCATGCAAACACAACTGCTTCACGGTTGAAACACGAATGGAACAGAGGTTCCCAAGCAATCGACTTTTGTACAAAGTCTCCCTCTGGTAAAAGTTATAAAAATAATAATAATGTGTGCACTTAATAATCTCCGGTGCCACCGAGGATTCTATCTAGCGGGGATTCTGTCGGGCTCTACTCTAATCCTACAATGTAGAGGGGAGAAGGATTGTTGATAATGAAATTTCTAATCCCCATTGCTAACAATTTATGCTGTCAAGTCGACCTTCATGGTTAATTCCTCTCATATAAGTCATGATGGGTCAACTGACTTGACTTCATCCTCATCATTTCATCCTCCACTGGTGCCCTGCTTCTATATACCGTTAACATAGGCAGGTGCACCATTCCGTTTCCATCCATTGAAAACGTAATTCTATGTAAGGTAACAATGAATTATAATTTTTTTATGAAGCATAAATACTTTACCTAGTAATCAGTAGTAAATTGAACAGCGATTTTTTTTTTCAATTGCATACAAATTATTCATACATCAAACGATAATTACGAATTTTTTTTTTATTAATTAATCTATATACTTACATAAATAATTTAAAATGATACAGATATTTTTAAGGCAATTTCCAGCCAGAATATTGAGCAATTTTACTGACCAGTGAATATTTAAATATTAGCAAATTGTAAAAAAAATACTAAGTTTATATGTTAATATGCACCGTGTAAAAACAGTTATTATAAATAGTATTAAAGATTTAAATTTTAATCAGTATACAATGAAAATGACCCTTGATTAATTGTTAAATTGGCATCCACCTGTATATGGCATGATATTTAAGAAACGGTTGCAAGTTCAATAAAAATGAAATGAAAATCAGTAATTCATTCATTAGAAATTGGTTGGAATTCCGTTTTTAACTTTCCTTTTTAAAAAATCCCAGTATAGAGCATGCAAGATGTTAGATTTTAGCTCTCCAAATTCTCTAATTGAACAATTACATTATCAGATTAAAGTGGAACGAATGGTACATGAACAGCTGCTTTGTCATCATTTGAGATGTATTTTATAGATGATTGAAAAACCTAAAAATTTGCAACACAGGGTCACGTACCTGTTTTGTGTTTTTGCAAATGTTACGTACATGCAGTCATTACATAGTAACATTAATAAAAAAGCATTGCTGTCAAACGACGGATTACCTGCAACAAAAAATAAATAAAAATAAATTACACTTTCATAGAATAGAATAGAATAGAAATCATTTATTCAAATAAACTTACATTGAAGCACTTTTGAAAAGTCATTACATTTTTTTTAATTTACCGCTCGTTCGGAAAGCTGTCTCATCACAAGAAGAACGAGCAAGAAACTTGCGTGATGCTCTTTTAAATAATTTTATTATTATTTTACATTTTTAAGTTTAATTGTGTGAATACAAACCACCAATTAGCACTAATTCAATTAAATACTCAAAAAGAAAAAAAAAATTGAATACATAACCAACTGGTTAAACAATTAATAAGAGGAAATCAGTCATAGTGATTAGAGCAGACCAGTCCCTACAAGCAGCACCCGTTCACGAGTATGACGGATGAGCCAGCCATCACTACGCTCGACCATATTTTAGGGAGCCCAATGACCCGGCCCACCACGCCGCCACAAGTCTGGACATTTTAGTGAGCATGACTACTCAAAACACTAGACCACGTCAAAGCTACTCACAATTGCCATCTGATAGTTATAGTATTCACATTTTACATAAGAATGCATGCGGCAATTAATACAAAAAACCGCTACGCTTTCATATTTCTAAAATTAATCAATTAAATCAAGAAAGCAATGAGAAAATAAAATTATAACGTTGTATGCTAATAAACTAATTATTTACTTGATATGTTGTCATCTATGAATTCGTCTATCCTGTAATAGGCTTTCTTACATAAAAATTGTTTAATATAAGATTTGAATTGCCTCTCTTAATAAGTACAAACCCACATTGCATTTTACATGTGTGGTTTTCAAATTAGGAAAATATTGCACAGAGTAAAACAAGAATCATTAGCATTTTATGGGCAGTACCAGTGATACTGAACATTTTTTCACAAACACACCGTCGTTTAAGTCGAAAAATGACAACAATTTAGGACTTAATATACTAACTTGACATATTATAATTACGTGGCAAACAGGGTAAATCCCTATCCGATGAAAAGTGAAAACTATCGTTTATAGACAACCTTAGTACTTAGGAATCTGTTGTCATTCCTGCGATGGCTAAAGTATAATGTCTCCGTGCTTTGTAATATCCGTATCTTACAAACCAAAACACGGCCATACAAGCTGTGTTTCGGTTTGAAGAGTGGGATATGGCAGTGAATTTACAAAGTACAGAGGAATAGCACCTGAGTCCTCAGGAATGGCAACGTATGGGGAGATATCTTGGCCGAAACTATATACTCTGTTATATCCATGGTACTGCTCATGTCTATGGGCGATGGTTACCACTTTCCATCAAGTGAGCCGTCAGCTTGTTTGCCATTCTAAGTTACATAAAAAAAATCTACTTGGCAGCAGAAACACAAGTGGGTCGGACTCATGCAGACTAATTTTGTATAAAGCCTCTAGTCTGGTTCAGTTGCGACATTTCTCTAAATATTTAACCCCGTCTGAAGACTACAGTATATTACAGCAAACATTACAATTACCTATTATTATTTCAACTGTGGTGATTTCAGACAAAGTACTAAAGACATTTCGGTCTAAAAACAAACAAATCAACAAGTCAACAAACAAACAAATGACTTCATTCGCAACAAGGTTTACTTTATATGGCTTCAACGGCTTAAATTTAAGCTCTACTTAACCTCCCGTCTTGACCAGATTGGAATGAACATAATATATTTCAAGGAGAATGGAGTAGAACAATATTATTTCAACTACATGTCTTTTCATAAACAAATGGCTAAAACGGAAGTGTATTTTTACTATAGCTGTCGATCTGAATTTGAAATCTGGCCGTTTATCCATGCATCAAAACTTTTACAGGAACATAATATAAAAGATCTTCATATAATTTTGTTACAAAAAAAAGCTACTTTGATGTTGACAAAATAAGTGTGAAAACAACACAAAAGAAAACCCTTTTGATCCAAAAAAGTTACATGATAGTCGATTCAGAATCGCGTGATGTGCACACAAAAGCAAGTGGATTTGAGAAGTACCTTTCTCTCTTCATTTTAAAGTCGGGCAAAGAAGGTATATTTAATACGAGTTATATATTTAATAGTATATAATATGTATATATTTAATAGTTGAGAGACTCCTGAATATTTTTATTTTTTTCTATTGGAAAATATAAAATGACGTGTCGCTAAATTAATATTTTTATTGAAGCCTGTATACATATCTACTTAAATATAATTTTAACAAAGTAAGCACACGCAGTAAGAAAAAAATCCGAAGGCAAACTTATTAGTATTACATCTCCCACGCTATAATCATGATATGTACATATGTATATGGCAAAGTCACAATGGCAAAGGTGGATAAATTAAAAGCGGTTGTATTGACATATATACCTTATTTTAATGTATATTATATATTAAAAGATGTGCACATCAAAATTTATCGTAAGTATTTCATTACAAAATCTAAAAAACCATGTTCTCGAATAACATCAAAAAATAATCTGAGTGACGACGAAAAAGTAATAGAAAAACCTCCGCGCTAGGTCTTTTGGGTAGGGCTCCGGTCGTCTTCAACTCGGGAACCCGGGGACCCGACATATGCGCCTCGAGGTACGTCGTGAGGTTTTAGTGGGTAAAAATCCCACACACCCCCCCTGCCTTCCCTCCGGCAGTTGGGAAGGTCTTTGGAAGATTTCCTCACGTTAAAAAAAAAAAAAAAAAAAAAAAAAAAGGTCTTTTGGGTAGACATAAAGCTGTTAGCTTTCTACTACTGCTACTAGGCAAAGGATTATATCTTTACGACTTGTCCTTATAACTCTTGCTTCTTATTATACTTAAAAAAACTGTTCTTTAAAAAAAAACATATACAGGGCATACCTCTTATTCACATATAAATTAAAATTCTAAACTCTGTTCGAATATCAAAATTTGGACAGAACAACGACAACAAACATTGTACGAAAACAATAATATAAAACCAATAAAATAAACATAAATTATTATTATTGAATAAGTATAAACGAAAGCGAGCCTCGCTGCAATAAATCGTGAAGATATCTCCCACGCGGCGGGAGAGGGCGCGGCGTGTATTAGTGGCAGTGGGAGGGTAGAGTTCTAAATCAGGAAACTGCACTTCACAAGATTGCATCTCGTATATTACTACGGAATAAACAAACGGACGGCCGGATGCGGGAGTCACGAGTTTTTATTACACACATCAAATACCTATACTAGTATTCATGGGGGAGAGATTGTTTAAGAGAAATTGAGGAATCGCTGCATGCTTGTTATTGTATTGGATATGGTGATTCACTTTGGCTGGCCATTCGATTCTTGGATAGTAATAAGATTTTTAGTATAAGTTCTTGTAATAAATTGATTAAAAATTATCAAACGATATCACCGACTTTGCGTACAGCGCTTGTGATGTAATTAGACGCGTACTTACTTAAAATTTGCTAACTACGAACTATTTATGACGCAGGATTAAGGTAACGAATCAGAAACCCATAGACAAAGAAATGTTTTTAAATTGAATGATTTATTTGTGCATAATTACATGTCACAAACGATGAGTTCACAGTTATACAAATTGAAAATTTACTTTTAAAAATAATAGTCATTTTACAATATAAATGCATATAAACTGAACAAATATAAACTAGTAACCTAGTCCTCCACACTAGAAGTGCCTGTATCGTGGAATAATGACGCTATTTGGATTTTGGGCATGTACAGCATAGATCAGTGAATCTTGTTTGGAAATTTGATTGCCTTAAATAGCAAGCTCTATATATGGGTATAGAAAATCAGGCCTTTCTTGCACGATATGGAAACGATAGTTAAAAATGAAGCCGCATGAACTGGTCAAGAAACAACTAGTAATTGTTGTTCAAAATCATGAATAATAGATGATCCTTCACAAGTCCTATGACCCTAATAATTAACAAAAGGTGTCATGATCATCAATACAGTTTTTGGACAGTGTGTATGTCGGCTATCCATAATGTTGAAAACGCTAAGTAAAAATCTATATAAATAAAATCAATAAGCGAATGTAAGTATATTAACGCATCACTTCCAATCAAAATTTCAGTACCTATTTGGTTCTTTTTTATTATGTTTGTAATTCTATAAAAGAAAATGTTTAACAAATCATACGGAAAAATTAAAAATTTGAATAAAAAGTCTCCATATAAAAAAGTGAGGAAAAGATTTGGTTTAATTTCTTTCATGAATACATCCGTGCGAAGCCAGGGCAGGCAGCTAGTCTTGTTAATATAATAAAATTGTAACTAGCATATGTCTGTACGTGGGAAAAAGTTAAGAAATATGAAGGGTCTTAATAAGATAAATAAACAATAAAAGAATAATTTGTAAAAATTTTGTCTGTGTCCATTATGGACCGGAACAAATCCATATGTTTGATCTCGCAAAAACTACTGCACTAAATTGGATGCGGTTTTCACAATTGTATTCCTACTTTTACAATCGAAGCAGTGGGCAAATAACTTGCGATCGCTCGGCACGTAATCGCAAGACTCAGAGGACAGGTGACAATAGATGTAACACAATGTACAATGATTTCATAACCGAACATTGTGGAGGCCGGTGCTACCGAACAGTTCTCATGTCTTTGTCAATCTATTACAATAGTTTAACAGTTATTTTAACATTTAAATAGCGTAGTTCCCGTTGTAAAACATTGAGTAAACTTATTGTATGTACTAGAAGACAAATGAATTATCATAATTACAATTACCTTGATTTTATTGTTCATGTGCAGAAATACTAGACATTTTACAAGTTTCTTTTGCACTCCAATTTTTTCTTTATAAAAATCCCTTGTCCCATCTAATCTCCAGAACCAAGTATTCCATTATACCGAATTTATTAAAATTTTGTAAATATGTACTGTGCAATCCAAATTATTAATACTTTTTATATCTAAAAGAAAAAAAATGGTCCTACCGGGACCATGGCCATTTCAGCCAGTATTTAAGAAATTTTTT